TACTGTCCAACCATCATTTGATAAAGAAAACTGTATAAATGGGCTTAAGTAATTGTGATGTAGTTATACTGTACATTATTATGGCTTGAATTTCCACATCATGCTTATCAATGACTGCATATACAGTACAGTACTTAGCAAAAAATTAACATGGTCCAAAAAAATGAAAGTATCAAAAAGATTCCATGTCAAGCAAATCACACACTATCAGATAATAATACAATATTCTGTACAGTATATTATATCTATGATATAAAATCGAAGATGAATTTGCATGAGGCAATACACAAGTTTTTAAATATTATTTTAAATACTTTTTAAGAAATCATTATGTATAAAGTGCCAACCTCTAGAACTTTCCAAAAACTATTTTAATTCAACTTGAATTAAGCAACATATACCACAGATGTTGGTAACTGTGTGGGAACATATTGGAACTGAGGTAAAAGTGTACTTGACTATCAGATACTCTACCATGCAAAACTGAAATTACAAATGCAACATTCACTTATATAAAATCAAACTTACTTAAGCTGATTAGATTCCAAACATTCAGTTTGATTATACAGTATTTCTAAGTACTTCATTGGTGACAATAGATATTTTGGGCAACACTGCCCAACATGATCTGTCACCTCTGCTAAATATAAGAACTCTTTTTGTTATTTTCTGTGAAACAAACAAGGAAATTTCAGCAGGAAATGTAATCAAGGCTATGACAACACCTAAGTGTCATTTAATAATCACATGAGAAGAAAAATAGTAAAATTTGCTAATAAATAGATTGCATACAAATTGATAATTTATTCATATGAGGAGAAAGGAATATCAGTTTTTTCACACTTACTATATTAATTATAGTTATGCTTTACTCTTAATAATTATGCTAATAATGTATTCAAATTAAAATCCTTCAGCTTGCAATAAATGGATAATAATCCATAAACATCAACCTTTAATTTTAATAAATAATCTATACTTAAATAAGATGAAAGATAATAAAGACTAGATATTGAACATCTAGGTATCAGTAATCAAACCTTATTAATACAGAACAGTATATTAATCAATGCTTCAATATACAGAAAATTAAGCTTTGACTGTAATGAAATACCCTTTTTTTGGTAGACCCCTCAATAGCTCTCAGTACTAAGCCCGGTTCCAGCCAAAACTTAGGAAAATGCACCAGGCCTCTGAGACCCACCCTAGCCTACTGAGTCAGGACCAGAATCTGGCTCTGTCTCTCTGAAGCAAGAAGAGCTCGGGAATCAGAAATCAACACAAAACTGAGAAAATATCCCACCAGAAAGCATAAGCACACCAAAATAAACAACCGCTTTAAGAACGTTGAAGATATCAGAGGTAATAGGGAAAATGATTATTGAAGTGGTGTAAACACCCTATTGTGATATACCTGACTGCCACCAGATGGAATCTTAAGTCACACGGGGTTCTAGCCAGCCTGGCCCCTCCATCTCTAGCTGCCCGAACCAAACCCCTCCACCCCACAGGAAAGAAGAAACATGGCAGGAATGTGGCAGTATTGACAGCCTCAACAGAAAAGGGCACTTCATTACATTCAATGCTTGATTTTTGGGAGGGTCTCTACTGTAGCTTCCCAAACTCATGATTGCTCCTAGGCAGAAGAGGCCTGCATTTCTGAAGATAAAAAAATTCAGGCATGGAATTGGATAAAGAAGCCATAACAACCTGATTGAGAATGTAAGGCAGACAAAAAAAATTCCATTCTATAAAGCAACAATTTACAATGTAATTTTTCAGTACTGTGATATCACACAACCTATGGTTCAGCTGGGCAACAAGTATAATAGTGATCTTGAAGATCACAAATGACATTTATATATTTGAAAGTACAATTACTTTGCTGATTTTTATGTCCCCCAACAATACCCAACTAAACACCTACATGTTTAATTAGCACAGTACTGTAATACTAACTTACAAAATAAGGTCAAAATTATTAATCAGGCACTTTTAATTATCAATAAAAGTTACCTTAAACATAAATTTTTGAAGATCAAATCACTCATTAGAAAATAAAGAAACGACAATGTTCGGTTAGTCGTTTCTTCATCTTCTGATGTGTGGTTTGGTCATCATATCTTCAGCCACATTATTGTGACTCATCGTCTGCATCCATTTTTGAACTCGATATTCATGTGTAATAAATATTTGAATGTACAGTATGAACAACTTGATGTTAGGAACAGGGTGAGAAGCACTAAATCATCCTGGTTTTCAAACCGAGAATAAAACTTTTACAAAGACCTGTATTTATCTCCTCATACACTCACAAGATGAAAGAAGGTAATCAAGAAGCACTTGAGAAATGATACAGAGATGAAAATCTTAAAAGGTGAAAAACATCCTCATGGAACATATACAACAGATCAGCATCTGAACATGACTTTATAAATGTACCAGACCAAAACTACGGTAGGGATAATTTTATTACGGTTTATCCCATAATTTTATAAAAACATTGTCACTTTTATAGGAATAAGGTGTGAGGTTCGTACTAGCCTCAGCATGCACTGTTAAGCCAATCCATTCGTTAACTACATTAACCAAAACCAGGTCTTAATTTTCTCTCTGATGAGGATTAAACATTGACCTCATTTTGTACTCTGAAACACATACAGTAGGTCTACTGTACTTATATATATATATATAGCTTCAAATGTAAAACTCTTTCTGGTTCAGCAATGACTTGTTTTAATTATCTTATTATTCATTCCCATATTAATCTTTACATTCTCTTTTTCTAATTTACTGGATAGACAAAGCTTCAGTTTCTCCCTTCTTTCCATTAATGGCCTGTTGGAGGCATTCTGAAAAGACCCCCACTGTATTGACAAGTAAAAGCCGACTTAGCCTGGCTATTGTTTGACTATTTCGTTGTCAGAGCATGACATTGCTTGAGGAAGCAATCAAAGGGTTTTAGGTCAGATATTTCCTGTAATCTATATGAAAGAAACTACTTGAGAAAAAACATTAGTGCATTTTAATAAAAATAAAGCCTTGTACAAAATTTGTACAAAACAGTTACTAAATTAAATTAATTTAAAAAAAAATTTGTACATATTATTATGACAAGTACTGTATAAGTAACTTTAATATTCAGTATTATATTCTGCTAGTTTTTTACATTTTACAACTCGACTTTTTTTTTCAATTACAGTATTTCATTCACCTTACACTTTGTAATTATACTTATGATTAGTTATGGCAAATTAGGACTTATAACTAACTTATATTACTGAAGATGTGCTGATTCTACACTCCACAAAAAACATTACAATTATTGTTACTGTTTTTGAACAGTATAAGCTTAAGTTCTTCAGCATAAGAAAAGTGAATAAATTATGTAAATTAAATAATGTATACATGAGAGCAAATGGCTTCCTGGCAACCAAGAATCATTACACCAAGCATCATATTCAAGCAGTTCTCAGTATGTGTCGATATAGAAATTCAAAAGAGCACCTCTTCACAAATAAACAACTGACACGTAGCTGGTGTTTAAGCAATCTGTTCCTTGGCATTTAACAAGAATAAATAGAGAAGTCTTTTCAACCAAAAGCCTTTTTTGAGTCCAATGTTTCCATTGCTGTTAACATCTGTAAACATGTATAACATCCAGCATGGAAACATTATGCTTTCATTTACAAAAACAACATTACAAATGATATTCTCAATGTGCCTCTAACTCAACATTAGATGGATTCCAATACAAAACAATTTATATGCTGTGCTGTGAAAGTACTGAGTAGCCAATTTTTTTTTGCATATTCTTTGACATCACATACAATAGTTTGTTACTTAGGGTTTAGTTGTTGTTTATGCCTTGACATCAAGCTCAACAGGTTGATAACTAAAGCGTTAGTTGTTGTTTATCCTTCGACAACATGTTCATCAGCTTGGTACTTCAGACTCTGGTTGCTGTTGTACTTTAAATTGTAAATCTCAGTGGCTGAGCAACCACAAATGCTTATTTACATGGCTGGAAAAACCTTACCATTACATACAGTACTTAGTCCACTGTATTTCTAATACACAAAAATAATATAATTTTGACAAAAGCCTGATACATTTTCCTATGGCTCAGATTCATCTCTTAAAAAAAAATCCTGGCCTAGGTACACTAATAACTTGAATACTGTGGACACTTAACAATTTCCAGCATTTAATATTCTGCCAAGATATCAATTTCCAGCATTTAATATTCTGCCAAGATATCAATTTCCAGCATTTAATATTCTGCCAAGATATACACTGCCTAGTGCACTAAAGATTCCAAGGACAGGTGGAATTCACACACCACAATCATGACAAAAGACATCCAAAGAAATTAAAAGGAGTAGCATATAGGCCAATTTGGTTTAAAATATATACAATCGAGGATCTTCTTAACGTCCAGAAATCAATGATGTGCTCTCCAAAATATATATCATAGGAACTATGAACTATTGTATTTTATATATATATATACTGTATATATTGTTATATATACACAGTATATATAACAAAGTAAAAAGTTTGCTTTTTTATGTTCATGAATTTTGCATCTCTCAAGCAAAACCATAATTTGTACTAATGAGACATATGATGCATTGAAACAGGAGGCAAATAAATATACCATAAAAGAGTAGTTCAGAATGATGATAGGTTCCTTCTGTGCTCAAAGCTGACAAAAAAGTTACCCGAGTACCCTTAAACCTCTCTAATAATCAGGGTTCTAATAATTTAATAATCAGGGAGTGATCCTGGGTGGTAGGGGTTCGAATCCTGGTAAGCTCAAAATGAGTTTTCTAGGGATTTATGGCTTGCTCGTTCATACAGCCTTTGTGTCATATATATTTTATATATATATATATATATATATATATATATATATATATATATATATATATATATATATATATATATATATATATATATATATATATATATATATATATATATATATATATATATATATATATTAATTTATTTATGAGCAAACAAGATCACAACACCGATCTTCAAAAAATGTAACTCATCCAGATGGAACAGTAAATACATTTTCATCTGGACATGCTTTTAAAGATAATTCCCTTCTTTGGAGATGAAGGTCTTCTGTGATCATCTGAGACTAAGACATAGATAGGGAAGAAGGGAAATTTAAGGAGAGAGGAACAGTCATAAAGGGGAAGAGGAGGAGGGAATTAAGTAATTATCAAAAGAAGGTACCAAGCCGTGAAGGCCATGTAGCACCAGAAGGAAGGGGGGTAGGGGCACAGAGGCCCGTGACAAATGTCAGCGCTACACAGGAACATATTAGGAACATAGGAGAAGACGTAAGAACATTGAGCTGGAAGTGGAAGGTTGACAGAACATATAATATATACAAGTAACTGATGATAAGGAATAATATTAAACATAAGTTAGAGAGACAGGAGAGTGTAGAAGAAAAAACAAATATGAAGCAATAAACAAAAAATAAACAAAATAAAACATTTTTGTTTAGCACTTCATATTGATTTTTGTTTTTTACTTTCTCCTGTCTAACTCATGTTTAATATTATCGGTTGTGTCAACCTTTGACTTCTGCCTCATTGTTCCCACTTCTTCTCTCCCCTGTGTAGTGCCGACACCTGCCCCGAGCCTCTGTGCCCCTACCCCCCTCCTCCTTCTCTCCCCCCTTATGACTGTTCCTCTCTCCTCCTCCTTAAATTTGCCTTCTTCCCTGTCTTAGTCTTAACTCAGAAGAAGGGAATTACTCCAGAAAGCATGCTCAGATAAAAATATCTTTTCTATGCCATATGCTTAATTTGTGTACATATAAAATTCCCAAATATTTATAATAATCTGAACACCAACAAAACTAATTTTGTAAATTTTCAAAAATTGTGTTTTGTCAATTCAGTGCCACAGCATTAAGAATTGATTATAGTTAATTGTATGGCCAATTACTGATCAAACATAATCAGTATTCCCTTAGTCTATTTATTGCTCTCTTTATATAATATTGCATTTTTTTAAATCAAGTTGTATATAAAAACTTGATTAACATTGATCATTCATAACAGCAGCTTAGTAAGAAATCTCAGAAAATACTTATTACTGCATAACTTCTTACGATATAATTATATTCTGGTCATAACCTCCTGACCATTATCTATTGGAATCGATATACAGTATTTTGCTTGATAACATTCATATTGTTGTCAGACCACTAGCTTTCTAATATAAAAACCAAATGAGTATTAATGCCTTAAGTATTCCCTGTATTACTAAAATACATCTTGCAAAACACCATTTCAACTAATGATTGTACTGACACTTAAATGTGTATGTGTATTTTTTAAGGCAATATCAATCAGTCATTCCCAATTATAATATTCGATCAAGCACTTTCTGTTTTCCAGACCATTACTGCACAAATAAATATAAAATATCATAAAAAATTTCTTTTCTACTATTTGTCAGTAATACTGTTAAAAATTTCTTTTCAGTATAATTTGACCTACAGTTTTAGTGAACTACAATGTATACCTGTCGCTCATATGACGGCCTATGATGTACAGTACACCTGTCGCTCATATGATGGCCTATGATGTACAGCACACCTGTCACTCATATGACTGTCTATGATGTACAGTACACCTGTCACTCATGTGATGGCCTATGATGTACAGTACACCTGTCCCTTTATGACGGTCTATGATGTACATCACACCTGTCACTCATATAATGACCCTCATTGTACATATGCCACCCAGTTAATGAACTATGCTGAACATCTGTCACACGGATAAAAGACAACGACAAAGTACTGTACTATAGTTACAAATACATTTGGAGGTAGAAGTCTAACACTTATTAACTTATTTATAGTGATTTATTACCCTAACAAAAGCGGCAAAGATGAAAAAAAGCACTATTAATTATCTCAATTTCCTGTCACTGCAGTTATATCTATCTGCAAATTATGTTATTTTCCTATTATATCTTTTAAATTTTAATGATTTAATATCTTGCACCCCCACTTATGATGCAGTAGCACCCCTGACCAGGTGAATTTAATTTAGTTCCAATAATTATGCAGAGTAAGACAAAAGTCTTTGGTGATGTAGTTGATGTAATAGCTATAATATTCTCTGGAAGCACTGAACACAATAAATGTTGACTTTCCATTTATCACCAAAACCTGCAAGCATTAGCTACCATACAAAAAACTTCTTTGTAATGGTCTGCTTCTTGTCTATCCTAACCATGCAATTACAGGTATAATTAAAACGTGTCTCCCAATTATTCTGTCAGCGACAAACTCCAATGCTCAGAATCACGACTGTCTTCCTGCAATATACTGTAGTTTATTACTCTTTTCTTACATACCAATTTTACTTATTTTCCTCTTCTTCATCTTCGTCCATTTCTTCTTCACTCGTTATATCTGGGTCTCCAGCCTGCTCTTCACACTTTGGGCAACGGCACGTAAATAAGTAGTTTTCCCTGAAAGTTTGATTATAAGTTATACTTATAAGTTAAATTTGATTTAACAATGTTAATATTGCCTAAATAGTTTTCAACAGCTGTGTAAATTACAATGTTATGTTCATTGATACAGAATCAAAATCTTTTTAAATCTATTGTGCTTTGATATTTCTGATAGTTCAGAGGTAACACATGCATAATGCTCCATTCAATTTTGACCAGCAACAATTTCCACAACTTGAAATATTGTATATTTGAAAATGTTTGATTATGACTCACAATCAGGTATAATAGATGTTATTATATTCAAGAAACTGTAACCACCTGCTTCAACAAAGAAATGTTCCAGCAAACATCATGCCAAACTATATCTACTTCTTTAAAGCATTAAATAAATGCCAAATACAATATTTTTACTTTAGCTAATACTGTATAAAATCATTTTAAAACTAAATTCAAACCTGAGAATCGCAATACGGGAATGTCGACTCCTATTCAGATTACATTCATCAAGGTAACTGACGCAGATCTCATCCCCAGCTGTAATGTCCTTCACTGCTGTCATCACCAGGTGGAAGTTATTGTAAGGAAAAGTGGGCATGGCACAGGGGTCACAACTGTGGTTACAGGAGCTCTGTAGTGGATACAGCCCTGACCCCTCATTGTTGAGGAACCCTCCTGCCTCTGGAAATAAAAGAGAAACAACATCTCATTACATGCTGATATTATTGCATAATTATTACAGAACTCTGTATCTATATAACTAAATTACAAGTGATATGCTTTAAAATCTACTGAAAATATATAAATTATTCTTAACCTTACATTTATTGTATTTACTTTGTACTGAGAAAAGGATTAGTAAAAGCTTTAGCTTTATTTCTGAGCTATCACATCTGGCTACTCCAAAAAATAAGAAATTGTCAGAACATTCACTGGCATAACTGTTGTCTTTTTAAATATTATTGCAAGGTCACATATGGTATCAGCTATGCACTGGAGAAAACCTTAACCCAGTCCAGTATGGCCATCAGAGGAACAGTACTTCCATAAAAAGTTAAAGTAATGTCCAATATTCACTATCATAAGTGTCTGTCAAGAGGCTTCAAAATACCTTAGTCACCTGTCTAGCCAAACCAGGTGGCAGCACTGATGCCTATACTTAGGATTTCTAAATCCAGATCTTGTCACATTTTTTCTGAAGACGAAGTTTCTTCTCTTGGCACCTCACACTGAGGTGCCAAGAGTGAAGCCTCAACTTCACACTGAGTTGAGGCTTCAGGACAGGAAGATGCAACTAGAGGTTCATCTTTGAGCGCTTAAGCTTTAAGAACTTTGGCCATCCTTCTACTCTAACAGCAGGACCTAAGTGGTTTCAGTCCTCTCCTGCACAGGTGCTGGTGGGAATACGAATGGAGGCTGGTAGTTGTCTCATTTGCCCTTCATGGGTGTGTAGGAGTCTGTCCAGCTTTTGCAGCAGCATGCAGTTCCTCCATCCTTACACCCCCCCCCCCCCACCCCCTCTGTGAGTAATGAGTATTTTCAGAGGATCTTTCACTTGGAACTGATCTATGGTCTGATGGGGTTCCATTGCAAAACATGGCAGCAAACTTCCTTTTTCCCAAATGAGTCAGCTTTCAGGTCATAGATTTTGCTACAATTATTAGGGTAGGTGGAAAAGATCTGAATCTAGCTTCTTTATATATACAATATACAATTTATATATATAGTCCTGTTTACGGTACAAAATTGCCTGACAATCCTTACAGTGCTGTCTGGCTCTCCACAAGGTGATCGTCTTGTCTGTTACTGTCCATCTCTTTCTTAATTTTCTTATTCACGGAAAAGGACTTATGCCTAATATGATTTCTTCATAATAGTCAACATTCTTGAAACCTCATCCAATAGGTTTCAGCATCAACTTGGTTGAAATTTTCCATTTCTTAACCTTACAAAGGCCTGATCTCTGGTAGGGTCCTTGATTTCCTGTTGTTGGAAAGATTCCATATTTCTTCCCTTTTCTATTAAGATACAGTTTATTACGTGAGCAAGTTACATGCACTGTTTCATCACGAGGGTCATGTCATTTTTGTTTACAGACTCTCCATCCTAAACTGCCCTTCCTTACCAAGAACTAGATTAGCTCATTTTGACATGATTCTGTCCTCATTTATGCTGGACTCATTCATCCTGTGGATTCATCATTCTCTCTTTATGATAACTTCTCTTCATTGATATCTGTCTTTCATCATGTGTCAACAGTCTATTTGTCAACTACATACCCCAGTCCCGTGTTTCAAGATGCTCAAATAATGTGAAAGGGGGGTGAAGTTAATCAGCCAAATGCTTACCTCCAGGCTTATAATTTGATTAATTCACCACCTATTTTCTCTTTTTTGTTAGGGAGGGGGGGAGATCCTTGCAGTTCCAGTTCCTGAATGTTTTTGTTAAGATATCTGAACAATAATGATTTTGGTGCAACAATAAAGTATGTACCAAGATATGTTGCCAATATGTTGTGTTGATCACCTATTCCCATAACAACCCTCCTCTTGCTTCCTGCTGTTGATTACTGCATGCTGTTTGCTGCTGCTGCTGCTGTCACTGCCTGTATTACCCCTTAATCTCTTTCTACTGGACAAGGTCCTATCACCCTGTTTCTGAGACTTTCCATCCCAGTTGAGTACCTTCCCCTTTTTTGTTCTTTATATACTTCACCTGATTCCAAAGCATTTGTTTCCAAGACTTACCTCTGGGAGCAACTTGATATAATAGCTCAGAAATAAGGCTGTTTCAATATGAAAATCACCTTTTCTCTTAAAGCAGAGATATTTGGTTGTTCATGACCCCACCTACTCTTTCCCATGTGTATATTATGGCACTCACTTGTGATTCCAAACAGTGAAGATTCGGTAAGGTTTGATATAAAAGAAATCCTTTTGATAACCATTGTGGGCTGGATTGAGTTTTTATCCAATGCCTCCCTAGAACCATAAATGACTCTGCAAGGATGTTTGGAAAGGTCCTTGCAGTTCCAGTGCCTGAATGTTGCCCTACCTTTCTGTTCGTGAATGTACATGACACAGCAGATTTTTACATGTGGGAGCAACCTAATATCTCTGCTCAAAAAGTATCTTTAGGTATTAACTCAAAAAGCCTTATTTTTTTAACATACAATTATTTGTTACAAGTTATAACACACTGTACAAAATCCCTACAACTTTAGACATCTCACCCTTTTCCAATTGCACATACAACTCATCAACTGCTTGATCAAGCTTCTCTCTCTCAGCAGCAGTAATTTCCAGAGCATCACAATTGCGCACCCATCGGCTGAGAGGACTTGTGCCAATACCTTGTCCATTTGTACCTACTAATGCAACCAAAGATCTGAAGCCTTCAGGAGTTAGCCACTGAAGAAGAAAACATTACTTGTATGAGATACAGAAAATTATAATTAATAGAATGGTAAGGAGTAGATCAGAGCCAAGTTCATAACATGGCATGTTACGTGCCATAATAAATGCACCGACTCACTTTTTATTACTTATTATATAAGTTACATGATAAATACATCTTTTCTTATCTGATTTAAAGTTAAGGAACACACGTTTAGAATGGGATGGTAAACAATGCTTTTATACCTGGCAATCTATTTCTAAAGTTATATGGTAAACACCTTTTTTCCAATTTTTTTTATTATATATATATATATATATATATATATATATATATATATATATATATATATATATATATATATATATATATATATATATATATATATATATATATATATACACACACACACACACACACACACACACACACACACACACACACACACACACACACACACACACACACACACACACACACACACACACTTGGAGGTGAAGCTGGAGGAGGCAGAAGTCACACTGCAGCAAGCTCCTGGAAATATCGAATTACCTAAGTAGTGGGAACAGGTTGAGGGCTACAGTGGTGTCCCAGGTTACATAAAGGTTCAGGGAAGAGTAAAAGCAAATAAAATACAATAAACAAGTAAAACTGAGTGAAAATAGTCGAGTGGAAAAGTTTGTTTTGGTCTAGAACAAAATCAAAGATGGCCGCCGCCACCACCCCCACTGAGAAGGTAGACACACCATCAGATGATGGTTTCAAAGGATTCTCAACACAAGATATAAGGAAAGGAGGTGTTCTTGGCAGGTTAGAGATAATTGAGGACATGCAAATGAAGTATGAAGAAAAAGTGCTTAAATTAGAAGAGGACAATGGAGCTCTTTGGAGTGAGCTTTGCACTCTAAAAGGGAGTATGCTGCAACAAGGTAAGATTATTACTGCATTAACAGACAAGGTAACAAATCAGGAGGAGCAAATCAAGGAACTAGTGAAAGAAAATGAGGCATGGAAAGTGAAGTGTGGTGACTTTGAAGAAATAAACAAAAAGATAGACTCATATGGTGAACAACTCCAAGCAAGCCTAAGGGCTAACATAGAGTTAGGTAAGGATCTCCAACTGGAAACTTCACTGACAACTCACATAGAGGAGGTGAATAAAGAACTAGAAAAGTATAAAGAAGAAATAAAAGCGACATATGCTCAAGTTGTAAAAGAGAAAGAGACTATCAAAGAAGTGTGTTCGGAAGTCAAAACCAGAAATGACCAACAAGAAGCAGAAATTAGGCAAGCAATTAGGAAAGAACTGGTTACCAACAGTAAACTGGTACAAAACACTGCAGATAGAACTAAGTCCATAATCATTTTTGGATGTTTAGAGAAGGAAATTTCATCTAGGGTGGACCGAGCGGCAGAAGAGATGAAAATCATAGAGAAAATAGTAGGTTTAGGAGAAGGCTCAAAGGAAAATGTCAGTGATTTTAGAAGAATAGGAAAATATGAGAAAGAAAAGAACCGCCCCTTAAGGGTGACCTTTAATGGAGTGAAAAACATGATGGAAGTGCTAAGAAATGCCAGGAATCTGCAGAGTGATGAGGTTGGCAAATCTTGGTCAATAAGACAAGACCTCTCCAAGGAAGACAGAGAAAAGCTGAAAATGAACTTAATTGAGGCAAAACGTCTAAATGGGGATAGAAATGAAGAAGACAGAAATTCTTTTTTTTACAAAGTGACAGGGACTGGAAAGCTTGTGAAATGGTACATAAAAACAAAGCAACAAGATCAGTAGTGGAAGGGGGAGTAAAGAGCAAAGGAAAAGGGAACATGTTCCTGAAAATTGTATATACCAACATAGATGGAGTGAGGTCAAAAACTTTGGAGTTGCAAGATATAATCCAGCTTAGGGTCCCAGATATTGTTGCATTATCAGAAACGAAACTTGAAGGAAATATAATAAATGAAGTCATATTCCCAAGAGGCTACTCAGTTTGGAGACGTGACAGGAAAACTAGGAAGGGAGGAGGAGTGGCTGTACTGGTGAAAAAACACCTGAAGGTAAAAGAGTTAATATTTGAAAACCCTCGAGATATTGACATAATGGCATTGCAGGTCTGGAATCAGGATGATAACCTGATAATTGTAAATACCTACAGCCCACCAGCAAGCAACATATGGACAAAGGAAGAACTGGATGACAAACGAGAGGGCCTCATAATGGTCATGAGAGATATTATTGTACAAGCAGATAAAGATAAATCACGACTGTTGATACTGGGGGACTTCAACTTTAGAGCAATAGACTGGGAGGCCTATGAAGCAAGAACGGAGGACTTTTGGACATGCAGATTTGTGAACCTCATTCTGGAGACATTCTTGTATCAACACATAAAGCAAGCCACAAGAATGAGGGAAGGAGATATACCGTCAGTACTGGATCTAGTATTCACCAGGAAAGAAGAAGAGATTTTTGACATCCAGTACCTTCCTCCCTTGGGAAAGAGTGATCACGTCCTGTTAGACATTAAATATGCTTTAAGATATCATCTAGAAGAAAATGGGGACATTGAAACAGTTGATAAACTCGATTTAAAGAGAGGCAACTATGGGGAACTTCGAAATTTTTTTAATGAGTGTAATTGGACAGAATTGTTGCTAGGCAGGGAAGTAAATGAAATGTATGCCAAATTTTTAAAACTATACGAGGAAGGCACACAAACATTCATACCAAAACAGAGATGCAGGACCAAAAAACAGGATTGGTTCGACAGAAATTGTGAGAGGGCAAGAGACCAAAAGACACAAAAATGGAATCAGTATAGGAAGAGGCCAAACCCCCAAACATACCAGCGATACAAAGATGCGAGAAACAATTATACAGCAGTAAGGAGAGAGGCAGAAAGAAATTTTGAAAAAGGGATAGCAGATAAATGTAAAACAGAACCGGGCCTATTCTACAAATTCATAAACAACAAATTGCAGGTAAAGGATAATATCCAGAGGTTGGAAATGGGAAACAGATTCACGGAAAATGAAAAGGAAATGTGTGAAACATTAAATGAAAAGTTCCAAAGTGTGTTTGTACAAAATGAAATCTTCAGAGAACCAGACACAATAAGAATTCCAGAGAACAACATAGAGCGGATAGAGGTGTCTAGAGATGAAGTGGAAAATATGCTAAAGGAGCTCGGGAGGAACAAAGCAGCTGGCCCAGATGGCGTTTCACCATGGGTTCTGAGAGAATGTGCATCTGAGCTCAGCATTCCACTTCACCTGATCTTTCAGGCATCCCTGTGTACAGGAATCGTAGCAGACGTGTGGAAACAGGCTAACATAGTTCCAATCTACAAAAGTGGCAGCAGGGAAGACCCCCTCAATTATAGACCTGTATCATTGACAAGTGTAATAGTGAAAGTATTGGAAAAGCTAATCAAAACTAAATGGGTAGAACACCTGGAGAGAAATGATATAATATCAGACAGACAGTATGGTTTTCGATCAGGAAGATCCTGTGTATCGAATTTACTCAGTTTCTATGATCGGGCCACAGAGATATTACAGGAAAGAGATGGCTGGGTTGACTGCATCTATCTGGACCTAAAAAAGGCTTTCGACAGAGTTCCACATAAGAGGTTGTTCTGGAAACTGGAAAATATTGGAGGGGTGACAGGTAAGCTTCTATCATGGATGAAAAATTTTCTGACTGATAGAAAAATGAGGGCAGTAATCAGAGGCAATGTATCGGAATGGAGAAATGTCACAAGTGGAGTACCACAGGGTTCAGTTCTTGCACCAGTGATGTTTATTGTGTACATAAATGATCTACCAGTTGGTATACAGAATTATATGAACATGTTTGCTGATGATGCTAAGATAATAGGAAGGATAAGAAATTTAGATGATTGTCATGCCCTTCAAGAAGACCTGGACAAAATAAGTATATGGAGCACCACTTGGCAAATGGAATTTAATGTTAATAAATGTCATGTTATGGAATGTGGAATAGGAGAACATAGACCCCACACAACCTATATATTATGTGAGAAATCTTTAAAGAATTCTGATAAAGAAAGAGATCTAGGAGTGGTTCTAGATAGAAAACTATCACCTGAGGACCACATTAAGAATATTGTGCAAGGAGCCTATGCAATGCTTTCTAACTTCAGAATTGCATTTAAATACATGGATGGCGATATACTAAAGAAGTTGTTCATGACTTTTGTTAGGCCAAAGCTAGAATATGCAGCTGTTGTGTGGTGCCCATATCTTAAGAAGCACATCAACAAACTGGAAAAGGTGCAAAGACATGCTACTAAGTGGCTCCCAGAACTGAAGGGCAAGAGCTACGAGGAGAGGTTAGAAGCATTAAATATGCCAAAACTAGAAGACAGAAGAAAAAGAGGTGATATGATCACTACGTACAAAATAGTAACAGGAATTGATAAAATCGACAGGGAAGACTTCCTGAGACCTGGAACTTCAAGAACAAGAGGCCATAGATTTAAACTAGCTAAACACAGATGCCGAAGAAATATAAGAAAATTCACCTTCGCAAATAGAGTGGTAGACGGTTGGAACAAGTTAAGTGAGAAGGTGGTGGAGGCCAAGACCGTCAGTAGTTTCAAAGCGTTATATGACAAAGAGTGCTGGGAAGACGGGACACCACGAGCGTAGCTCTCATCCTGTAACTACACTTAGGTAATTACACTTAGGTAATTACACACACACACATACATATACATACTGTATATATATGTTCTTGCATTCTTGAACAGCCACTAGTACGCTTAGCAAGGTCTTAATCCTATGTTTCCCGGAATACGACCCTGCCAAATTGTTTAACAACCAAGTACCCATTTTACTGTTACGTTAAACAGAGGCTACAGTTAACGATTTGTGCCTAGTAAATCCTCCCCAGCCAGGATACGAACCCAGGACAAAGCGCTCATAAAACGCCAGGTGAGCATCTTACCACTACACCACGGGGACTGTAAATCTGTTAATCTATTTCTAATGTTGTATGGTGAACAACTTCTTTCATACTTATCAGTGAATCTCTGTGTCTGTATGTTTAACCTTATTTATAAGAAATGTCAAAAGCCCTGCCTGTGATAGGTCCTGCATATTATGGTCTAATATAAGATCTGTTGTAGCCTAGATAAAAGGCTATATAGCAAATGGATTAAACAGATTTTAAAGAAACAGTACAGTACATACTCCAATATTTACAAAAAGCAAATAAACCTTGTATTGTAAAATATACTATAAAAAAAAAAACTGTATTAAGAGCTCTGACATAGAACAAAACGATTTTCACTTAGAAAAGAAACCTGGACTTACATGTTGAACTTCTGGAGCACCTAAACCCTTTTCCATCATTAATCGCAGAGCCTCCAACTGGTCCTGGAACTCTACCCCAAGTAGCTTGTGGGCAATCTCCTCCTCTTCATTCACTGTGCGATGGCAGAATTGCATAAACAAAGCTGTTGCTCCCTCCTTGTCAGCAGCTTGACGCACAGTAGCAATGATTCGTGCCAGAAGCATAATGCATGCTGTCTCTGGGGGGTAATGCATTTGTCTGGAATGAAAACAGTACAACATCTAATTATGTTAAGGTACAGTACAATAAAACCAGGCCCTCAATTTAGCATGACAACGAATAAGTTAATTATTGTGCTTTTATTTATTTATTGTGTATGTCTCTTAACACAAATCTTCTCAATATTTCTTATGTTTTTCTTCACTGTCGAGGAAAGTTGAAAAATTAACTCACCAAAGTTCCTTTTCACAATTAATATGGTCTGACACTTTGGGATGCGTTTCGCAAAGCACTCCTTAGGTCAAAGTACAACATCAGCGAGAGTGAGGATGTTGTAGGGACCACGCAAAGTGGTGAAGGCAGTAGCAATCATGGCTACTTTGTAATGCACACATGCACAGGAGAAGGCAGGGTGGGCGCCACTGCAATCAATGCAGAGAGCTTGGGAAGAAGGGCACTCCACCTTAGAATGACCCGAGGTTCCACACAAGGGGCAGAAAGAGACCTCACTTGTGCACCTGAAGGGACCATGCCCAAATCTCCAGCACCTGCTGCAGAGTTGAGGAGAGGGAATGTGCTCCTGAACGGAGCATCTGGCACCAGCAAGAATGACTGAAGAGAGAAGGGACCTACCTACTATCAAAATCTTTAAGTTCCCTGCCACCTGTTGCAACATGGTGTGGAGAAGAATTGTGCCAATGCAAGCATTCATCTGGGTATTTTTGGAGATCCAAACAGGGGTCTCACCAATGCAGGACAACAAAGTCTAGCGGGCAGCCGCTTCCTGAGAAGGGGCTGCAACAACACGGGTCCCAGGGGCCAGATTCACGAAGCAGTTACACAAGTACTTACGAACGTGCACATCTTTCCTCAATCTTTGATGGCTTTGGTTACATTTATTAAACAGTTTACAAGCATGAAAACTTCCCAATCAACTGTTGTTATTGTTATAAACAACCTCCTGGTGCTTCGGAGCTCATTAACTGTTAAATAATTGTAAACAAAGCCACCAAAGACTGACAAAAGATGTACAGGTTCGTAAGTGCTTGCGTAACTGCTTCGTGAATCTGCCCCCAGTACGGGAGGGGTTGAAGGTGACCAATGTATCCACCGAATCAACATGATGCTTATGGAGAAATAAATCATCAGGGTGAGTAGGGGTTAACATGACTAAGATCAAAATACTTAGTCCATGTAGCAGGACTATAAACAAAGCCTGGAAAGATGGAGATTGGGAAGGAATCAAGAGCGAGTGCGGAGATGACGACGCCGAGCACCCCCAGTAAGAGAGGGGGGGGGTAAAAGGCGCAGTTGTGACAAGTAGAGACGGCGCCACGTCAGGTGATGAGGTCATCACCACGGGGGGCTTGGGTCTCAACCCCGCCACAAAAGTGGGAGGGGGAGCAGAGAGAGGCAGTCGGGAGAATTCGAGAAGGAACATTGTCAGGGCCAAATGTAGTGGGGGCTAGAGCCAGGTCTTCCAGCACAGTCTGGCTCAGGGGCCTGGTTGCCTACCCCATGTGTCTAAGGCAAAGGAGGGTCAGAAAAAGGCATAAAAACAAACAGAAACAAAATTCATCCACAAATAAGTCCCATGCTCACTATGGAGCCACAATTAGAAGATAGGACACCCGACAAAATGGAGCCCCCCCAGGAGTGCATTGTGGGTATACACCCTGCAATCGCCACCTTAAGAACTGTCAGTCTGTCGAGATCATGTTTAGCAATGAAGGCAAAGACTGACAATAAAACGTTCCCCTCGCTCAAAACATCAGGTACCAGTTCTACAGTGAGAGTGTGCCTCCCCAAACACCTGGAATCAAAACAGAAGAAGATATCAGAAAGAATAATAAAAAAAAAGGCAAAAAATCTGTGGGAAGCGACAAGTAGAAAGGAGAAGAAGGGGGAGGAAAAAAGAAACATAAGGAAGAGGAAAAAAGCCATCCAGCACAATTTGTGAAGACGGCAGCAGGAGCATAAGGCTTCAAAACAACAGAGGACTGCCCCATGGAGCATCACACCATACAAGTCATAAATACTCATACTCCGTCCAAGTAAAACAGAAACAAGTAACACTTAGTGGGCCAGTCAGAGGCTTAGGGCCCGTACAGGAATATCCCTGAAAAAAAAAAAAAAAAAAAAAACACCCCAGCAGCCACTCACCAAGCCCCCCTCACGGCGACAACGAGCTGGAAAGGGAGGGGATACGGCCATTAAAATCAAATAAACCACATTTGGAATGTATGTGAAGTGTTGGTACGAATTTATGCCTAAAACTAGGAGTCCAATGCATGGTTGAAAATAATATCATACGTCTTTGTTTGACAAATGAGCCCAATACAACATTTTAAAAAATATAAAAATGGAAAGAATTTCACATGCTTTAAGGTCTATGACCTTAGTCTGAATAAAAGATTTCCTGAACGTCTGATGTACTCCAGTATACCCTGCCAGAGATGGAAAAATACATATATATTTTGTTTACTGTTCCGAATGATTCTACAAAGTACTATATATCAATATATCATAAATCTACTATATAATAAAACTGTGATTTCATGATATTAACAAATATTAAGTCAATGATGGGCATTGCATCCTATATATCACTGTAATTAGTTATAGGGGTAGTAGTGTTAAGTAATAAGCATCATAATTAATCATTCATTATAAGATAGCAATCTACAATATATGTCAATAATTTTACCATTTCATTAACATTATTCAAGCAATTTTTTTGTTTTTGTTAATTGCTAACTTTTGTTTATAAAGAGCAAGCTTGAATCATGGTTAGGTAAGCATGTCTCCAAAGAAAAGGCTAGATAAGAAGTGGAGGATGGGGTCCTTGGTAGGTGTGTAATGTGAAATTTCCCATATACCAAGACCTAAACAAGCTTTAGCTAATATATAACAAGCATCCCAGCTGCCAACACCGAGAAACTAAAGTAATACCCATACTCTACTTCACTGCTCCTTATTTTCTTTTGGCTCGCAGACCCCTGGCAGTGATAAGTATCAGGCTGCAATCCCCACCACCTTTTGGCATGAGAAAAGATATATATATGTTAGAATAATTGCAAAACCAATCCTACAAATGAATACTTAAAACATGCATTTCCAGTATCTCCAAGGCAGCAGGAGTTAGTTCAGCGTGGGGCCTGAACTTGGCTGTGTTCGGCTGTGTGTACATCACAAACAACAACACTGTACGACCTGTCATTAAGTTTATTTCATGGGCAGTCAATACTGTCGAGGCATTTTCTTTATACCACACTACAATACTTATTATAATGTATTTACATTAAAAAAAATTAAATTCATATCACCAGTGTATTTTCAATATGGTGTTACCAGTTAGTGACAAATGCATATCTCCATATATATACAGTACTGAACAATACTGTGTATCTAATATTTGTGTGTTAACTCATGGGGTGTAATTTTGAATTACATAAAACATGCTTTAAACTAAATTTGACAATCAATTTGCAGTGAAATATATACTGTACATAACAGTACTGTATTTTAAAAATATAAAAAGTAAAATTGCTAAGTAGAAAGGACCAATATATTACAAAGGCACATGTAACATTAGAAAATGAACACTCACAAGAATAAACAACAGTAGAGCATAGAACATCCTGTAACTTGTAGTAAAGCACATACCATAAACATTTATAATGACCATATGGGTACTCTTGCTTCAGCACCCTACCTCTCTCCAAAACTCCGTCCCGTGTTACACCAACCAGGAACCACATTAATACATCCTGTTGCACAGTATGAGGTCCTATGGTGCAGTGGTCGGCACAATCGTGTTCTAGCCAAAAGGTTCTGGGTTCAATCCCTATAGCAGGACAGAAGTGTTCAGGCATTTCCTTTTGCTAGATACCTTTGAACACCTACCAAAAAACATATTGTTGGTTGCATCCTAGATAAGGGCAGTATTTGGCTTAGGGGGACCTTGAAAAGACTAATAGTCTTCATGTCCCTATGAAAAACCAAACCATCTCTTCGGTCTCCATCTTTACTCTTGGGAGGTCTGCTTCCCAAGCATCTTCATAAACAAACTCTGCCAATACTCGGACTTTTGGCTTGTATCATCCCACGTCTGGCTACATATTTTCACTTCTTTCTTCTATCTCGGTAGGATCTTCATTGATGAGCTTATTGTTGTGTTATTGTGTATTTTACATACCCTATCAGATATACCTTATAAGTAATACAGTAATACAAAATACAGTAAATATATTTCTGACCCATAGATAAGTACATTTTATTTTGCAAGCATCTTTTTCACAAATTCTGTAAACCATTGTCAAAGAGAAACTTATACTGTATATTATACTACAGGGAGTACCCAACTTACAAACAGGAAGCATTTGAAAAAGGCATTCATTATGCCTGCAGTTCATAAATTGAAACCAGATTTTACAATGCTATAAATGGGAGATGTGTTCCGGACCACCAAAAAACAACTTATAAACCCATATTTTTTAGAAAAATTATGTAACAAACACTAAATATATTTCACCCTGATGGAATTGTTCTGCTTGTCAAAGTTGGCAAGTTTTGAAAAGTGAAAAGGTCTAATTACTGAAGAGAAGGTGATGTACATTGGTGGCAGAGTTTAGTGGGTCATCTTCCATGTAATCGGCTGCTATAGATGTAGATGATGCACGAGTGGCAGACACTGGTGGGTCTTGATCGCAACCCTGATTGTGGAGTAGTTAATGCCATACACAATACAAATGTTCAATCTGTGTTGTGTTTCTCCATTCTCAGAGCATTTAAATATATCCTGCTTCTAATATAAGATAGGATATAAATATATCTTCATTTCTAAATTATTGGATCACCTCTTTCCTAGCATTAGTGCATAACCAATACTCTTCCTCTTCTTATCAGCCATTATTAATTTATCCTTTATAAATAGCAGAAATAGTTCATAATGCTTAGCAAATCTACTGCTCCAAGCAGCAGCCTTTTAGCTCAAGTTACCACAAGACAAGCTTGGCCCCAGGTCAGGCTTGGGGAGTAGAACTCTCAGCTATCCAGATAACGAATGTAAAAGTAACACTCCGAGTGGCCGTTAGGACATAAAAGTAGCACTGTTCATATCAAAGAAGACAACTGAAAAGATTCAAATACTGTACTGGGTTGAGAGAATAAAGTAGGGACTTAAAAGCCTATCATAAAATCGGATACAGTATTGGTAAGTCGAAGCCTCCCTGTACACGTTTACACAGCACTGATTATGGTACGCACATGAAAAGTAGAACAGGTCGAGGTACTACAGTCTGATTCGTTCTCGACTCACAATCGAGAATTTCGGGTTTGAATCCCGGACAGCACAGAAATGGTTGAGCGCATTTTGTTTCATCTCATACACCTGTCCACCTAACAGTAAATAGGTACCCAGGAGTTAGTCAGCTTGTTGTGGCGTTGCATCCTGGGAGGAGTCAGTAATTCGACCCTGGGAGGGGAGATCTCAGTATAAGCCTAACATGTACCGCATGTATAAGCTGGCTTCCAATCCCCCGACACAGTGAATTATAATTATATAACTTATATATTCAGAGAAGAAAATATGCCTAGACTAATTAAAATATTTATGATTTGCTATTTGCAATGTTGCCTCACTACCATCACCTACTTACCAAATAAATACAATACATTAACAATCACTAGATATTAGATATTGTCTATGCTTGCTAATCACCACTTTAACCTCTAACATGTGGCTATCAATTTTTATGCATGTCCACCTATGTATAATAAAAAAATCCTTATAGAATGATTAGTTTGTATGCAAAATGTACAGAAAAGTGGAAATAAACTTAATATCTACATTTGATAAGAATGTCATCCCTTAAGGATGACACTAAATTGAGTGAAACAAATGACAGAAGTGCTTATAAATGCCAGGAAATTTCAAAATGATGAGGATGGGAAACTTTGATTAAGATGAGATCTTTCAAAGAAAGACAGAGAAGATAAAAGCAAACCCTGTTAAAATGTCTAAATGAGAGTTGGAACAAAGAAGAAATAAATAATTTTTTTATGCAATATGATAGGGATCGGGAAGCCTATGAAATGGTACATTAAAAACAAATAAAATCATTAGAGGAAGGGGGAGTATAGGACATTAAGGTTTTTAAAGAACCATACATAACACAGATTTCAGAGCACAATCGTACATAGAAGTGTCTTAAGACAAAGTGGAAAAAATGCTCAAGGAGTTAGATAGAAACAAGGCAGTTGGCCCAGATGAAATTTCACTTCGAGTTCTAAGAGAATGTGCACCAGAGTTGAGCATTCCACTTCAAATAACTCTTCGGGCATCTTTATGTACAGGAATCTTAGCAGATACATGGAAAAGGGCAAACACAGTTGCAAGCTACAAACTCAATTAGCAAAGAGGTGATGAATGGAAAGGTGTATTTTAGGTAACACATGCAGTGGTATGAACAAAGGCAAATGCTGCACAGAATGAATTAGAGACTGTACACAGTTCAACTGTATGAAGCCATATGCCTTCACCTTCTTTCCCCCCCCTCAAACTTTTATCTTCTTCATATACATACATTTATACAGTACAGTATATATATATATATTCTCTTTACATTTATAATAAAATGAAAGCATAACAATACAATCATTAGTGTTTATACATAGAGTATATCAAATTAATTTGGAGAAGTATAAATAAATGAGGAAACATGAACAACAGGCATTATAGAGGATACATACTATCATTTTTTCAAATATAGTAATAGTATGATTGGTAAAAGGAAAATTATTCTGAATAAGAAACTTAATCAATAAAAATTAGACAAAACAATACAAAAGTTATGAAGAAAAATGATACTAGGTTAAGTTTATAATAATGAACAAATATACCCTAATAATGAAATGAAAATTAATCTATATTGAGAGCTCACAAAACTATATAAAAAATACATAAGCTGGAAGCTTTACAATAATGACTATACACAAACAAGCTTAAATATCTTTTCTACAAGAGAGCAAAATATTAATAAACACTACAGAAAGATTATATAAACATCTACCAAATACATATAGCATACTTCCAAGCTTCCTGAAGCATTACAAGAGGATGGGAACGGTCTGGCATGAATGATCGCAAGCACAAAGTGTCGTGGTACTGATTCCAAGCGCTGTCTCTACATTCTCTGCTACAATATGAGGCCTGAAACAAAATACAACATTAATGTACACTGTGTACTCATTCCCACCCAGACACAATAATAATTACAACCTGTTCTCACACTAAATGCATCTGTATTTGTACACTTTAAATATTCATGAATATTTAATGCTTTCATCGAAAATAAAAACTTTGTAAATACTGTATTATATATGCTCTATGACTAATGGGCTGTTAAAGCATTCTCACACTTATATAAAAGCAAATTAAATATGTAATTATCAAAAGAAGGCACAAAGCCTTGAAAATTATTTAACATTGTCGTACTTTCAAATAAGAGATAAAAAAAGATAATAGGAGCGAAGTCAAAGCCATCAAATTCACCAAGGAATTTATTGAGAGACAAGTAACTCAAAGAGTCATTGGGATAGCAAGATTTATGATCATCATGAAAATCAGGACATGTTATGATGAGGTGAATGATTGTAAGTGGGACAGTAAGGCACATATTTTTGTTCCAGTGAATACCCATGAGTTGAGCTGTCCATCCATGGTAAGTTCTTACTTACCATTTGGTAAGAATCTTACCTGTCCATTGAAGATGGGACACCACGAATGTAGCTCTCATCTTATTGCCACATTTAGGTAATAACATGCATACACACACACATGAGCGTAGCTCTCATCCTGTAACTACACTTAGGTAATTACACACACTCATACAACAAGCAATATTAATAAAAGTAATATATAGAGTTAGGTAAAATAGAAATGGTTGGAAAGAACCAAGCATTCACTCACCAACTAGCTAGCAAGAAATGAAACTGAAGATACAGGATGAATTCAATGAATTTCTATAAGCTAACAGTACAGAAAAATAAGCAACTTACATCACAATATGGACATTCTACAAGAGCATCTTTCTTGGTGTCGCAGCACTCGGGATATGGTAGTGTCAGCTGAGAATTTTGGGCCAGCCTGCAGGCATTTTCTTCTGCTGTTTCTAGGGGTCTGGAAAATAGGATGCAAGAAATGTTATGTAATAAGAAGGAGGGAAATTGTAATACAGTATCTAGATCTGAAAGATTCACTGATCAAACTTAGGAATGCTTTGATGCATTATCCTCAATTTAATGACTTTTCAGTGAGCTAAAAAATATTCCAGTTCATTGGAAAAACTTACAGGTATGAATAAAACAGTTAAAGTTGTTCTATAAAATGACACTGAAATAGATGCCGTATATAGAATTTTGTCACTAAACCAAGTGGCCGAATACCCTAGTGCCGGTTTCCAGACAGCAAAACAAATCGCCTAATTGTAAGGGAATTTGGATAGTATAGCCATGCATATTATAGTCTATATTATACCTTCTTTAATTTCAATACTATTGAGAAACACGCCAAGAACAACATTCCTAGTTTCTGGATATTTGGGCCATGGGGTGTACAGTGATTAGCATCCAGGGGTTTTGGAGATGGGTACAGTTATCCCAATGGTTTGTAGCTCATTGGTAGAGAACTACAAAGTGCTACAATCTGATATTATAAGACATGGTGGGAGGGAGTGTACTCTTCAGTGGTTTTTCATATTGTTTGGTGACTTTTTTCTTCTTGCACTGTTTCTGAAGACTAGAAACTGGCTACCCATATGTAGCAACTCATTCCCTGGAAATCAATGACCACTCAGGTCCGATATTAATGTGTACATGTGATGTGATGTGTTTGGCATGCGCCGAGAGAATTTTCAACTCATTTACAAATACTGTAGAGTATTGTACTTGGCTTGGGCATCCAGTGCCCAGAATCTCTAGACTCTGTTTATTACTTATAGTACACCATACACTAGGTGTTTTTCCAATGCCATCCTGCCATTCAAGGACCATACATCTGCCTGAAGACAAGAAAGAATAAAAATAAAATATAATATAACCCATTAAATTTTGACAATAAAAAATTAGCGTTGAATGTAATGAAACGCCAATTCCTGGGTGAGCTCCAGTGGCTCCTCGACAGCTTCAGGGAGCCTCAAAGGTAATCTCCCTAGAAAAAGGCCATAGATTAAAGCTAAGAAAATAAAAGCTGCTGAAAAAAAAATTCAAAATTATGTTTTGGAGAGTTGCAGACAAGTGGAATAATTTAAATGACAAAGATCATAGGCAATTACACACACTTATATGCCATGGAACCCTAATAGCAGCCAACCTTCACACACACACACACACCAACTTGCCCACTTAATTATTCAATCAACTACTAGAATTTAATATATTGTACATGTTAGGGATTGTTGTTTTTATACGGTCTATAATGAACTACAAGATAATCATTTTGAGAATTACCCAGCACTGGTCGACCCTGTTGTTAGCAAATGAACATGGCATGATTCAAAGTACTGTACAGATATCCTGACATGATATAGTGTAGATAAACATATATTACAAAGAGGTTTAAAGATTTTGTAATCAATTACTGTTGATGTCAATGATCTTCATTATATTATAAACACACTACCTTTACGTATGTTTATACTGGTGAAACTCATAAGAATGATCACTATAACGCCGGCTGGATATAATAGCGCAACAGTGGCCAGATACCTCAAGTGCGACATTATTCTAGCCATTCGCAAAGTAATCTCACTAATATGATATATCAATGAGAAAATCAATTGAAGCAACGAGGTGTGACTTGAACCAGCAATCAAGGTACTCCCAGCCATGCACCTTACCGGTGTACTGCCTCCACAAGTATTCGTTTCAGCCTTGCACGATCCAGTAAAATATAGCAAAAATAAGATTTGGTTTTTACCTCATACAATAATCACAAGCAAGGTATCCATAGGCTGCATTCCATAAAAACTGACAAGAAACCAGCGGTCTTTCTTCAAAGATAACCTCTCCTGACTTGAAATTGCGAGTAGCGAATAATCCTTTACCCTGAAAAAAAAAATGAATTACTGTGTACATATTTTGTCATTATAAAAGTTTCTATTTATCAGGTAAACTATATTGATATTTCTAATTTTTATATTAATTAATTAATTAATATATATTAATTAATTAATATATATTAATTAATTAATTAATATATATTAATTAATATATATATATATATATATATATATATATATATATATATATATATATATATATATATATATATATATATATATATATATATATATATTTTATTTTACACACACACACACACACACACACATGTATATATATACATACACATATACAGAGGAACCTCGTGTGTCGAACAGCCCCATCTAAGAGAATTTCAGGTAACGAGCGAGTCACTCGCAGAAAATTTGTCTCGATTGACGAGGTTCCGCTCGATTAACGAGAAAACCACACGATGCTTCCTAGCGTTCCCGCTGGTTCTCGCAAATTCTCAGAGGCCTTCGACGACAGTGTTGTTATTTTGTTGTGCAGGACAAGCTTTCCTCTGCATTTATTTGTGCTTTTCTTTGGCTTTTTTTGTGGTTTTTGACTACAATTTGTAACCCACAATGTCACCAAAGAAGTTGCTTGCTAAAGATAAGTGTTGTCAAGAGGAAGAAAGACACAATTACTGTAGATTTGAAAAAGGAAATTGCCTGACTCAGAGGTGGATTCTCCTTCCACACCATAACCCCACTCCTCCCCACCCCCACATCATCTCCCTTAAGCCAGCAACGACTCTTCATAAGATTGAAAATACAATTGAAATACAATTGAAAATAGTAAAACAAAATGTTTATAATAATTACATGTATTATAATTACATTATAAAATTTCATACTGATGTTTTTCAAGGGTGGAACAGATTAATTTTATTTCCATTATTTTAAATTAGGAAATTCGTTTCGCAAGACGAACGTTTCACACGACGAGCTTGGTGCCGGAACGGATTAAATTCGTTAATCGAGGCTCCTCTGTATATATACATATTACTGTATACATAATTAGCTATAAATAGTGATGAGAAATTCTGTAGCATTTTAAAAAGTGAACACTAACCATCTTTGCCATTTAATTTGTTTACAATTTGAATACTAGAACTTACAGTAGGTCAACCATAACGAGTCATATCCACCTGACTCCTTCCAGCAAGCAACACTTTCTGAACTTTGTGGATGGATTGAAATGGATAGGCTAGGATAGGTTTGATTTGGTAAGGTAAGGAAAAGGTGAGATATCATTTGCCATTTAAGTAGGCCTAGGTTGGTTCATATTAGGAAGGATGAGATGATGTAACTTATCATCTAGCCAAACTTACACACTCATATGCAAATTATATTTTGCAAGTGAAAGAATACATTCTAAAACAAGCAAGGAACACAACTACTGAAATGTATGAATACATTGAATTTTAAGTATTTAAGTAGGAAAACTACGAGCAACGTGTTGACCAGCAACTGCTAAGTATGCATTGTACGTAATGTACTTACGACTGGGTCTCCGATCACCCGGACCTCAACACCAGCATCATCACATTCAACTGTTACCTCTTTCATTGCCATTCTCAAGGATCACAAAATTTCCCTTTACGAGCACCTAAAATTTGAAAAAATAACAGTATCAAACACAGGTAATCAAACCATTATCATTAATAACACTAAATCAGACAAATAATAACCTAACCCAACACATAAATCATTTTGTCAGGGACTGGCAGCCTGAGTATATTTATACATTAAGGCTCATATTGAGGTTCTCCCCAGGTCTAACTACTGACCCTCCCCAGGATACACCCCTACAACACTTGATTAACTGCTGGGTACCTATTTACTGCTAGGTGAACTGCGGCATTAGGTAATAAGATATGTGCCCAACCATTTCCATCCCACCCAAGATTCTCAATTGTGAATTGAGAACAAACCCAACTTTGCTACCAAGAACCCTATTAATAATAATAATATATAACTTTTGATTTACAAGAAGGTACAATGGGTTTGTGAGATTACATAAGATTGGTATTTTTATATTCTTGCATAGCCACTAGCACACATAGTTTTGTTTCAGGCAATGATTGATAACAATCAATTAATAACATCAATAACAATGATCAGCAACATACCATAGCAAAACCACAGGGCCATATACCATCACAAAACAAAAATGATGGGAAATTATGCAGACTCACCTAAACAATTTCTGATCCAGCAAATAACTTAGGTGAAGGAGAGGGAGGTGATGCTGGCTCGCCTGCTCTCGTCTCGCCACTGTGATCGATCAACCCCTGCTCGACTCCTCTTCTTCACAGCAGCACTGATGACAGTCACTATGAAACCCTGACATGTACACTGCGGTGTGAGGTGAGAGCAGGTGAGGGCGCCTGGGGGGTGTGACACTCACACTCCGGAGGATAAACACGTGTTTTTTGCTGCCAATCGAGTCCTACAGCGTCCCAGGACGCCCTTCCATAACTTGATAAAAAACAATTCAGCCAAAAGAGACAACGACAGCTTCTCTGGCATAGTCACCACCAAATTACGACCCACGGCGAGTGTTTAGCTCACGAGGTATGTATAATACCGTGCTTACAAGCCCAGAACATGGCTAAATATACCCAGGAGCTGAAGATGTAAATACTGGCGACGCAGCGCGACCCTCGCCTCTTCCTCCCGCCTGCTGGGCCAACAATATTTTTTTTTATAGTCCTCCCACATTATAATGTTACATTCATTAGTTTAAGTAGCTTATGTAGAGCATATAATTGCTTTTTATTCTAAAAGTAGAAACTATGGATTACAAGTGATATAAGCGCACTGGTAACATGAGACGCCCACTTCCTCACTCTCCCGTAGACACTGTTAGGTAAGTACTTGATATTAACATATAGTTTTCTCACATTATAAAATTGAAGCAGAGATTAATAGCCTCTTATCTTACGACAATATTAATATTATAAAATATTATTACAAATATATATGCCCCTTTACTCTCTCATTCCTCTTCCCCCCCCCCACCCCCCGAATCCTTCCAGGTCCCAAAAACAACAAACCCCACAATCTTTTAACATATTTTTACTAGAGAAAGCATGACGTCATGCGCATTGATGACAAAACATGCATGTTTGACCTTACCTATTCCTAAATAAAAGGGGGGGGGGGGGGTACCCGGGTCTTTCTCTCCATCCCATCTCTCTTTCCTTATCACCTCCTCTCAATTTCTTGCCCTCTCTCACTTGACCCCCCCCCCCATCTATACCTTTATTCCTTGTCACCTCCCCTCTCTTACCTGAATATATCTTTCCACCCTCTCCACCTTTTTCACCCACTTCTCTCCACACCTCATTATCTCCTTTCCTCATTCATAATTTCCACCTCTCCTTCCCTTTTTTTCATTCTCCCTTCCCTTTTCTCACATTTGCATAAAGTTAACTTGCCAAAATACCCAATGTTCATATAATACTTTTTAATATATGGTGCACATTTTTAGTAAGCAAGATGGCCAGAAAACAAGATTTACCAGGAACACTATTAATGCTTCTCAGTGCAGAAAGATGGTTATTGCACATTCAAGAACATATATAGTGCAAATAATACAACAAATTGACAAGTGCTCAATATTTTTTATATTTTAACTTTCACTATATGTATTTTGTCATACTCCATTTTTTCTAAAGCTGATATTGCCTCACCCCCAACTCAAAAGAAACGAGGGTAATGCTGAAAAAAAAACCAGCACCAGTTCCAAAATTTTGTTTATTAAATGCTTCACTTAAAAGATAAGCTTGCATGCAGAAGAAACCTGTCAGCAATGCATTTCTTGTACACACAGAAATCACAATAGCATGATGCATCAAATGAACAAATCCACAAGGGCCGTGACGAGGGTGCAACCCTCGTCACAGCCATTGTACAGTACTTTAAATATGCAATAGAATTCTACAACAGCATTTTACAGTTTAACTATTAGATCATATATAACACTATACCACTTAAAAAACTTACCTCTGAAAGATTAGCAAATGAATGCTTTTAAAAATATACATTTATTCTAAATACTATGAAATATTATAACTATTTGCATTGTTATGTGCTCTTAGTTCTTTTTCATTCTCAATACAAATCGAGATGTATTATCAATAAGAAAATATTGCAATTGCTTCACTAAAAAAAACTTTACACAGTATTGTGCTTCATAAGTAGAAATACACTACACATTCTATGTATTTTTTCCTAATTATGATTTTATCTTACAAAAATAAAATTGAACAATTAATGAATTTCAATTACTTATGAATAAGCAAGTTAAAAAAAAACAAATGCTAAAATTGCTGTATACTGTAATAAATTTTCATAATTTGTTCACAATGTTTTTCACTTTATTTTCTATACAAAAATTATGAGCCTTTTATAAGGTGTCCAAAATTTTACCAAAATATTACAATATAAAGTCGAACTTCCTTCCATAAGTAATTAAATCATTTCACTATCTTTAAAAGAAATACATTGCATAATTTTAATCTACAAAAATTAATTATGAATGTTAATTTATTTTCAGTAAACTCCAGTCATCGGTTTAAATTGTTTATCAGAATGGGTAATTATGTTCTGCAATTCAACATATAATATTTTATTTATACTTAAGATGCCAACCATCAGAATTAGTATATAGTAATACACTTTATACTTCTGTATAAACATTTCCATATCCATAGTATAATGACATTAAATGATAATACAGTATTACAGAAAGTAAACATCTACCTGTAGCATGAAGAGCAATAAAGATGCTTCAGGTATGAAATTTATATAAATTTGTTTTGGACACCTCAAATATTATAGTGTGAATTTTATTTTTTGTTACCATTTTAAAACATTTAAATATGCATACATTTTTACAAGTTTTCTATGACTTGCGGTTAAAGAACCTCATAATAGCGTCGAGGCAGTCGTCAGACACCCACCGCTCAACCAGACGTTCGCATTCAGCTGCATTCACCTGATGACAAAAAGGTGCCACAAAATGTAGTGAAAAACTGTTAAAAGTTAATTTAACATTTTACTAACATAATAACAATGAAAAGAAAATACTGTACATTTCTGCTTAGATGAAATAATTGGGACCCCACCACCTGTTCCATTCTGTGTTCATGTTTTAACACATCAAAACCATTTAGTATTATAGCTGTATCATGAATAATTGAATAAAGTTTTAACAACCGTATTTGATTCTGACATCAATTTGGCATTCTAAAGCTTGTCAATGTTTCTTCATGCAGTTGCTTATTTTGAGGTGGTCTGCCTTTCTGGTCCTTTGTCTTCTGGACGTGGGTTGATCTAGAATCCCCAGGCTCCCTTTACTTCTAAAAAGTGGACCAGATTCAGCTAGTGGACTCCAGTAAGTACTTATGATTCACAAGGGCCTGGTGGGACTTAATAGGCTTGGAGCTAACCAGATGGCTAGCTCAGCGTGTCAGAATAGCTCTCCTCAAAAAGTATTATAAACATACATTTGCCTGCTCACCATGGCTCATTTTTCGACACATTTGTTCCTGATATTTTGAATTTTCAATTAATAGATCATCAGATCTACTTTTGACTATACTCAAGAGTACTACCTGAAAACCAGTACAGTTTAACAGTGTACAGTATTTGTTGAGTTGATTTTAGTGACTTTTTACTATAATCTATAAGGGCTTATATGCTCTCAGCATTTTGTGCTAAATTAAAGTTGGTAAGAAAAATATTAAATATGAAAATAGGGAAAACAGTTCAGTAAAAAGGCATTAACAATGAAAATTAATGCATAGGACAAGGTGGCAGTGAAAGTAGACAACATAAAGGAAGGAGTGAACAATGAAGAAAGGGAGGAGAGGATAGTGTGGAGGAGGCAGAAGACAACAATGAGGGAAAGGATAAGTGCAACAAAGACAGGGCAATGGAAGGAGAACAACAAAGAGAACAATGAGGAGGTGGGAGGCAAGGTGACGGTGGCAGCCAACAAAGACGACGAGGGGGCAGCGACAGACAACAGAGATGACGAGGGGGCAGCGACAGACAACAGAGACGACGAGGGGGCAGCGACAGACAACAAAGAGGACAAGGAGGCAGCAGCAGACGACAAGGGGGCATCGGCAGACAACAAAGAGGACGAAGGGTCAGTGTCAGAAGAAAAGGAGGACAAAGTGGCGAGAGTGGAGAATGACAATGGGGAAGGTTTTTCTTTAGTTTAATTTTTCTTCACAAACTAGGGGGTAGTGGAGCAAGGGAGGGGAAAATATAAATTTACCATAAAAATTCCACACCCTTAACCAACTGGTTTTCCAATACACAAAGAACAAATATTACCTTATGAAGAGTATCCTTCTCCAAATCTCGTGTCAGGGCTTTAGAGTAGACAAGGGACTTTATAGGAAGCTTAGCATAGGCTTGTAGTTTGGGCCAAACTTCATTCTGGAAACTGTCCTCGGGAAACACATCGGTCACTAAACCAATGTTATAGGCCTCCTGTGCTGTGATCTGTGGATTTCACATAACAATTAGTAAATTATGTACAGTACATACTGTTACAACCCTGGGTTCCTCAGTTGGAAACCAGAGGTCAAATTGAGCTAAATAAACTGCTTTATATTATTTGATGCGCTTGTCGACGTGTGTCTGTTTGTATCTTCCCTGCCAGACATAAGATGATTCTTGTTTCTCACAGAGCATTTAAAGACTGAGCTTATGGTTGATTATTAATTAATAAAATAGGCATCAACTATGTTTACAAATGATTAGAAAGTATTAGTAAAGTAGATCTGAGTAAACTGGGATATAGGGCTGCTGTACGATTAGCCGAGTAGTCGGCCGGCAGCGAGTCAGCCCGGGAGTTCTGGGACTGGGGGCTGAAGCGGCCTTCTCTGGTTGGCATCGTGGTGTAAACATCTCTGCATCCCTCTCCCCTTCCTCCTGCTTCTCTCCCTTACCTTATTCTGTGTCTAGTTTACCAAGATAAGCAATGTGCTGTATTCTCATTTTCTGGCATAAGTGTGTAGTAATGTGTATAATATTAATGTGTATTAATTAATTAGGGATCACTAGTGTTTATATTGCTAAGTAACTCTAAGGGGGTCCCAGTGGAACCATGTGAGCTCCCGTAATACCAGTAAGCTACCTAGAATCCTTGCTAGTAGTGTCCCTTGCCTAGTAGACTTTACCCTAGCTTGTGCTAGTTGTAAAACCTTGTATCCTGCTTATGTGGACCAAGGCTTTTAACGTAAGATAGTGTGGTAAAGTAGTTATTGTTGTGAATGTATATGGGGGGTTGTTAAGAGGGTTTAATAAATAAGTTAGTTTTAAAGGAGTATCCATTCTTCCTATGTAGGAGATCAATGATCTACCTCTAAGCTGACATTTTCAGAAAGCCACTATAAGTATTACTGTTGTATATGTTTATTGGGGGCCGGGCCTTTAAGATCTCCATTACTTGGGATACATCTTGATTCTAACTGCTGACCCTACTCCATAATACTAGACCCCCACATAGCAGACCAATAATTCTTAACACATACATAAAAGACAGTCTTTTTAGTTGTATTTAAATTAGTTCAGAAACAGTGTTTCCATGAGTCAAAATCAAGGATTTTTGACAATTTTGTTTTAAAATTGTACAGTGTATGTATACATAGGTATGATTGTGTGTCTGCATAATTAATTTCCTAACATATTAGTGCTTAACACATGTTCAGCAAAATTGGTGCTTTTATCACTAAACACTAAACAATTGGTTTACAATGCAACTCCCATTGAAAACACAAACACTGGCCATGTCTGAAGGAGAAGGGAAGGTTAGGGAATTATCTGGAGAAAGTACTACGCCTTTATGATTATACAGCAAGTGGTAGGGATATGAGGACAATGTTTTGAGATAGGATGAAGAAAAGGAATGGTGCCCAACCACTTGGATGGCCTGGAATCAAATGCCACCCTGCAAGAAGTGAGACCATCACTACCATCCAGTCCAAGTGGTTGAGCAACTGTAGTAGTAGTAATCACAGACCTTCTTGTTGAAGAGGAGCATCTCTGCAGCTTTCCCTGGACCCATAATCTTTGGGAACAAGTATGAAGAGCAGCCTTCAGGAGACTGCCCAAGTGCACTGAATGGAGTGTTGAAAGTTGCCTGATGAGTAATATTGGATTAGCTGTGACTATAAACTCTGAAACACCTAAAACTTAGATTTATGTACAGTACAGTATATTATTTTAAAAGACTACCAAATATGAACCTTAAAAATTATGAAATAAAGCAGCACATTAACATTTCCCTTCATTAATATTATCATGAATGCAATAGAAATACAGTACAGCTACTTGTCAAAGAATCGAGACTAACCCAAGGCAAAGTCAAAAGACTTCTTCACCAATGTTTAACATGTGCCCCACATCGCACAATAGATGGCCAATTTGTGCATCTATTAAGTATTAGACCTATTAGCTTTAGTTGACATTGGAAGCAATACCATGATTGAAGTAATGGAGTCCCTATTTCTATTATGTTCTTCACACCACAGAACTAATTTTGGTTGTCTTGTATTTTCCTGACCTCCAATTTGAACTTTTAAGTGAAAATTGGTTTTGCCATTATGTATTAATTTGGTTTCTGCTTATACCAGTTTATCTTTTATCCCTCCTTACTCACCTCCTTACAATTAGCTCAAATTTGGTATTTATGTTTCCTAGATCTAATAGAAAGAGGGCAGGCATGAAGAAAAAATTTGCCAACTTAAATTTTCTTCCAATAGAAATGGATCATCACCCTTATAACATATAGCATATATTCCAAGACTTTGCAAACTTATGTACTGCACATTATTTTTGCATTTCTAACTCTTATACAAACACACAAACTCACCTTGTCTGAAGCATAAACAGCATCAAACAGCGCCATGATCGTGACAGAGACTCCAATTGCGGGACCATTAACAACAGCTATTAGGGGCTTTGGGAAATCAATAAAAGCAGACACAAACCTGGAAAATCATATACAGTATGTGCATATTAAGTAAAATAATAGTTGAAAAATTAAAACATTAAAGTGTACTGGCAAAACGCTTTGATATTAAAAGCATTAACACGTTAACATAAATAAGATCGATACTTTGTGTAAGAACACACTATTTTAAATTCACGAGAAACCAAATGGTTCTCTTAACTCCAAAGGAACAGAGTACTGTATAAAACCAATATGCTGTGGATAAAAAAAAATGAGAAGCTGAACAATATACTTAAGAGAGTATCAACAGGAAACAAGTAGATGTTCACCTATACAACTACACCATTTAAGTGTATAGCTACAATTAGTGTCCCGATGGTAACAAGAGTACATAGCTGGCCAGAAGTAAAGGAGACCCCAATTTGCAAGATATTGCAGTTACCAAGCTTCAGAGTGTAGCGGTGTTATGACCCAGCCTAACAAGTTTACACTATATACGCTGAGCTCATACCTGTAATTGTTAATTACAGTTAATAGTCCCACACCTGCTTAACCGATAGGTGCCCCCATGCCCGCCTTTTACCGACAGGTGCCCCCATGCCCGCCTTTTACCGACAGGTGCCCCCACCCCCGCCTTTTACCGACAGGTGCCCCCACACCCGCCTTTTACCGACAGGTGCCCCATGCCTGCTTTTTACCGACAGGTGTATGTTAAACATGAAGATTCATCCCAATTCTTACCGCTCCAGCAGAACTCCACCTTCCTTGGAAGCATTGTGCATATTGCTAGGATCAACATTGGCAAAATTGGAAAGATCATTCCCTGAGCAATAGTAGTCCCCAGACCCTGTGATTGCTGTAATCGTAGTGTTGGGATCTTCTGCGGCTTCTTTCAGAGCAGCCATCCACTCTTCATACATCTGCAAACAAGATATTTTGTTCTAAAGATAACATGGACAAAAACGACTAGCTTAGGGACTTTTAAGTTACTAAAAATATTTGTATATGCAATACACTCATTATTATATACAGTAACATGAGAGAAACATACAAGGACACACACAAACACGGAGGATAAGGCTTACTTCTGGAGTGAGTGCATTTTTCTTGGATGGGCGATTAAGGGTTATTGTACGAAGACGATTATCACAAGATACCAGGAGTGTTTTATATTTTTGACCAGAGTCTACCTGTGATGCTGTAGTCTCTTCCTGAAAATTATACAAAATTAGTAATACTATTCTCTGCCGTATCATTAGAAACACATTTCCTAATCACCACATCATTTCTAAACTTTAACTATCACAACTTTTCATAATACTGCTTGGTAGTATAGAACTTTACATTTTATTTCAAATCTAGATTGGTCATTTTAGTACATAGATATCTCGAGTGAAATAATAATAATGATAAATATTGGTCTTCCATAAGTTTTCCATTTATATACTCAAAATTAAACAATCCTCCTTTCCACCTAGTTTTGCATATAAACTTCAATGTGTAAGTACAGTAATGTTAAGTACAAAATTACTAAAAAAAAATTAAACCTTGCTATTTTTCACCATCAAGATCAAATTGTAACAGCACAACCACCAAGAAAGATATACAGTTCTTAAGGAAATGTTTCTTATGTTGGTGTTCTTTGCTCTTTACGGTGTGATGATAATTCCTAGCTACACCAAATGCTTATAAAAATTCAACATATGCCACTCCAATTTACAAGTACAGTACCTATGCTTTACACAAAGGCACTACAATTGATTACAACAATGATTTATTTACTTAAAATTTCTTTACAATAACATTTTTTAAATAAATAGCTCTTCAATTTATCCCAATCTTACATAATCTTATGCAAAACAAATTTAAGTACCTCTTCTTTCACAAGTGAATTGACTAGTTCAATGTAGGCTTTCTGAGCATCCTCTTTACTTATAGTGCCAAGTGCATTCCAAGCATCCCACTTAGCACGCGCTACAAACTCCATCATCCCTGGACGCTTGCTTGTCACAGCACCAGATGTGGACTGCTTGAACAGTGCGTATATCTTCAATTTTGCATCATTACCTACAAGGGAATGCTATATAAAGAAGTGGTCCCACACAAGTGCTACACAGCCATATACAGGTCTCATACAGGTAAATGTTATATTTAATGTCTCCAATAATTTAAACAATGGTACTGTACTTAAACTTTTCACACAACACTAAGGATTTAACAACTTCAGTCCTTATGAAAACTCATAAAATACCTACCAGGATCTTCCTTTAATGAACCAAGCCGGGCTTTGGCTTCCTCAAACTGTGCACTAAGTCCACTCATGAGCCTAACCTGTGGCACGATGCCCCATGCTGGGGCCTTATTAATTGGTGCCTTCAGAAGAGCATGAATACCATATCTGAAAAATAAGCTTGAAAGAATAAACATTCTTGGCCAAAAGCTATCACATTAATACATAGAAGGATTGTATCCCAAGCTTCTTATTTCAGAAAATGCATTCAGTTTTATGTAATACAGGGGTACCTCAGTTTTTGTAGTTAATCCATTCCCACAGACATTACGAATGCTGAAAAATACAAATACAGAGACAAATTTTCCCATAAGAAATAATGTAAATTGAATTAATCCGTTCCACACCCCAAAAATATTAACTAAAAACATACATTTTATACAGAAAACTACTCATAGTGCCTTACCTTTATGGAGGACTCTTGTTGACATATGGAAGACGATGAGGAGGGGGGGGGGGAGTAGGAGGAGAGGTGTTAGTGTTTGGAAGGGAAGTCCCCTTCCATTATAACATCAAGCAGCGATGACATGAGAGGTCCTTGACCTCTCTCTTACGTTTGACAGGCATACCACTAGGACCTGGTTGTGGCTCACTGCTCTCTTGTCTGACTAAGAATCTGTCTATAGACACTTGTTTTTCCCTATGTTTTAATACTTATCTGTAGTCAGACATCACATTGTCTCACTATGAATGATTTCTTGTTTTCCTCTATCGTCATCCTCACAACTATTTTCTTAGGTTGAACATTACTTGGAACCAATGGCATGATATATAATAAGAACGTTTATGTTCAGAAACCAAAAAAGCGCAAAAACAATTAAATTCTTCACAAAGAATTTAAGCACGATCACTAGGCGGGAGACACTGGTAGTCTGAAGAGCGACATGTGCTCGTTCAGTCCATACATGTATCAACAAACTTGAGCACCAAGGCAAACTACGAGTACCGAGTCAAATTTTTCGAAGAAATTGAGCTCGAGAATCGAAAAATACGAAAATGGGCACTCAAAAACCGAGGTTCCACTGTACTAAAGTCCACATAAAAAGCAATTTTCTGAGCAGTACATTGGATTGGTCCTGAAGCAAGAATAGGACCTATCAAAGTATGTCAACAGTCTACCTTAAAACCAAGGAGAACTTTTAAAACTGTCCCTGCTTGTGGAAAACTCCACTCACCATATCCATATCATTATCTAAGGAATGCAATATTTCCACATTATATCAATAAATTACCTCAGAATCATATCTACTGATGGTCTACCCCTTAGACTATTAACTGTTAACAGCTGACATACCCCCATGTGCTCAAGAAAAAAAATTGTTCTGAAAATTGTTTTTCTTATGACATTGTTAATTAGCCTTCAGGAAGCACAAAAATCCAATTAAAAAGTCTCTAGCTCTTGTGGTTTAGCTGTAGTGGCCTGGAGAAGTTGCATATTTTTAGGTAAAATGAGATGAAGTGCCGCATGGTAATAACTTTGTTGATATATTTTAATTGTTTCAATTTATTTAGTTTTTTCATGCTAACAGATTGTATTTGTGTGTCAAAGGTACTGTCTATTATGTATAACTTTGAAAATATAAGTATGTATGGATATACGAGTACTGTATTGATATACACAGCCACATACATACTTTTTCAAAATAATATATGTATACATATATTATAAGCCTAAATCTTAAAATTGCACATGGCACACATTTTGCCTCAAATATATACATAGTAATCACTCATTTGCTGTTGCTAAAAGTTTAGTGTTTCCTCTATGGTTGCCCTAATGTTCAGACATTGGATGGTGATGTTGCCAAGCAATGGTCATTATTTTCTTACTAGGGCCCTAGAAGGAAAGAAAGGGACTCAGGATTTTTTTCAAGATGGGGAGGGGTTACTAGAGCCCTGAGGAAACTGATGTGAACCCCATGTAGCCGGGGGACTTTTAAATCTTGCATGGTACTCCTAAACATCAAATGATGTCTTGAGTAACTGTCGATAAATTGTGCAAGACGTATGATGTTTTGCACAGTTTAATGGTTAAAGATCATCTGTATCTACATCAGAAGCCTTCATGACAATTTGGTCATGTGTACCACTGGGCTCAATGCATGTTATCTTCTTGAGGTTATGTTGAGATGATTTCGGGGCTTAGCGTCCCCGCGGCCCGGTCCTTGACCTCACCCCCAGGAAGTAGCCCGTAGCAGCTGTAACTCCCAGGTTACTGCTGAGTAACAGAGGCATCAGGGTGAAAGAAACGCTGCCCGTTTGTTTCCGCCTCCACTGGGAATCAAACCCAGAACCTCAGGACTACGAACCCGAAGTGCTGTCCCTGAAAACACAAATCGAAACTGTCTCTATTTTCCGCTTATTACAACTTGTAATAAAGTTATTACATCTTGGCTTAACGTGTTTATGACATATTAGAATGTTGTTACAACTTGCTATATTGGTTGCTATAACTGGTTAGGTGTTAAAACTTGTTTGAACGTTGCACCAACGTCGTAGTTTCGGTGTGTATTTGGCGGGGTCCACTCAGCTGTTGGGCTCCTGTGACTATGTCCATGTAATATCAAAAATCTAGAAGCTTCCAGGATAAAAAAAAATATTGTTGGAATGAAATAATAGCTTCCAGTGATGTATTTTCAAAATCCTTAATAAATGACATTGTATTATCAAGTACTGTACTGTCAATAATCTTTAAATCCACTATGTGTTTATCTTGTGTTATAACTTCATCACAATAATCAGTCTAAATAATGAAAATAATCAATTTATAATCATTGTTGGCACCTTTGCTAGAGTGAAGGAGGACGCTGCCAGTGGGGAGAAGTGCCCAGGACCAGAGTGGGGAAAAGTGCCCAGGATTTTAAACATCAAAGTGGTGTTGATAACATTTTTAATGGACATTACCTGAAATACTACTTATCTAATCACCAGTGATAATTCCCTAGATACTTGAGAAATCCATGATCTATAATCTGATCTGTGATTTGACCATAAGAACTCTTTTCAAGAGCAGTGAAGTCTAGCTCGGGTGTCAGGAGTCTCGCCACGTTCCCTCCATTGTGACCTCATCCTAGCAACTGCTTCAAGAAGCCATCCCACAGCAAAAGCTACCAGGGATATAACCAACATCAAGGCTGCCATATCCCCATCAAAATATAGAGCTTTGTTTCAACAGGAGAAACATCATCTGACAACTTGCCAGATTAAGCTCCGGTTCTCAATTTCAGGATAACTTAATAATTGTTTTACAGCATAGATTGGCCAATAGTTTGCTTTATGACATTAATACATCCATATATAAATTGAGTCGTTAGGCAGCGAGGCAATGCCTCACCAATTAGTGAGTTGATTTACTTCTTCAGTGACTGAACCTCTGTTATGGCTGAATATAAATATAAATCTGAATGTCTATAATCTTGTATATCTAATTCTTTAGTATAACTCATCATACATTTAATTGCCATATCCATTAATCTTAATTTATCAAATTAGTTTATTTTATTGCATAGAATATTTTCTTTGCATTATGCTTGTATTATACAACTACTTTGTTGAGAGTATCAGAACAATTGATAGTTGGCTGTTACAATAATTCTAGAGCTAGGTTAAATTATGTACCTAGTTCAGATTTTTTTATAATAAACCATACCAGAGTTTACAGTTATAAAACGGTTAATTATCATATCCTTGTATAAAATACAAGCTAAATGTGTTGAAATACCTGCAGGTATTAATGGGTAATGGGCTCCTACAGTCCATTACCTGTAGCCCATTACTAACAGTATCATTACCAGTATAGCTACAGCCCATTACCAGTATAGCTACAGCCCATTACCAGTATCAAGGACACAGAGAAACTGGACTTACAGCCTAAACATAGGACCTCTGCCCTTAGATAAGAATTTGCATGTTTTATTTTTGCATTTTAATTAATTATATTCAGTACTTAATTTTCAAGGCCTATGTAATTCTCTTTATCAACATAATCTCAGTATTTTTTCACACTCCCTGCCTGGTCATACTGGTACAGTACTAGGGAACCATTGGAGAGATCTCAATCTAGCTCAAAAGGTGGACAAACTCATTATATGAAAATGGTAAAAAAGCCTTTTCTGGCATAATTTAGCAATGCAAAGACTGCCAAGCTGTGCTCTAGTTAATTGTCGAACAACCTGGCCATCCAGCCCCAACCTTCTTGAAATTGACCAAAATCCGAGATAAGAAAAACTCACCCTCAAACATTGGGGAAACAGAGAAGAGAGGAATGGGAGAAAACAAGTTTACTGCTCAGAGAAATATTTTTCCTATGCATTTAAAGCTTTATTGCTGAGCTATTCCACTCAGTTGCTCCCTTAGGCAGTTGTCAGCAGAAGTCACCATAACTTCAATGAAGATATGGTGACTTGAGCTGTCAGGTGATATAAATAGCAGCTGCTTGGGAAGAAGTGGCAGGAAAAACAACAGTTTGTTCCCTAGAGCACCTTTCCCAACTAGAGGAAAAAGAGGTGAGATGTGGGAGGCAAGCTTTCAAAACTGTGGACATCAAAGCCCATCTCCCCCCCCCCAAAGCAGACATCTATGCAGGACACAACTAAGAGCCTCATGGAAGACCAATCACAGGAATTGTGCTCCAGGAGAAGCCCATGACTGCCTTAGTCATAACGCTGAGATATACGAGAACTAAACCACACACCAGAAGATGAGGAGACGACAACGTTTCGGTCTGTCCTGGACCATCATCACAATCGACTTGATAAGTCGATTATCAATCGATAATTCAGGATGGACCAAAACATCATCATCTCGTCTTCTGGGTTGTGGTTTAGATCTAGTATCTTCAAGACACATTGTTGTGACTCAATGTCTGCACTCAGATACAAGAGCCTTACTGAGTAGAATGATGATACTGGGACTGACAATCCATGAATGCCTCCAGACAAGATCCTACACGAGGTCAGATGCCACCTGCTCCCCAGAAAAAAAGTTAAAAGTTTCATCCTAGAATCATACACACAAAGATTAGTAGAAAGCTCAAAGTTGGTTGAAGACAAAAGGGCTGGTCCCCCTGTATGAGGAGAATGGCTAAAGGATGAATTGAAGTACAGTTGGCATTATTCTCAACTCTCAATCAGGGATCCCATGTTCAATGCCTGGGTTGGGACAGAAATAATTGGGCACATTTCCTTTCACCAAATGCCTCTGTTCACAGAGCCCAGTAGGCTCAGGAATCTGTACACCAGTTGAGCAGCAGGACCAGAGCCAAAACTCAACCCCCACATGCACAACTAGGTAAGTACATATCTGTAAATAGGTGCCCTCAGGTAAATTCAGGCAAATATAATAATAATAATAATAATAATAATTTATTTGTAAGAAGGTACAATGGGTTGGTGAGATTACATATGATTGGTATTTTTACATTCATGCAAAGCCACTAACACGCATAGCATTTTGGACAGGTCCTTAATTTAACATGTCAAATCAAATAAAATGTTTATTCACGTAAAAGCACATACATACAAGATGAGTTACAAACATAATGTTGGATTTCTAGATAGAGCTAGTACATACAAAGCCTAAAGTCATTAATACGCAATATAAGGTTTTTATATCAACAAATAACTACAAGCAGATGACGAGTCACAATAACGTGGCTGAAGAATGTTGACCAAACCACACACTAGAAGATGAGAAGACGACAACCTTTCGTTCCGTCCTGGACCATTATCAAGTCGATTGTGAAGGCGAATCGTCGTCGTCTTATCAACTTCTAGCGAGTGGTTTGGTCAACAAATAGCTACAACGCAAGTTGACAGAGGTGATTACACTGGTAAAGATATGTCTTAAGTACAGTACTGTACAAATATTGGGGAAGTGGGTAGGACAAGATACAGTGCGAGGTTGACCTCACAAGGTAAGAAACTTTGAAGATAAAATTAGGTACTTTTTGGTTTTACTTTTGAACAGGGCATAGGTTGGACAATTTTTTTAATTCATCAGGGGAGTGAGTTCCAAAGACTGAGTCCTTTTATTTGCATCAAGTGTTTGCACAGATTTAGTCTGACTCTGGGGATCAAAATCGAATCAAAATGTTTATTCCGGTAAATGTTCATACATAGAAGATGTTACAAACATAATGTTGGATTTATAGATTGAGCTAGTACATACAATACCTAAAGCCACTAATATGGGATATCAAAGATATATTTATTTCTGGTGTGGTGCTCATGGGTTCTATTACATGTATCAAGGAGAAGTTTCAGATCAAGATTAGCATTTAGGAACAAGGTTTTGCACATGTAGATAGTGTTCCGAACTATAATGAAATCTGACCCAAGTAGCAATTGGGTCAACCAATGTGTTGCGTTTCCACAATGGGGTTGCCTAAGTTAAAATTGGCAAACGTCGATTTTAATGTTCAAAATTTTCCCATAGATATGAAGTCCCCATGGCACAGTGATAAAACACTGAATTGATTTAACCTAACCAAACCTAACATTAATAAACCTTTGGATTTTTGGTTTAATAAGTTATCAAGAGCCCCAACAATATTCTTTGGGTGTTCACCGATTTTAACTTGGGCGACCATTGTGGAGACGCAACACATGGGTTAACCCAATTGACAGTCTGGTCAGATTCTAACAAGGGTTCAACCATATACATAACTAGATTTTGGGTACAAGAATTACATAAACAATTTTCATATATAACTCCAGAAAAGTGTTGTACTTTCTCCATTACGAGTCGAACATCAATAATGACCCGATACAATCAATGATCACTTGTATTGAGCCAACGTACTCTAGGAACAACTTATGCCCAATTGTTATTAAGTGCAGCAAGAGGACTAGGCTGTATACCCCCATGACACCTGTACCCTGACGACAGTATATACCAGAATATATATATATATACCCCCTCTACATGCAACTCATCCTCTTAAGATAACGTCGCTTTTTGTTCGTATGCACTCTATTGCCAAAAATAGACATAATTTGAAATGAAATTGGCTCACGAAAATGATGAATAAATTTTTTTTTTCCTGTTCCGTACTCAAGACTCCGGCTTACTCAGTTAGGTTAGGAGAGGAAACTTTCAATTAACAGTTTTCATGACGTTTTGAAACCTTAGGGGAGAACTTCTTGCCCTCCTAACCCTACCAGAGGACCCTTAACTTGTTGTTTTGGATAAAAAAAAAAAAAAGTCCAAAATTTATTTTCAAATTCCATTTTCGGCCATATGGGCAGGACAAGTTGATCATCGAATAGCTGTGCCAATTAGTGCCTTTAGGCACAGTATATACACTGGCTCTATCTACAGATCCAAGATCCATCTTGTAACTCAATTTGTAGTTATGTACTTTCCTCCAAATAAACTAGTGAACATTATCATTACAAACCTGCAGACACCGACATGTCGGGCTAAATATCTCACACCAGCCATGACCTCCTCTCTCAAAGTTTACCACTTCACGTAAATGAATAATAAGCGTATTGCTGTGTTGTATGTATAGAGTAGAGCAGCGTATTGTGGTGGTGTATATATATAGAGTAGAGCAGTGTATTGTGGTGATGTATGTATAGAGTAGAGCGCCTAGCAACAGCCGTCCGGCCTCGGTGCTGGGAGGAGCCGGCTGGGTATGATGACGCTGGCCACCGCTATTAAAATAAATAAATAAATGTTTATTCAGGTAAAGTACATACATACAAGAGGTTTTACAAAAATTGATAGATTTATAGATAGAGCTAGTACATACAATGCCTAAAGCCACTATTACGCAAAGCGTTTCGGGCATTTATTAGCCATATTAGCCCAGCCATATTTATTTTATTTATTTATTTATATACAAGAAGGTACATTGGGTTTGTGAGAATACATAGCATAGTATTTACAATCTTGTAAAGCCACTAGTACGTGCAGCGTTTCGGGCAGGGCCGGATTCAGGAAGGTACTTACGAAGGTTTTTCCTCTTAGCTAAGAACGTTTTCCTTCTTAGCACCTTCGTGGCGGCTACGTCCATATTCAAGTAACTACACTAAGTGGAAAAAGTTCATTCCGGGATTTAAGTGTGGTTTCGACCACTCGTAGCTTTACGTAAACTGGATATAAGTCATTTTTTCTCTACTACATAACACTGGGATCGATTTATGATATTGGAACATGACCAAAATATTATAGCTGGTGAATCTAGTGGAGAGGAGTCCTTCGTGTTAGTTATATATGCATTCTCTGCTTGAAACTTGAAGTAAATATGTGTTTGATGATAGTAGAATTAGTTTTATAATAGCAAGATATTATACCCGTAGTTATTAAGTAAATAAACACTGGTGAACATGAAATATGAGAGAAGCTGATGAGTCCTGCCTGATGGGATCATTTACTATCACCAAATGCGCCTGTTCACCTAGTAGTAAGGGTATACCTTAGCTATACATACCCATTTCTAATTTATTTAGTTTGGTTTTATTTTGAAATTAAATCTGGGTGAGACAAAATAAAAATATGCTGCACAAATGATGTTAGGTAAGGAAAAGGGTAAAAATGTCAAAAACTTTATTCATTGAATACTTAAATCATGTTGACCATGGATCATTAAGATCTCATGTTGATATGTAATAGTCATATTTCTTTTGAACTGCTAATCCATGCTAATCATTCATTAAATTGTGCATTATGTCTCAATTTTTCACTTCCTTGGATATACTGTACAGTACAAAAAGATAGGATAAAAATAAACCAGTAATATTTCTTTCATTATATTTTTCATTTAAATAACTGCATCAATATTTTTACAGCTGACAGGATTTGTTTTACCATACAGGTGCATTATTTGTTAAAAAAAAATTTGGTTTATTGTTACACACAATGGTGCTACATAGCCTTCCCAGCTTGGTGCCTTCTTTTAATACTTACTGATTAAAAAATAAATAATAAATACATTTTATTCAGGAAAAGTACATACAGTTGATTTACAAACATAATGTTGGATTTATAGACAGAGCTAGTACATACTAGTGTATGTACCTAGTACATACAATACCTAAAGCCACTAATACTCATAGCATTTCGGGCAAGGTGTGGGGGAAAAAACACAGACTAAAACTTAATAGTAATCGGGATTAGGTATAAATTGTGTTGAAAGAAGGAATAAAAAATACAAAAAGGGGGGTTAACATAGCATAAATCAGCAATTGCACATGTTGGTGAACAGCGTTGTTTAAAAAATAGCAAGACATGGGTTGACATTTAGGAGGTAAGTTAGGTTACATGGAGTTAATTAGGCAGTACTTGGTTTAACTCTTAAACTGGTTGAGAGAGGTACAGCCTTTGACATGATTCGGGAGGTCATTCCACATTCTGGGTCCCTTGATTTGTAGAGCACTTCTAGTTTGGTTACACACAGCCAAATTGAGTAACAGGAAGAGGTCTTGGACACAAATTTGTTCCATGCTAAATGTAGAGGAATCAGCTGAGTATTCCTCAAATAAAATAAGTTGCCTCAGCTTATAAGGTAAATAAAATAAGCATTTCTCAAATAAGTAGCTGCCTCACCTCACTGCCTTACTGTTACATAGCCTTCCCAGCATGGTGCCTTCTTTTGATAATTACTTGTTCCACACCCAAATTGTATAACAGGAAGAGGTCTTGGACCCCTACTTCCCTCTCTCTTTTTTAATAATCTATATAGTCATAATTATAGCTTTAATAAGGATAATACAGTACTGAATTTGTAATAATACAAACTATAATTTAAAATCTTTATTACTGATTTTTTTTATTAAGAAGATTAGGTATACACAGCAATGTACTACTACCCTATTCTATATGGAATATTACACAGTGTAGATAAAAAACTAGCTATAAGTTTATCTAATACTCCCATCTCACAGGATGGTTAGACATACTGTACATGGAATCAGTTTAAAAAATACCAGCCTCAATACAAAAAACAAATCAACTCTGACTAAACAACTCTAAGCAATTTTCACAAGAGGTAAGCACTGAATCATGGAAACATTATATTATAATTACTCTTACCAGTTTCTACAAGACTCCTCTCAAACAATGTATTTTTAAACATGTTTAGGTATACACAGCAATGTGCTGCTTCCCTATTCTGTATAAAGGACCACACAGTGTAGATCAAAAACCAGCTACAAGCTCATCCAACATCCTCACCTCACAGGATGGCCAGTCATACATGGAATTAGGAGAGAACAAAATACTTAATGCTGATCTATTAGCCTCCACTGGCAAAATCTGGGTGCAGCACAAGAATATCTTCCAATATTCCTGAGTGTATGAAGTAATTACAGAGCTCAAAATACCTCATACCATTTGGTATGAAGTCACTGATAACAGGACAATCACAGATATAGTGTTGGAGAGTATGTTCTCTCAAGTAGGACTGAAAACAGATGTTTTTTTCCACCAAGAGGGCTATAAACCCATGGAACCGCCTACCCGCTGAAGCCATAAATGCCAAATTCCAGCTAAAAAATATCATTAAGACAATTGGCGGGCCCTTTAACAAACCGCCGGCTTTCTGTCCTCTTCGAGGTCATTAGATAGTTAGTGGCCTTTGGGTAAATTCAGTAAATATATACAATAATTGTCAGCGCATCTTCCGAGCAACAAGGACAGCTACACAGTATCTCTTAGAATTACGTAGGTAAACAACAAATGTAACATATTTGTTTACTACAATGTCGGTGCTGGCTGTAGAAGTTGAAAAAACATTGTTTTACTTCAAAATATACTAATTTTATAAGAAAATTTGACGTAAATAGGAAGCAGTAGAGCTCTGATAAACCAGCGCTAAATCTTCAATATGAAGAATGTTGCTGCTTTCTGATCGGCCAAACGAAACACAGTAGTGACCTCTATCGGCACGCAGGTGAACCAAGAAATTTCTTCCTTCCTAAGTGGACCTTATTGAATCGCACCTAAGCATCTTCTTAGGGCGCACTTAGGAACCTTCGTAGCGAACCTACTTACGAAGAAATACACAGAGCTTCCTGAATCTAGGTCCAGGTCCTTAATCTAACAGATAATTTTAAGTACGTAAATTCTAGAATATAAATCAAATCAAATGTTTATTCAGGTAAAACTACATACATAGAAGATTAGTTACAAACATAATGTTGGATTTATAGATAAGAGCTAGTACATACAATACCTAAAGCCACTAGTACGCATAGCATTTCGGGCAACCCTCACAAGAGGGTTCAAAGCACAAAGTATCTCACAAGAGCCCTGCGAATCACTTTTTTTGGTGTATTTATATATACTAGAGTTCTTACCTGAGGCCCAATAGCCCCTGTTGGCCTCAACGAGGGCAGGAAGCCGGCGGCTTGTCAAAGATCCCACCCCCCCACCCCTTTTACATTGTTGTAAAGCCATTATTAGCACGCACAGTATTTCGGGCAGGTCTTAATTTCCCCCTGGGATACGACCTGCTAAATCGTTTAACAACCAGGTCCCTATTCACTGCTGGATGAATAGAGGTGTATAGTTAAGGAGCCTAGTCAATACTCCCCGGCCAAGACTCGAACCCAGGCCAAATTGCTCCAGAGGGCTGGACGAGTGCTTTACTACTGCGCCACGGGGACGGATAACTCAAGTATGTTTATTTAGATAAGAAAGAAATACATATCAAAGGGATAGAGTAGCTTAGGCTATTTCTACCCCCCGGACACAGGTTATCACTACGCGAGTTAAGTGCTTAAGTGCTTGAGTTAAGTGTAAAGTGCTTGATTACACTAATTTGTCTTATCTGTTATCTCACCCTGTCAGAGTAAGAGACAAATGTATGTGTATCTTTATGTATAATGTACATATATGTGTATGTGTATGTATAAAGTATATGTGGAAGCTGATCAGAATTACATTTCACCTTTGTAAATGCACATTAATGACACTATGTAAGAGACACATCGAACACTGAACATGTGTTCAGCCTGTGATACATCGAATCTGAAATGTTACCCTAATGTACCTTGTAATCCTTGCTCATTAGTCTATTGTTATTATTGTGTATTATTCTAATCTGCTTTTGTGTCAAAATTTCTTGCAATGTACCTGTAAACATTTTTTGTCAGTTTCACTGTAATTATTCTACTTAAAATTATCTGTACCTGTAAAGTGAAGCTGTAAAGTACCTGTTAACATTTGTTGTTTATTTTACTGTGAATTATCTAAAAATTATCTGTTAGTTTAAAGACTTGCCCGAAAGCTTTACAAGAATGTAAATGTAAAATCAACACTTTATGTAGGGCAGAAGTAAATCTGTGTATCTATGTATTTATGTATGTATTTAGCTTAGCATTTTAAAAGCACTACAATCACCTTCTGTGGTTGATTGTTCAATAAATCACTGAACTATATGTTTAACAAATCTTTAACCCTGTCCATGGAGGACAGAAGCAAATGTATACTGTATATGCTGCTTAGCATTGTGAATGTGTGGCCACGTCTGTGGTAGAAAAATAATATCCTTTGCATGATCTTGTAAAGACTGCAATAAGTTCTATGTAGGCCAAACATCCAAATTTGAAATTTAGAATTTTGAAGCACAAATATTCTGTAAGACATGATCTCCTTTGCATGATCTTGTAAATCAAATTTGAAATTTAGAATTTTGCAGCATAAATATTCTGTAAGACATGGCCAATTGGCTAATGCCTTATATGTTCATTTGTCAGAAAATTCTCTCCAAATTCATTGGGAGAAATCTTCTTCAATAAAGAGTTGTAAAAGCATTTTCAACAAACATTATTGAAGCTGCTTTACTACAGATCACTAAACCATACAATTTGAACTTTAGTAATGGTTTGTATAGTATGGATCCATTTTTGATTAAAAAAGGATTTGAGTAAGATCATTAATAGTTACAATTATATCTCAATAATATCTCATTTGTATTCCTGGAACTCACAAAAAATGTATGGGTCAGTGACTCTTCTGCAATTTCCTCTTATGTTTGTGAACAAAGACATTATTTTCACCTCGCTTCATTCCTGCTCATTCCAGTGGTGATGTACCAGTGGTATCAGTGGTAAATTGTACCAGTGGTACATCACCACTGACTTGTAATATATATCAAGTTACAGCCCCGCTCCTGTGCCAGGCAAGTCCACTACAGGCTCACCATAGCCCGTGCTACTTTGAACTTATATTCCCAGTAGCTGAATCTATAACAACTTGTAATATTACGGGCTATTTCATGCCCGCGCCACATCTTGGGTGGCTTAATCTTCATCAATCAATCTTGTAATATCCATCCTTCTGAAAATGTATTATTAAATATGAAAGTACTTAAGGAATTTTGTCTCATTCCTTCTTCGTTGTCTCACACTATTCACCACATATTTATTATTTGTGTCTGCAGAATTGAGCTATTTAGCTCTTGGACCCCACCTTTCTAACCTATCTATTTTTCCTCTTATGTCTACTACATATATTTCCATCTAACTCATGCACACATTCCCAGGAAGCAGCCCATAGTAGCTGTCTAACTCCCAGGTACCTATTTACTGCTAGGTGAACAGGCCCATCATGGCAAAAGAAACTGCCCATTTGTTTCCCATTTGAAACTCTCCATTTTGCACGTCCATATCCGGAGACATTGTGGGGATGGGGAGGCAACCCCAAGAAATCATACACGAGTCTCCTCACCTTGACAAGGAAAAACTCTCGAGCTAGTGTGAAGTGGTGCCGGATTTCAGCAATGTGCGCCAAGATCTACATTTTAATACTTCTGCACTTTATCTATACAACTGTCAAATGATGTTGTCAGCTAGTTTCTATGGGCTGATGACTCTCCAACCAATAAAATTTAAAAAATGGCATACAGAATTGTAATTATGAAAAATCTGCTGTAAAGACCATATACTATCCAGTTTCATTAGGTATCTTTTACAATGAGTGCCGTTAGTTTCAAGTAAACACTAATAAGAGGGCTGTCTAGGTATTGTACAGATCTGCAAGTTTATGTGACAAAAGTTGGTAGGAAATTGGTTAGTCAAGAAACTTAAGGGGTTAAACATTGTAAGCAAAGGTTATTCATCTCCTGGCATCAAGATGGGTGCAGTTTAGTGCTTGCACTTAATTGCATAGCCATCAGGGAGAAACACATTCCAATTATGAATAGGAATCTTTATATAATAATACATTAATGCTGTAGTTTCAAGGCAATATTAAAAATATTCATAAAATGTGCAAGCTAACAAAAAGAATTAAATGAATCCCTACTCCTATTTCCTTGTGTAATTTAAGGATATAATAATAAAAATTACTTCATTTTAATTTCTTTTTACAATTACTTTAGTAGAAAACATGAATTTCCTTGTTTACAAAACAGAAGATCTAAAGCATTTAATACTGAAATAAAGTACATAAAATAAAGCAGCATCAAACTCCTAATGGAGTTTGGCGAGTTAGTGAGCTGGTTCATGTCAGAAGTAATAATAAATTATGTCTGTACCTATTCAGAAGTAGGTATGGGAAATGATGTGGTATACATTGCAATTTTAAATGGATACCAATTGGAAAATAAAGACGTTAATTGAAATTAATAAAAAAATTATGTGCACAAATCAATTTAATGACTGGAACTAGCTCTGAAGTCTGATAAAAATACAGGTACATTACATTTACTACCAGTTAATACTAAATAAAGTTTATCAAAATAATTTCAAATAGAAATTACCAAAGTTGTATATTCTAAAAAACTCATACTTATCCCTTTGTACTTCAGGTGTCGTAAAATGAATTTAACAACCTAAAGCATAATTTCCATTAGCTTTTTAGATCCAACGTCTAATAACAGTTAAAAGTTATGATGCAAAACGGTTCGAACAAGCTATGGACAAAACAGGCTATCGGGTAAGTGTGTCAATATTCAACCAAGGGGGCAGGTGCATGGTGGCAAAGCGCACACACATTCATTGAAAGCTCCAAACCTTCAAATCACTAGTCTTAAATCATATTACGAATTCGCTACACTGTATTAACAAAGCATACCATTCTGATGAAATTATCATTCATACGCTTGAATATATAAAATCATATTTTGTTTTTACCTTCTACAGCATATTCACCAAATTGAAGACTACAAACTCAAATCTTTGTGAAAGCTCAAGGACAGATGCCTGCCCAGAGTATAATGTTGAATTTGTTTAGTTTAATTGAGGTTCTGACACATGCCCATTACATACCAAAATTGAGTGGCAGAAGAGCATGTAGGTGGAGTGCTAAACATGAATGTTTCCGCAATAGAGTACTGTCCTGTAGTACAGTAATTTTATGCTCGTTCACTAGTTTGTAGTGTTATTTTCTAATAAGACAAATTTTATTTTTTATATTATTACACATTAATTTCGTAAGTGGTTTTGCTTGCAGAGCAGGAAGCTACTAGCGAATCATCAAATGTTTATAAACATAGAGCTGTATTACATTTGAAGAGTTTTTAATGTATGCATTTTTAACATGTAAATATCCTCAGATTGTTTTATTGCATAGTATAAAGATTAATTGCAGAAATTCATTTTCCATTAATTTTCACACTAGATGCATACTGCAGCATTGTATGCAACTTCATCAATGATAATTGTTTGTTTCCTGCTCCATGAGGGAGTGGGATTATATAAACATTCCACAAAGTTGCTGTTCTGAATATCACTATAGTCACCAATAAACAAGTGATGCAGGGTACTTGGTCATATGGCTTGTGCACCACTTTGCTTAATTAGCTCCACCCCACATGACAGGCACATGATTTGAGCAATCTTCATGTAATAATCTGCTTATGTGAGAAAACAATTGACACTACATAATCTACATGCGTGTGCACTCATGAGTAAATTACAAAGAAATTAATATGTAAAGAATACTGTAATAATATAACCATGAAAAGGAAGCATGAAATACTTTGTGCTTTCGTGTTTATTTCAGTACATTTTCAGAACATGTGTTGAAATAAAAATTAAAGCACAAGTATTTAATGCTATATTTTCCTGCAATAATCAAGCAAATGCCAATATACAGTAGTGGTATTTACACACATTTCTATAAAACGGCAAAGAAAAATAATTAAATGCCTTTTCTTGCCAACTTGGTCAAGACAACTCTGCGTAAATCTTTCTTTTTTGTTGCAAACACGTCAAGATTAGTACCAATGACAGTACTGTACAGGAAAATTTCATATACTGTACATGTTGTAAATATAACTATCTTGGCATAAATATCATTTAGTGAAGGGAAGTGCCTGAAATGTCATTCTGAAAATAATTATGACACCTTATCTCTATTTAATAATTGAATTAGGCTCCCATGATATTTCATAGAAAATTTTGAGCTATGGTAAGTTTTGGGAGTGAAAACGTAATGGGCCTGGATCATTTAAACCATTATAGGATGATGACACTGCCTTGGAAAAATAAAGTTTATTAAAGGTATAGGTTTGCAAAATAATCCAAAGGACTGTCAAACCTCTAGTCAAGTTCTGGTAGATATCAAGCATATGATATGCAGACATTTTAATTTTGCTCCATAAACATTACTTAGAATGCATTTTGAAATAGTTCTGTAGAAAAGCACAGTACAGTATTTGACAATTATTAATGATGTGGGAACCCATTAAATATATTTTAAACAAATTTTCATGGATTGTTTTAATTTTGTAAACAGCAGCATTACAACATGCTTATCTCATGTGTAGGTTAAAACATTAAGCACATAATGCATTATCTATACATATAAAAAAAAAAAATTGTGTGTGTGTGTGTGTGTGTGCGCAAGATTGGAGGTCAGGCACTTGGGGCTAGCCTTGCACGACTTTGCAGGGTGAATGGTGAGGGGTAGGATACTGTCATATGCAGGTTGAGGCTGGTTCCAATGTGGGCCCCCCCATGTAGTAGATTTTTTTTGCTTTTCCAAAACAGTTTTGCTGTTATATTAGTATGACAGATTTGCATTCTGGGGCTTCTAACACTTAAATGAAGTGAATAAGCAAGCACTCCTTGCTTTTGGAGTTAACCTGAACACCAGATACCCCATCTAGTTTCTAATAAAAAAAAAAAGTCAAGCCCATGCCTATATTCAATGGAATTTGGGATGGAATGGGGCATGACCAAATTATCCCATTCAAATGAGAGTACAATGTGTGCATGTATAAATGTGTACATGTTTATGCGAGTATGTACATACACACTTATTCCAAATGTGTAGATACAGTAATACAGTATTTTAATTCCTTTCCAATTTTTCACAAACATCTAGTGTAAAGTATACCATTATTAAGTTCTTTTAGTCAGTAAATTTAAAGTTTCAAATAAATGCAGTGCTGTCCAGGATGTTCTTTTTTTTATTTGTGAAGTTTGGCAAACCTGTTTCATACCATTTGCCTAATAAGAAAATGTTACCAACAGAGATAAACAAGATATATAATAAATCACTTAAGAAATACTGACAATGATGATTTGTTCTTTAAAGCTAACTTTACAATACAAAATTAATTAATTTTGTATTGGTAATTACAATAACCACCATGCAAAATCCATGGGGCTGCCCCAAAGACATTATGCGTTGTTTTCTTAAAGATCTGTATAAAATAAATGTGATAACTATGCTTCAAATAATCCTATACTGCTTGAAAGCCTATCTTTGAATAAATTCTGTCACTGAAATAGCCATATGCTTTATGTATCATAGCTTTTTTAGCAAGTATTTTTCCAAAAGATGGTAATAATAGCTATATAAAATATATAAAATGCACAACTTTATAAAAACTTATTATACTGCCAATAATACATGACTAGCTTTTGGGGCAACCCAATCATAGATCATTCTTCATCTTAATCTGCCTTGGATTACTAAATAATATTCAATTGTCTCAGAATATCACAAATGTCCTACAAGCAATTTTAAGAATACAAATTTTAGCAATGGTAGAATAATTGTGCTATAGTATTCTCCATGAATATTTGCATTACACTGGCACTATCAAGTCAACATGCAAAATAGTAATTTAATTTTTTTTTTTTTTTTTTTTACAAAAAAATGCACATCGGCACATACAGTACAGTATATATATTTTTTTTAACTTATGCTACATCAAGTCCAACGTGTCTTCAGAACCTTACACACTATGCAGAACATACATTTGTACTAGTAATTACTTTTTGTAAAAATATTACTCAACTTTTTGTATATAGTTTCTTCTAAGATGCTTCAAAATAAAAACTAAGTGAATTTATAGTATAAAAATAAACATTTGTTAACGTTTTGTGTAACCCAAGTAGATGTATCCTTATGATCTATGAAAGGCTGAAAATTCTGAATTTTTAAGCGAGATCTTCGACGGATGCCAGTGGACCCTAATATCAATATCCGTCAAAAAACGGTTAAAACATTTAGAAACTACTTGGAATAAGCCATCAAGGTTTGCTAAAATGTCGTCGTCAGAGAGGAAGTATTATGTAGATCAAAATTATTACACCAGTTTTTCAGCTCTTTGTGCCTTGTCCAAGTCGGTGCGTGCTCGCCTGAACAGCAAGATATGTGGCTCTGTTGATAAAATACCAAGGTAAAAATATGTAAATAATAAATAAATGACAAGATAAATGCTAGATAATGAAAAGCATGAAATATATTGTTGACCAAACTACACAAACGAAAGTGAAGGGACGACGACGTTTCGGTCCGTTCTGGACCATTCTCAAGTCGATTGTGCTGTGCACAATCGATTTGAGAATGGTCCAGGACGGACCGAAACGTCATCATCCCTTCACCTTCTAGTGTGGTCTGGTCAACATACTTTAGCCACGTTATTGTGACTCATCGCCCACTACAGTTATGCCTTAATTACTTTTCCTTTTTTGAATGTACTGTATATAAAAATGTAAATACTAATAGACATACAAACATGCTATTTGCACCAATTTGCACCTTAAAAAAATGTAGATTTATACTACTATACTTTTTTTTCTTCGAAGTGGCTCTCAAGTTGGTAGAGTAAGACCTGATAAACAAAAAATGGTGACCATTCACCATTTCCTCGTTTCATTCCCCCCCATTTCTAAGGGGCCTCGTAGCCTGGTGGATAGCGCGCAGGACTCGTAATTCTGTGGCGCGGGTTCGATTCCCGCACGAAGCAGAAACAAATGGGCAAAGTTTCTTTCACCCTGAATGTCCCTGTTACCTAGCAGTAAATAGGTACCTGGGTGTTAGTCAGCTGTCACGGGCTGCTTCCTGGGGGTGGAGGCCTGGTCGAGGACCGGGCCGCGGGGACACTAAAGCCCCGAAATCATCTCAAGATAACCTCTCAAGAAGATTCAAGAGATGGCCAAACACACTTTGTAGTGTGTAGAAATCAATACAGTGACTAATATCATGATAATGCAGTCCATAACATTACTCTGCCTTCTTTGGGTCATTCTCGCCCACACACAGTATAAAGGAATGCTAGGGAATATTAAGTTAGGATGTATAAACTTGTATAACAAGGTTATTAAGGTTGTACCTGTATCAGCATTTTTTTTTTTTAAGGTCTTATGTATGACAATGTAACCAATGGGAGGAGATCCATGATGGCACACTTATAACATCAAAAGAGGGTGCTTTTATAACATCAAAAGAGGGTGCTTTATCTCGGCGGTCATTAGTCTTTGACCAGTTGAACCCCCATGATCTGGATTGAGCAGTGGACATCTCTATGAAAGCAGGAGTTATGAGAGGACCCTCTCCTAAGATGACCTAGTGTGGGGGTGGGGAACCAATGGCATGTATGCTGAACAATACACAAATCTTTTTTTGTCATGCATACAGTTATTGGTCACCTAAACAAAGTTCTTTAAGAATGCTTTCAATCATTTTTTTTCTCCATTGGCACTAAAGAGAACTTTTTAAAAAAACATCACTTGTTCTCAAAAAGGTTCCCGAGTGGACAGCACTTCAGATTCATAGTCCTGAGGTTCCTGGTTTGATTCCCGGTGGAGGCAGAAACAAATGGGCAGAGTTTCTTTCACCCTGATGCCCCTGTTACCTAGCAGTAAATAGGTACCCGAGAGACGGCTGTTATGGGTTGCTTCCTGGGGGTGTGTAACAAAGAGGCGGCCTGGCCAAGGACTGGGCTGCGAGGATGCTAAGCCCCGAAAGCCTCTCAGATAACCTCAAGATAAAGAACCCCTGATGTAGTGGTCGTTAATAATTTTTCTCGATTACCGAAAAAAAAAAAAGGTCAAGGGTGCTCTGGTGTATAGTCAGAAAGTTACTGTTCAGTGACAGTGGTCAATATGAAATACTGTCAACGACCCATTTCCTGGTCATTTGTGGAAAGTCTACAGAACACAAAGACAACATCAGGTGCCCAGGGAGCATTGTTGATCATTTGTAATGTATTGCATTTTTCATTCCAACCATGCCAGCAATGTATCATGATGTGTAATCAGTTTGGTAGAAGCCCAACTTTTTGTGCTGATCACAGTTTGTTGTGGCGGTTAAGACTGCAAATGATCCTCATTGACAAGATAAAGTCAGTGGGAATTGACATTTCCACTCATAGGAGGAACACCTCGATGTTACAAGTAAGTGGCAGACTGAGAAACTTCTTCAGAAGCTACAGTGTAGAAAACAATTTAGAGTTGCTTACCTGGGCTGTGAACAAGGTAGTGGACCCATCCAGGGGACTGTTGAACACCAAGGTTGCGCCATTCAGTCTCGGTCATCAAATGAGTTTTTGGCACTAATTTTGCCACATCACTTGGTAAAATCACATGTCTGGAAAAGAATAGTAAAGATAAATTCATTACTTATTACCTCTTTTGATCACCGATATCTACAAATTAGAGAAAATCACTACAAAACTGTTTTAGGCATTTTACTTTCTAACAGCATTTGTGTTGATATTTGGAAAATGTTCAGACAGGAAGATATTACTATATTAGGTTTGAAACACTGTCTGATGCTGCAGTTGTGTGGGCTCAATTATGCTGAATCCTCCACTAGATTGTAAAGGAGAGAGAAACTTGGGTGGAACAAGTACTGTTGAATTTAAAAAAAAAAATCAACAATGTTTTGAGGGTCACAGAATTACCATATCTAATGTTTTTTTATCAAGCTCTGGTACACGGTACTGTAATGTGCCGCTACCCTAGTCATGTCAGCAAAGTCGAACAATACCGATTCCTCCTAAACTACAGTATACAGAAATAAAAATAAGAATTATTTTTCTATCTAGCTCAAACTTTTCTCACCTCTTAGACTAATCCTTCTCTCTGCCCAAAGATCTCACTGGAAGAGATGAACACTGCTCGGGCTGAAGAGTGAACCAACGGGCAAAAAATCGTGACACTTTCAAGCCGACTTTTGACAAGTCAAGAGCAAATGTCACAAGTGGAGTACCACAGGGTTCAGTTCTTGCACTGGTGATGTTCATTGTCTACATAAATGATCTACCAGTTAGAATACAGAATTATATGAACATGTTTGCTGATGATGCTAAGATAATAGGAAGGATAAGAAACTTAGATGATTGTCATGCTCTTCAAGAAGACCTGGACAAAAGTATATGGCGCACCACTTGGCAAATGGACTTTAATGTGAATAAATGCCATGTTATGGAATGTGGAATAGGTGAACATAGACCCCACACAACCTATAAATTAGGTGAGAAATCCTTAAAGAATTCTGATAAAGAAAAATCTAGGGGTTGTTCTAGATAGTTTTCTATCTCTTGAGGACCACAAAGAACGTTGTACGAGGAGCCTATGCCACGCTTTCTAACTTCAGAATTGCTTTTAAATACATGGATGCCAAATACTAGAGAAACTGTTCATGACTTTTGTTAGGCTCACTCATGCTAGAATATGCAGCGGTTGTGTGGTGCCCATATCTTGAGAAGCACATCAACAAACTGGAAAAGGTGCAAAGACATGCTACTAAGTGGTTACCAGAACTGAAGGACAAGAGCTACGAGGAGAGGTTAGAGGCATTAAATATGCCAAAACTAGAAGACAGAAGAAAAAGGAGGTGATATGATCACTACATACAAAACAGTAACAGGAATTGATAAAATTGATAGGGAAGATTTCCAGAGACCTGGAACTTTAAGAACAAGTGGTCAGATTTAAACTAGCTAAACACAGATGCCGAAGAAATACAAGAAAATTCACTTTCGCAAACAGAGTGGTAGACGGTTGGAACAAGTTAGGTGAGAAGGTGGTGGAGGCCAAGATCATCAGTAGTCTCAAAGCGTTATATGACAAAGAGTGCTGGGAAGACGGGACACCACGAGCGTAGCCCTCATCCTGTAACTACACTTAGTTAATTACACTTAGGTAATTACCACCATCAACAGTGTACCAGGATCACCATTGTTTACCCTGGGCCATGTGCGTTTGTTTGACAACAACACGCCTCACACTTGAACCCTTTCCCCACCCCACTCCTTGTCTCACCTGTACTCGTACTTGTCGTCGCTGTACTTCTCAGAGTACTGAATCTGGTCGGTCTTCATGTTGCTAAAGTGTGGCAATTACCTGACACTGAGCAATTGTCCCGATAATCCAGGACGACTGCCTGACGCTCATTGGCTGACCGCTCACCGCTGTCAAGTGGCCCAAGGTGCAATATTACTGAATTATTTTGATTTATTGCTAGTATAATAAGTTAAATAGCTAGAATATATGAATAAAAATCGAACTCATCTACATTAATTCATAATTTAGTTTTAAAATTAGTTAAGTATTTTACATTTAAAAACTAGACAGAGGGAATAGCTGCATGATATCTGGTGATCATTTTCACTGAAAAGTTTGTTTTAAGCTACAGTTAAGGACTGTGAGTATTACATTCATATATATAAAGGTATACATGAATACAGTACAACTAATAATAAAATATGATATAAATTCATATATTTTTCGATAAGCATTACTGTAGCAAAACAGATGAGCGCTCAAAGGCGCTAGTTTAAAATTTATATAATAAATTGTAAACTGGCGACCTTGAGAATAATAATAATAATAAATGAAAGCGTTTGCATGTGGGGCATAACAATTCACGTCACAAATGCCCAACATTACCTGGCAGCAGTGATTTTTTTATTAACAAGCTTAGGTATGCACATATCAATGTGCAGCTACCCAATTCTATATGAAAGATTACACAGTGTAGATCAAAAACTATCTATAAGTTCATTTAATATTCCCATCTCAGAGGATGGTTAGTCACACATGGAATCAGGGGAGAAAATACCAGCCTCAATACAAAAACAAATCAACTCTGACTAAACAACTTCACGATTTTCACAAGAGCTAAGTACTGAATCATGGGAACATTCTATTATAATTAATCTTACTAGTTTCTACAAGACTCCTCTCAAACAATGTCTTTTTTTTTAACAAGCAATACAGCAATGTGCTATTACCCCATTATTACCCCATGCTATTTTTAACACACAGCAATGTGCTATTACCCCATTCTGTATAAAGGACCACACAGTGTAGATAAAAAACCAGCTACAAGCTCATCCAACTTCCCCACCTCACAGGACGGCCAGTCATACATGGAATCAGGAGAGAACATGAAATGTAAGGTTGATCTATTAGCATTCATTAGCAAAATTTGGGTGCAACACAGGAGTATCTTCAAATATGTATGAAGTAAACTTGCCCGAAACGCTATGCGTACTAGTGGCTATACAAGAATGTAAAATCAACTTCATTTCTATGTTCTCTCTTAACTCTCCAATGTACCTTCTTGTATATAAATAAATAAAATAAATAAAAATAAAGTAATTACAGTGCTCAAAGTACCTCATACCATTTGGTCTGAAGTCACTGATAACAGGACAATAATAGATATAGTGTTGGAGAGTATGTCCCATCTCTTGTTCACATAGTTTACAATAGGAATGTTCACCATTGGGGGATTCATTACCTGCAGCCACCTGCCATAGATATCGATATCCCAGCCTAATTCTGGCAATTACAATGTCACACTATCTAGTGTGGATGTTTTATGCTGTCTGTACATATAATTCTCGGTTCTAAACATGTCATAGCTCTATACTCGTGCTTTCTGGCCCTTTGTACACGCTCCCACCTGTTGTACAGCTTTCAGTGAATGATAAATTCTGACTCCAAGGTCTTCACCAATCTACTACAAGGTAATGCTGTTAATTTGGCAGTTGTGACGTGGATTGTTATAACCCAAATGCATGGTCTTACACTTTTTCAATATTAAAATTAAAAAAAAATTGTCAGTCGTGTTCTTTGTAATGCCTCACTATCATATTCATTTTCTACTTTACCATAAATGTCAGTGTCATCTGCACATTTGATGATGTGATTTCTAAGGTACTCATCTATGTCAATGATGTATATAACAAAAGGGGTTAGCCCTAAAATGGACCCCTTGCGCTACCCCACTCATCATATTTCATCACATTTAAAAGGTCAGATGTAACACAAACAAGGAGCAACGGTTTCAAGCTCAACAATTAAACCACAATGTAGGACTGAGAACAGGAGATGCTTTTTTCATCCATAAGGTTATATATTATATATATATATATATATATATATATATATATATATATATATATATATATATATATATATATATATATATATATATATATATATATATATATATATATATATATATATATATATATATATATATATATATATATATATATATATATATATATATATATATATATATATATATATATATATATATATATATTTATATATTTATATATACAAGAGGTCTTACATTCTTGTACAGCCACTAGCACGCGTGGCATTTCGGGCAGGTCCTTAATCCTAATTTTCCCTGGAATACGACCTGCCAGATTGTTTAACAACCAGGTACCCATTCACAGATGGGTGAACAGAGGCCAGTTAAAGACTGGCACCCAGTCAGTCCTCCCCGGCCAGGATACAATCCCAGGTCAAAGCCCTGGCAAAGCGCCGGGGGAGTGCTTTACCATTGCGCCTTCGCAGCGGGGACTGGCGACTGGTTATAAACCCATGGAACCGCCTACACGCTGAATCCGTAAATGCCAAAACTGCTGAATTTTAAAATCCAGCTTGAAAAAATTACGAGGACAAATGATTTTTGACAAGAGTGATTGTAACCTATCCACCGCTGCCCACTGGATGGGGGGCGGTGTGCAGGACAAACATATAAATTGTGACACCAGCTCTCCACATATGTCAGTTGCTTAATTTAGAAACTGTACTTGTGGTCGATCTCGAACCCATTGTTGATGTGACGACTTATACTGAATTTTGTAACTAGCTCATCAAGATTGTAACTTGCTTAGCTAAATGAATTGTGGGGTTCAGTCCCTGAGCCCATTATGTGCCTCTATAACCCTTTCCACTACCGCCCACAAGATGGGTATGGGGTGCATAATAAATGAACTAAACTAACTAACTAACAAGCCGCCACTGTAGTGTTAGTAGCCCTCAGCTAAATTCGGGTAAAAAATGCTGGATCCGAATTAATAGTGATACATGGCATGCAGCAGCCTGTGCCTATCTACTAGCTTGCATTTTTCCATCGAGAGTGATCTTATGAGCACAACTTCCCTGCGGTGCGTGTGCACCTGTTCATGTATACTAATTACGAACGTATTTTTGAGGCTGGGGAAAATATGCCTGGAATTCCTGGGAGCAACGTTTTTCTACGGATGACTTGCTATTAGCTTAATAATAAACGCAAAACTGCAAAATATGCTAGATTTTAACAAAAATATAGCAAAATAAAAGTTTGTATAATGTTAAAATATATAATATATTCTTGTTTTATATGGCACTAATATATAAACAGGAAACATTTAGTATATATATTTTTGCTAAAAGCACTTGCGTAGGCCTTGGTGTGTGAGGGGGAGAGGGGGGCCAGGGAATGTTGGTAGAGGATGCGGCCTTTGTGTTGATTCCCAGCCTCTGCTTTATCTTTTGGACCATGATCTGTGTTTTTGGTCAGTGACACATGGTGGTTGTCCCCTCGCTGCGTGAAGAAACAGTCAGCGTCCCTCTGGGGGCTACAGTCAAGGGGATATTTGGTGTACTGGTAAGAGAGGAGAGAGATGTGAAGGTGGGGCGACGCCAAGGTCTGCATTGAACATTACCGTCTTGGATAATTGAGCTCCACCGTGATTTATGGGATGTTGGGACCTCTCTGGAGTCGGTCGTAGCCATGAACAAGGCTCCTCTTAAGTATTTAGAGGAATATGGCAGAAGGGAAGGGAGACTAACGCAGGGAATTTATCAGATGCTCTGTTGCCTGTTTGAACCTTGAGAGAGATTGCTTAAATGCTGGCGGGTATCTGTTGAACGTTGAACTCAGTTTTATCGCAAGTAGCCTCCGTTCAGTCAGACTAGTTAGGCGAAGCTAGAGAAAGAATTAAAGAGAAATTGAGGGCCAAACCATGCTGGAAGTAATTATGACATTAAATATCTCAGTTCTTGAAGGTTTTCAGGTAAACTAAAATAACCATAGATATATAAGTCTCCCACGGCCTGATGCCTTCTTTTGATACTTAAAAGCAACTATATTATATACAGTCTGACTTAGTTTGAGCTCTTCCTTGTATGACCTAATTTTCCAGGAAGTTGAGAAAAGTAAATAATATAAAGTCCCAAGTCTGAATGACTATATTAGCTGGAGACAAATTTGAAACTGTTCAATTTGTTCTGATAAGAGATAGCTGGCCAGAACTGGCCATAAAAAATATTTGGTGCACTATGTCAGTTTTAGCCAAATCAAGTTGGTTCATATTCGATTTTGTAACCATTAAATAGGTCAGCTGCATATTATTATTACGCAACTGTATGTCATAGAATTCAAAGCAAGGTAAATTATGAGGAGAAAGTGCTAAGCCAGTATAACTATACTGTATATATAGATCATATCTACATGGAAGGGATATGAAGACAAGGAGCTGGGATAGGATGGAGGGAGGAAATGGTGCCCAACCACTTGGATCGTTGTGGGAACAAGCAAGGCTGTTACCTTACTGGCCAGTCCAAGTGGTTGGGCATCATAGAATTTAAGTATAATGCAAATTATTAATTTAACATGAAATTACCTGCACAGTATTTTGAACTGGAGCAGTCTTGTTACTGATGGCTTGGTGGGTAGGCATTCCCATGGGTTTATTTCAGGGTTAGCATAGTACGTACCCACATACCCGCTCAGTTTTTTTTAGTTAATAAACCCAGGGCAGGTTTTAACAGTTTTGTTACTTTAATGTGGGCCAATTTAGTTTTCTATTTAAATTTATACTTGAATGTTTTGTGTATTGATTAAAGAGATTTAAAACCCAATCTGCCATAACTTTATGACACTGGGTGGAACAGCATCTGGTTTGGCTGTTGCTTTCAGTGGGCAGACTTCCTAATCTTGGCTTGTTTAGCCTAGATTAGGCTGAATCCTTCTCTCCTTGCCATCTTGACATAGTTGTTTGCTCTCCCTTAACCAAATGTATAATATATTATATTTTAATTAAACTTAGGATAACAGAGTACTGAGTACATAGTAATTATATTATATTTTAATTAAACTTAGGATAACAGAGTACTGAGTACATAGTAATTCTATGTATGAGTTCTATGTTAGAACTCTTGTGTGTCCAAACTCTGTTAGTACCTTAGTGAGTGTATTCACCCAAGCACAACAAAATTAAAAGAAAAACATTATTGTTTATATTGATAATTGACTACCTTGGGATTGTTTGCACTAATTTGTCATCATAATGATTGCTACTGAAGAGAATTAGCATTTTCTTTTACTTGGTGCATGATATGTTTAGGGAGTTTTAAACAACCCAGGGTACTAATGCCAAGCTAAGAATTCTATATTACTGTATATAACATAATAAAACAAATTATGGGAGATTGCATAACAGGTTTAGTTAAGGTTGTCCATCCTTGGTCTCTTGGAGACAGTTTGTAGCGAGTTGACACTGAACACACAACTGAATGCCAAAAACATGACAGATTGACAGAACTTGAGGGGGATTAGTGCACATAAAGCTAGGTAGCTGAGAATTTTGTTTGAAATCATGAAGTTAATTGTTTCATTACATTGTCACATATACTGTAGCAGAATAAGTATTATTTTTTTTTTCTGAATTTTACATATTGTATACTGGTGTACTTGACATTCAGTAGTGCAGATTCCACATTCTTCCATGTTGAATATGGTGACCCCAGATGTTTGCCACTCGAGAGGTGAAATCTATGCACAGGTGATAAGTAAGCCCACTGTAGGGCAGATTGTATTCAGAGGTAAAAGAAAGTGATTCAACATAGTGAAATGCTTAATCCCCTGCATTTTTTCTCGTTATAAGCCCCTTGCTCTCTGTATATGTTCGATATGATAAAGCCCCATAAGTAAAACATTATTTACAAATAAAATCTAGCTAAACTTGGTGTTTCTGTTAGGTTGATGTATGAATGTTTAATAATACAGTGTCCTGTATTCAAAGAGCCCAGTGTTATGACTATTGACTAGTGAACATACCAGTTCAACTATTTTATTTAGTCCTGAAACATTTTCTATTCCCAAGCCTGTTCATAACTTCTCCCATTTTCGTTTGCTTGTACCATACTCTGATAATATGATGTCTCCGCAGGTATTGTAAATAAGGGTTATGGTGTTTTACCTTATTGGTCTGGGGTTGGGCGACCCCTGTGATGTGACAGTGCGGGGGTTGGAGGTCATCAAGAATTGTGAACGTGTCTATTTGGAGGCATACACATCAATCATCAATGGTGGAAAGGAGGCTTTGGTAAGATACAAGTTGTATTCAGGTGCAATTTTCTAATTTTTATGTATCTTTGTGATTTCTTTAAAATATACATCTTGCATACATCTCCCAGCATTTTAAAAATATAATTTTCTTTAGACCTAAATGTATATAAGCTGATTAAAGGAGAGGCAATACAATCTAGTAATCCTACATTAAATTTCAGGAGAAATTTTATAATCGTGAGGTAATATTAGCTGATCGGGAGCAAGTTGAACAAGCATCAGATGACTTGTTCGTGGGTGCTGGGTCCAGCGATGTTGCACTACTAGTGGTGGGAGACCCTCTTGGTGCCACAACACACACGGATCTCAAACTGCGGGCACACCAACTGGGTATTCCAGTTGAGGTCAGGCTTATTTTTTGTATAAATTAAGTACTGTACAGTAGCTTCTTTCTAAATGCGTTAAATTACTGTATTCAAAATTCAGTTGTATCCAACATTGTACTGGTATTATTTAAGCCAGGATACAGTAATACTGTACTAATAACTTTGGTATAGTAGTAAAATACCTGTATATTAGAGTATTAAGTGCAGTATTTTGTACTTTAATAATGTTCAGTAACATTTTTATGTAGATGTTTTAAGTATAATTTCTATACTGTACTTGAATCTTGAGGCTGTTGATACATCACCATTTGGCATCTTAAATAAATCAAATTCCAATATAATCTTAATTTGTTTAAATGTTGTTGGACTGTAGGCAGTTTTGTTTTTGACAAAAGCACCAAACAATAATTGTTTAAAGCAAATAGTTTTGCAAATACAGTAAAATTATTATATTTGTGCCTCTCACCAGCTTGGTACTGTAATTTACATTTTGGCTGACAGATACTTGGAAATATAGTACACTTATACATTTGCATTTTTTGTGAAATATTTGATTGCTATTCATTTCTTATTATATAGTAAATTTGAAAAGATTATTAATGGTTAGTACCGTAAAAGCAGTCGGGTTTAGCGGAAGAGCTAATATCACCACATCCTTTCTACTGTACTTAGTTCTGCAAGAGTGGTTATGGCCAGTGCTGGGGGAAGTGTTGAAAAGTGTGCCAGAGCTGAAAGATGTACTGTGCATTGTTGCAGTACAGTTTAGTTCTTATTTTTATGGAGGCAAAATCAACTCTCATTCATTCTATATATGCCAAATAACATAAGTACTGTACCATAATTGCAGAATAAATTACAGAGTCCTGTATTGATATTAGAGTACTATTTCAAGTTAATTTTATTTCAAAACATTTTTCACTTAAATAATATAGTAACAGAGTATTAATTTTGCAAACTCTTTCTGTACCTCCTAACGGAACTAAATTGCTTCTCCAGAATCAGTTTTTCAGAGAGCATTTGCTTGAAATCTCTTGCTACCCAGCTGTTTATGATGCTGCTGCTCATGTTGACATGTTTACTTAAGTATAGACACTTGCAGTTCTCAGCATTTGTTGTTGTGAAGTCTGCTTTGCCTTATTTGTTTTATGTTTTGTCTTATTGGCTTCTTGAACAGGGCCGTCCTTGCCCAGAGAAGTGTGGCATTGCCAACTCCACGTTCAGCTTTTCACCTTCTCCTGTTATCAGCTGTGGTTCTGGCAGATTTCATGGCTTGTTTCCACCTTGCTGATGTGGTTCGGTCTTCTCATAAGAAGAAAGAACCATATCAGCAGAGTATAAATGCACTCTGCAATCAGAGTACTGTAGTACTTTGATTGGTATTGCAAATGATTACTCTGATTGCTTTGATTGCAACATAATACTACAGTACTCTGTTGCAGTAAGAGTTTGTTTTTTTGGCTGAGGTGTTGTCTTTGGCCATGTTGTTTGCCCCCTTGGCCTCTGCAGCTTTGTCCTAGTTGTTTATGCATATTCTTTGTAATAGTGTTAAACTCTTTCACAGCTTGTTTTGCTTATGGACTGTGATAGGCCTGGGTGTTCTCACTTGTCCTTTTCTGCTCCCTAGCAGAAAACATTCCTCCAACGTTTTACTGAGGAATATGTGAGTTGGGTTTTGGATTATGCTTGTGTGGCCTTCCTACCACACACCAAGGGTTTCAAGTGTATTCTGCTCAGTGCTGGAACCCCTATAGTTTGGATTTTGAAGGTACCACTGTATGTGCATGAAATCAAATTTTGTCATCTTGTATATTGGCTGATAATATTGCATTGCCATTAAAGTTTCTCATAAAACTTTGATAACATGATTCATTTCAAGCAGAAATTAATTGATAAATCTGCTTCTAGGCATGGGATTCAGCCAGTCCCATACGTTGATCATTGTGTCTAGTAGCCAATTGGCAAATAAGTAAGCCCCATTTAAACAGTATATCCTCCCCTCTTCCAAAAGAATTAAGTGCTCATCTGAACTATGATTGTTCAACTAGGGACTTATATTTAGAATATAAGAATATATTTAGAATATTTTATTGCATTGTTAGCAGCTGTGGCCGCCCTGTAGAAGCATTGTTGTAAGGGGAAACTGGTTCTTTTGATTTCTAGTTTTTGAAAATTGAATGGGGAAGTTATGTGGCAAATTTGATATGCTTTAACAAAGCTAACACTGTGCTGGGTACTGTATCTGATATATAGTTGGCTCTGTGCCATGTAGAGGAAAATACTACCCATATACTCTGTAAATATTAAAGGGGTATATTAGTAACCTTTGCATTTACAAATTTTGATGTTAGGCCTTTTTGTTAATGTGAAACGGTTATGATTTATAAATTCTGTTGGAAAATAAATAATGAATTTTTCTTTTCAGGTCCTGAGTAATGCTTCTATTATGAATGCAGTGGGTTGCTGTGGGCTGCAGCTATATCACTTCGGAGAAACTGTGTCTATTCCTTTTTGGCAAGATGGGTGGGAACCTGTCAGCTTCTGTGAGAAGATTAACAGAAATCTGCGGAAAAAACTCCACACACTCTGTTTATTAGGTTAGTGGGGACTAGTGTTGGAATGATTTGTATTTATTTAAGGTTGGGTAAAGTTGCTGGTATCAGACACACCTGGACAAACATTGTGGGCACCGACCTGTGAGATTTATATTTATTTAATTTATATGAATTTATATCTACGTTAATTTATATACTTCGATAGCAATTTGTATAATGATAAGTGGACTGTATTTCTGCAATAATCTCAATCTCACAAATCGATCCTCTACACATTAGGGGGGTTTATTAAATTAATATATATGCAGCCAATCAAACTACAGTAATAGACTACATACATTGAAGAGGTTCCTTATCTTATAGTACAGCAGGCTAGTCCACCAGGTATAACTAGGGTGTAGACACCAAATTATCCTCTTTGAGGTAGCTTCCATATCACCCAGTAACTGGTGCACAAATCTTGCTTCCTCGTCTTGACCTGTCAAAAGTGCGCTAGCTGTGAAGCCAGAATCCTATATATGACAAGCTATATCAGAGAAAACTGTACATGGAACATTGAAGACCTGGCTTAATTACCTTTAGTTTGAGGCTTCCACGTGATCTAACCGGGTCACCCTATATCCTGACATTAATGGCCATAAATGAATGATAAACGGGTTTCGGAAAGAACACTTAACTTGAATTGTAGACATCGTGTTGGAGATGGTACCTTTGGTTTCCATAACACTACGTCCAAGTAAAATTAACAGGAGCCGAATTTGCTCCCGTGTGAGCCTCTGGTCTCGTATCAACAATGGCCTCCATACTATTGACGTTACAGGCCGACATTGTCCAGATATGATAGGAGCTAAATTTGCTCCACACGTCTCGGAGGTGACACAACAATGGCTCCCCCTTCCTCCCTGACGCCTGGCCTACTTTGTCCAGATTTCAGAAAGTGATAGAAGGGTCACATTTACTCTACTTTAATATTGATAATTAAGTTAATTTATATAAGATGTTTTATGATGATAAAGTCCAAAGACTAATGTATTTAAGAACAATTCCCAGCAGAATAGCTGGTGAATTATAATGGTATGTGGTGATGATATCCCGTTTTCTTTAGACGGTAATTCCACTACAAGTTACGTTTTCTATGGTTAACTTGTTTATACAACACAGCTCTTATCTGTCTGTATGATATTATTATTAAATGGTGTCGGATTTTCCGACATAATTCCCCAGGGGGCTGCTCACGGGTCGAAGTCCTCTTTAGAACAGACGAACACCGATACTCCTCCTTCGAATTATTAGATTAATTTGATGTTAGTAGTTAGTAATCACACATTTGTGCGTCTGTTCGTGCAGGACGGATGTCCCGTACTAGAGTTGCAGGGGTTAGAAGTCTAATGCAATTTCATTTCCCTGTCAACTCTTGAAAGGCTAATATTCAAGCCTTATTACATATTATTTAACCCAGAAGACTGAATGTGATCAAGTACTACAGTCAAGTATGATTCAGGGACTGCAGTGAGATCAGTGACATTAGATATAACTTGAAGTTTCTTCAGGTAACTGGTCACTGATATATAAACACTGAGGCCCATGGAATACATCTTGATTAAATAATAAATGTATCAAATCAGTCATCAGATTTATTGGGGTTTAATTTAGTTAATTGATTCAGAAAATTGAATAGCTCATCATTAAAGTAAAGTATGGTTCTGAGACTGCATTGGGTTCAGTGACATTGGTCGCAGTGACTTGTAGCTGTTTTAGGCTACTGTTCACTGATTTGCCACTGAGGCCTCATGAACTCATCTTCAGCTTTAAATGATGATACTAACATCAACCTCTGTTAGTATAGTCAGCTGTAATCTCCTTAGTATAATGCTACTGGAGAAATATAATCAGCTGACAAATTTAGGTTTCTACTGGTATTGTTTATCTGCAGGCATAGGTCTCCTCAGGCTTGATACTGGGCCTGAGAGTAATTTACCTCCTGCAGAGTTTAACATGGTTATGCCCTGATATTTAGTAGGGCTACCAATGAATTGATGGTAGTAGTCTGTCCCCACAAGGACAGCCATTTGGCATTTGATTTGCTCAAATTTACCTGCAGCTGCTTGATAATAGCTTTCCAGGTCAGCATAATCAACTTGAGATTGTTGTGACAAATCTTCACATTTCTTGATCTGTCTTGTTAAGTGGCCTTTAAGACCTGCAAGGGTTCTTTTCATTCTCCCTGCATTATCCATACTGGCTCGTTGGTGAAGCCTTGTGGGACTTGTACTTGGGCTGCTCATAATACTGAACAAACACTAATGGTAGCCTAGGGTAAATTCTGCACTCACTAGGCAATAATCCTACCTCTACTAGAGGTTAGCACTTAAAATTAATACACATTATATATATACAATCATACACACTAATGATTTGAGTGATAAACCAGTGTCACTGGAAGTACCTTTAGGTTAGCTCTTCTATATCACCCTAGGATGGTATTGACACTAATTAATCACTCAAAGGTGTAATGATCATAAGTAAATTATTATATATACAACTCAACTCGAGTTGATAAAAATTACACCCAAAATAGGGTCTGGACCATTCATTAATGGTGTTAGGTTATTCAATATAGTACAACTGACTATGGTAATAATGGGACTAGGATGAACGATAATAGTTCAACTAGTCAATGGTTAATATCCTACCCTGTTGTGGGTTGGCAATTAGTAAATATTATACTGTGATCACTAGTGCAATATATATTAAATAATTCTCTATTTTGGAGAAATAATATACACAATTATTGATAATAGCCTCTTAATTGCCTCTATGAAACTTCTAATATTATCAAGAAGTATTAAATATTATTAGTGACCTCGCGAAATAAACTCCACAAAATTCGTAGATAATCTCTCGCGAAATGTAACACCACGAAATCCGTGAACAATCTTGCGACACCACAGTCACTAATTTGGCTGGCTTCTATATTAGCGCTGTCATTTCACAGAATAACACTCCACCAAATCTCTGTGGGTGTACATGAAACCGCTGACGAAGCTGAACTGAACTGAGCGGGGCTCGTGAACTCGCACGAGTCAACGCCGCCGTCATTGACTGGCTGGCCTTGTTTAAATCACACTGCACTAGATATTTAATGAATCCACTGGTTAACTGGTTCATCCGGTACTAAGATGACCAAATGTGGGTTCATAAGACCGAATATTCCGGTTCCGAAGGTCCAAATAATGTGGGAACCGACCTGTGAGATTTATATTTATTTAATTTATATGAATTTATATTTACGTTAATTTATATACTTCGATAGCAATTTGTATAATAATGAGTGGACTGTATTTCTGCAATAATCTCATAATCTCACAAATCGATCCTCTACACATTAGGGGGGGGTTTATAAATTAATATATATGCAGCCAATCAAACTACAGAATTAACTACATACATTGAAGAGGTTCCTTATCTTATAGTACAGCAGGCTAGTCCACCAGGTATAACTAGGGTGTAGACACCAAATTATCCTCTTTGAGGTAGCTTCCATATCACCCAGTAACTGGTGCACAAATCTTGCTTCCTCGTCTTGACCTGTCAAAAGTGCGCTAGCTGTGAAGCCAGAATCCTATATATGACAAGCTATATCAGAGAAAACTGTACATGGAACATTGAAGACCTGGCTTAATTACCTTTAGTTTGAGGCTTCCACGTGATCTAACCGGGTCACCCTATATCCTGACATTAATGGCCATAAATGAATGATAAATGGGTTTCGGAAAGAACACTTAACTTGAATTGTAGACATCGTGTTGGAGATGGTACCTTTGGTTTCCATAACACTACGTCCAAGTAAAATTAACAGGAGCCGAATTTGCTCCCGTGTGAGCCTCTGGTCTCGTATCAACAATGGCTGTTTAACACTCCATACTATTGACGTTACAGGCCGACATTGTCCAGATATGATAGGAGCTAAATTTGCTCCACACGTCTCGGAGGTGACACAACAATGGCTCCCCCTTCCTCCCTGACGCCTGGCCTACTTTGTCCAGATTTCAGAAAGTGATAGAAGGGTCACATTTACTCTACTTTAATATTGATAATTAAGTTAATTTATATAAGATGTTTTATGATGGTAAAGTCCAAAGACTAATGTATTTAAGAACAATTCCCAGCAGAATAGCTGGTGAATTATAATGGTATGTGGTGATGATATCCCGTTTTCTTTAGACGGTAATTCCACTACAAGTTACGTTTTCTATGGTTAACTTGTTTATACAACACAGCTCTTATCTGTCTGTATGATATTATTATTAAATGGTGTCGGATTTTCCGACAAACATAACTCTTGTTGATTACTTAGGTTACTGTGGTCATCAGTCCATGCAGATTTTTGTTATTATTACCCGGTTCTTAAATGAGTGATGGAAATACTTTATGGTTAAAATACATTATATATATGACTGTAATTACTTACTATGCAATGAAGTTATCATATACAGACTGTCCTAGGGATCAGGCTATTGTCAAATGGTGACTTTACCCTTTTGTAATTTTTTGTCCTTGGGGCCATACTTTTAGCATGAAAATGTATTATTCTGTGAGATGAAAGTTTTCTTTTTCCTTTCTTTGCATTTAATCTTTTCTGATTTATTGACAGTTTTGATGAAAGCCAATGTTGAGGGTTAATTAAAAATTTTCACTTAATATATTTTATAAATTGATGTTGGAAGAAAATTTTATAATATCGAAGGCACTACAGCATTCTTGTATCTTGAAAGTTGTTCCATATATTTGTTAAATTTTAAAATTTGACAGTTCAGTGTATATTGAATAACATTTAAAAGAATACTGTTCATATTATTGCAGATATTAAGGTAAAGGAGCAGAGTTTGGAGAACTTGCTGAGGGGAAGAAAGATCTTCGAACCACCACGGTATATGCGAGTCAATCAGGCTGCTCAGCAGCTCCTGAGTGTGATTCAGAGACACAGCCTGGGGTCTCCGGAGAGTAACAGGGTTCCTGGCGATGAAAATATGTGGCTCCTAACAGAAGACACTCAGTGTGTGGGCATTGTGAGAGTTGGGACACACTCACAGCACATAAAGAGAGGCACCCTAAAAGGTGAGAAGGTCTTTTTTTGGTGATGCCAAAGTTTAATTCAGTACAAAAGCTATTTATAATAGAAATGTGTATTTTGCTATGGTCTTTCTTTTATCATTTTCTTTAAAAACAATTTGTGGTCCGACATTCGTAGATTCTCATGTTTTACAAATGCTGGTGTGCCAGAATGCATCTGTATTTCAGATATATCATTCTAGATTGATGTGGATTTGTGTATATTCCTGATTTCTGGAAATCTGACCTTTCTGTGGCCATCTTTTTTTTTTAAGGTAACACTAAAATTTGAAATGAACCATAAAATTGAGTTTTAGATATAAGCAATGCCTTTTCTAAGGCACCAACTGATTCTCCTAATGTTGTGTTAAAAACTGATCAAATTTACATTAATGAAGTTATCTGTTGTACCCTAATATTTCCCCAAGATCTATAGGTGAATTTCACAAGAGGAAAATTCAAACTTCAACCTATCATTTGATGGATAACTACAAGAAGAACCTGTTTTAAATATGCTAAATAACTTTAGCAAGGCAAAAGCACATTTTCAATATGCTGACAGGTTGAAAGACACATTTTCAACTGTTTGTCTTGAAAATGTGATTGTAGCATATTAAAGGCGTTAGCAATCATAACTTAATTTTTCCCAAAGTTTATGGGCGAGTTTTTCTGAGCAAAATTTAAATTTTATCCTGTCACAACTACCAGGAGAACCAGTCTATGAAGATATTTCTCCCTCATTACCAGTATTTCTCAGGATCTAGCCCCTTTAAATTTTTTTTATTAATAGGCAGGACCATGACACTGAATGAACATGCCCCATTGACTTTCCCATGCCCAAAACTCTTTAACGCAAGGTTTTCTAGAAATACCTTGGGAACTACTACTACTAATAAATAATTAAGGAGATATGGTCTCCACCATTTTCAGAATTATGATGGTTAGAATTGTGTAAATGAATGGCCAGATGGTTAGAATTGTGTAAATGAATGGCCAGATGGTTAGAATTGTGTAAATGAATGGCCAGATGGTTAGAATTGTGTAAATGAATGGCCAGATGGTTAGAATTGTGTAAATGAATGGCCAGATGGTTAGAATTGTGTAAATGAATGGCCAGATGGTTAGAATTGTGTAAATGAATGGCCAGATGGTTAGAATTGTGTAAATGAATGGCCATGTCTGGGAGAAAAAAAGAAAAAAAACTGAAGAACTCAGACTTCTTCTGAATGATAAAAAATACAAGAACAGTAACTTGACCCAGATACAAAATTTTGTTAGTCATTAATGGGAATTTAAAACCTGCCTTGTACAGCCTTCCTAATTTGTCTTTATGATTGATGTACCTGATGAGTTATCTTGAGGTTATCTTGAGATGATTTCGGGGCTTTAGTGTCCCCGTGGCCCGGTCCTCGACCAGGCCTCCGCCCCCAGGAAGCAGCCCGTGACAGCTGACTAACACCCAGGTACCTATTTACTGCTAGGTAACAGGGGCATTCAGGGTGAAAGAAACTTTGCCCATTTGTTTCTGCCTCGTGCGGGAATCGAACCCGCGCCACAGAATTACGAGTCCTGCGCGCTATCCACCAGGCTACGAGGCCCCTTTATTGAGTACTTTATTCTATAAACCTAGAAGACTCAAAATTCCTACAAGACAATTTAGATGTGCTTTTGAGATGTATGATGGATTGGCAGATGCAATTTAATATTGACAAGTGTAGGGTTATGAGCCTGGGTAATAATGATAGTTACCGTGTGCAGGCGATGAGTCACAATAACGTGGCTGAAGTAGTTTGACCAGACCACACACTAGAAGGTGAAGGGACGATGACGTTCACAATCGACTTGAGAATGGTCCAGGACGGAGCGAAACGTCGTCGTCCCTTCACCTTCTAGTGTGTGGTCTGGTCAAACATAGTTACCGTGTATCAGCTAGACTGTTAAAATTGCCAAATCTGAACATGAGAAGGATCTATGAGCCACAATTCATAGAGACCTTAAGCTGAAAAATGAATGCATAGATGTTTGATAGAAGGCAGGTTGTATTCTGGAAATCATCTCTAGAAGCTTAGGAAATTCAGTAAGAGCCATAATCTGCCTTTGCAGAATGTTGATTCAGTAAATGGGGCTCCAAATATAGGTCTCAAAACTGGCTGTTAAATCCTTCAGGATGTTAAATTAGGTGGATACTGCATATGTAACTAACAATTTATTGAGATTCTTACACACACTATTTGATTGCAGAATTAGCAGAGTCCGACTTGGGTGAGCCGCTCCATTCTTTGATTGTGTGTGGAGAGTGTCACCCAATGGAAGAAGAAGCCTTAACCAAGTTGGCTGCATATTACAATGGATGCCAAACTGAACACCGTAATTCTACTGGAAAACGAGGCACTTTTCATATAGTTGGCCTTGGGCTTGGCCAGCCAGGTTAGTTTTGGAATCTCCAAATTATTACAAATTACTGAGAAGCCCCTGTCACCTTTTCCAAGTTTTTAATTTGTTATATGATTGATTGAAACATGAATTTAAGGTTTTGTGGATTGGAATGAATAACTGATGGTAGACTGGTGAAGAGAAAAGTTGGAAAGATGGATGGACATGGTGTGTGTGAGAAAGTGGGGATTGATAGTGAACAGCTCATGGATTATGGCAATTGACAAGGATGAGTGTAAGAATTGAACACATGTTTGAACTAAAATGATAACTGAGATGGAGCACTGTACATAAGTCTTATGGAGTGGTGATGGGATGCTGCAGATGCTATTAGGAGTTACTTGTTTATCCACGGAGATAAATATTGTGGACGATGTAATAAATAGATGCAATAATTTTTGTGTACATCTATAATGTTTTCTCACTCTTGTTGCCCATTTTTATTCAGGCTCATGCCTCTCCACTCTATGAAAGTGGGAAATGTGGTAATGATAATATATGTTGTATGTACAGTATATGTAAGAATTATTGCCAAATCAATGTTAATAGTAGTGTGAACATAGCAGGTAACACTAATACCAATCTTCAGTAGGCAAGCAAACTTAGCACATGTGGCTTAATGTAACGTCTTTCAATATTTGTACACCTTCAAAAGTATCCCTTTCTTCAGGTGACGTGACAGTGAAAGGCCTCGACATCATTAGGCAGTCATCACGAGTATATCTGGAAGGGTACACCTCCATCATGGCAGGCGGTGTCGAGGCTATGGAAGCCTTGTTTTGCAGAAAGATTATTGTTGCAGATAGAGAAATGGTCGAACAAAACTCAGAAGAGATCCTACAGAGTACTCAAGATGGAGATGTTGCCTTCTTGGTCATTGGGGATCCATTTAGTGCAACTACTCACACAGATCTTGTGGTTCGTGCTTTAGATAAAAATATTCCCATAAATATTGTTCACAATGCATCAATTTTGAATGCTGCTGGTTGTTGTGGACTCCAGCTTTATTCATTTGGAGAGACCGTATCCATACCATTTTGGCAAAATGGGTGGCAGCCAGACAGTTACTATGACAAAATTTGCAGTAATTTGGAAAATGGTTGGCACACACTGTGTCTGTTAGACATTAAGGTGAAAGAACAGAGTACAGAAAACATGGTCAAGGGTCGTAAGATATACGAACCTCCGAGATTTATGACGGTATCACAGGCTGCTACACAGATTCTTAATGTCATAAACAATAGGGCATCAGAAGGGAAGGCAACCCCTTTAATTCCAGATCAGCTAGTAATAGGAATGGCAAGGATAGGCACTAGTACACAGCAGTTAAAAGCGTGTACATTAGAGGAGATGGCTGAAGTTAACCTCGGTAATCCATTACATACACTTGTGATAGTTGGAGAAACACATCCAATGGAAGATGAATATGTTGATATGTACCGATCCTAGGGACAAGCATTTTTTGTTAATGATACGGGATCATTAATTAAGATATGTGTGCTGAATGACGTACATGGTTCTGCTACTTGACTTTGAACCCAAAATTATAAAAGTCCTTCCTTTCTAGAGAATTGTTATACTGAACGCCTTATCTTTCAAGAGTACAGTAAAAGTATTTACTAATGTACTAGTTGTGCTATATGTCCTTGAATGGCAGTATATTACATTTTCTGTGCCATTTAGATGTTCTATTGTGCACTGTCATCATTATTACATTACATTACATTAGTTTTGATATGGTCTTGTACTGATTTTGAGGAATTAATTATGCCAGTTATGTTTATCAATGTTGTGTCTGTTTTTCTCTCCCTCCTCCCTTTTTATATCTATGAAAATGTTTGCATCAGGATGAGCATATATTTCACAAACATTTTCTAGTTTTTGGTAAGGAACGTTTGAGTAAATGGTTTGCTGGATGTGGTTAAAATGTTTATTTGTGTTCAAAATGATGTCTTTCACTTGTTGTATTCCTAATGTGCCAAACTACATTACAGGTATAACATGATACTTTAACAAACTGCAAGTTGCTTATTAACTCCCAATGGAAGGAAAAGGGTATTTACTATTGCTTGGGCTGTGTGAGTGAGTGAGAGTTACTCTGCATTTCAGTGAGCACCTTCCTTATTTTGTTTATAATTTAAAACTTTCACAGTGTTCAAATACTTCAGAAAGACCCAAATATATTCTGTATAGAATCTTAGATAGTGTAAAGATATTTTAGAATATTATTGAATCATGTGACAAGATTACTGACCAGTCTCTAGACAGCACCAAAATATAGGACTTCATTTGAAAGTTTTTTTTTGTCTGGTTATGGGCCTACTCTAGGCAGATGTTGAGTTGAGAAAATTTGTCACTTAGTAAAATATCATAAGTCATCTCTTGATTTTGGTGTTTGTATACATGAACCCTTTTAATATAATGACTGTTTATGAATGTTGAATATCTTTTTAATGACCTGTGCAATGGATGCTCAAGTTTTTTTTCACTTTATTCCTGGTAACAATTTAGATTGGATTTATATCATTTAGGCATTAAAGTACTTATTTATTGATAAATGTTTAGGAAATCATCAGAAATTTGTCTTAGAGAGCTGGACTATCACAGTACAGTAATTTAAAAGAGCTTGAATAGAATTGTATATATTTCATGATAAGAGTAGAAAAGCTGGACAATGGCTGCTGTACCTTTTTACTACTGGTACAAAATCCGCTAGAAAAAATTAAATACACTTGGTTATTTGCTTGGCAGTCAAGGTGAGAGCCCAGCATAGTCTTACCAGTGTCTTCAGAGATATGGCAGGAGAGAGTTGTGTTCTTTTCAATAAAATTAAAGCCACGTCTTCTTATTCTACATAATTTTAAATTGATAGAATTTTATTTAAAATTAATTAAAGAGTAGTAAGAAATAACTGGAAAATTATTTTCATTAATTGAAAATTATAAATTTATGATATAATTATAAATTAACTTATAAATTCAATATTAACCCCATTTGGAAAATACAAATGTGATAATTGGCCATTGTAAATCTACCTTCTGCAGATATTTGGCATAAACATTAGATTTAATTATTGTAGTTTGTACAATTCGGTAATTGGTTTTAAACTGGGAAAAATACCATTCTTGTTTAAAGCGGCCTGTACTCAGACTTCCTAGCATTTTAAACCATTGCACTAAAGTGCCCTGAACCCATCCCAAGAACCCACGAACTGAAAATATGGGACATCATTAATTTTGCAAGCCACTACCATTTTTTGTATACTGTATCAGCTTTTGAACTTCGGTAAAGTATAAGTCAAAATGTAATGTGCTATTAGGACAAGTTGTGTAAACATGTTTTTATGTTTAGCTGCATTGAAAGGGTTAAAGGTCTGTGATAATTGTAAAGACTTAAAAGTTTTAATGCAAAGAAGAAATGAAGGTGGCTTGTATTCTTTTATTTTTATTAAACAATACATCAACTCTGGTTATAATAAATGTAGTTTCAATATTTCACACAAACAAATGCTGTGTGTGGAGAGTAGCCAAGACGCATCTGTTGCTGTTGCTTGGATGAGTGCTGAGAATAACATCTTGTTTCCTTGCAGCTTAACAAATTCGTTTTGGAATTTGCATTCTTGTTACAGTACTGCATTGTTAATAATTACTTATTCAAAATATTCTAATCTGCACATTCAAAATCTAGTTTTCTTACCTAGATTCAAATTATTTAAAAATTACAACTTGTACAATGATGCAGAGTAATATATCAGTGTAAAAACATCATATTTTGGTTATTTTATTTTTTAAACTGCCATAAATTTATATAACTAAGACCAATAGGCAGGTTGTCTTACTGGTTATGACAATGTAAGTGATGAAACCTGCTTAGTGCAGTACTTTTTATCTTAAGTTATTGTGAAACTTACCTGATGGCCTCTGTATGAATTTTATCATCAGACTTTAATCCATAAGTACAGTAATTAAATGCTTTTTGTAAGGTGGAAATGTCAAAATAGTCATCATACTGTACTTTATTTCTCTGTACCTTTTTTTTTATAATGCACTGTATTTGTGAAAGTTAAAGGTAAATTTATGATTGTTAGAATTATTTTATTGGTTTCCTGGGATGAGGTTTATTGAAATCTGTTCTTATCATTTTATACTTATTGAAACTAAACATTTATTATGAATTCTGGCACTTTTATTGAGTGAAAGTGTCTTGGGATGCTTTATTTTGATGAGATAGATGTTCAAGTGCAATAAATTGTTAGCATTAGCCTACAAGTGTGGTACAGGTAATTGTCATCTTACGTTTTTACTAGCGGTGCTGTTTTGTACCTTTTTATTAAATTTCCCTGAACTGTACAGTAGTTTTAAATTGTCATTATTCCGTCCTTGTCTCTGTTGCCGGTTATCAGTAACCTTATGCTGCATGTACATTCAAGACACGTTTGGTTTTTTTAAGCTTTGAGCTCATTGTATAATTATTAATAATGAATAGAGCTTTAGGGATACTGTAACTTTGCATGTAGTGTAATAATTCATATTCCAAAATATGAATTATGCTGTTGATATTTGTTTTGGTGTTATATTTTTTATACAGATGCTTTTAAAAAGTAAACCTGTTAATCGTATATTCTTAAGTCTAATTTTGACCTTTGTTATGAACTTCAGGAAATATTCGAATGACAAATATTGAATGTTTCTTTTTAAGATATTTCTCAAATTGAGAATGAAGACTGGTTTGTAAATTTTTTATAGCTGTTTTGGAATAATATATATAATTTACAGATTATTTGTCTCATTCATCCTGTAAGCCACATTAGACGTATGCAGTTGGTGTTTTAAGAATCCATTACTTTATTGTCCACTATTTAACTTCTAAGAGCTCTCCATTATTAAGAATTACACGTTGCTTGGATATTGCTGCTTAAGCATGGGAAGAAGTTTTAAAGAGAGCTTTGTGAAATGGTATAGTGATTAATTTTGCATGTACGGTATTCAATATAGTCTTGAAGAATAAATTTTTAGCTGAATTGCATAGAACAGGTGCAGCAAGCTAAATAAAAATTAAGAACTGTAAAGTAAACTTAATTCATTAAAAAACGATGTAAGTAAATTAGAATGAGCTAAATTTAAATTTTGTTGTACTATATTAAGTAAATGAGTTTACCTCCTGAACTTAAAACAATGTAATCTTGAAATAACGTAGCATTGTAATTTTAAGGTTTGTAGTCTAACGTATAGCTATGAAATCACATGCCAACACAGTTCAAGGTTGATAACTGTGCTCTGCCCTATAAGGTTAAAATGAAATGAAGTGAAACTGACAGACAAAACTCAGCCTTGGTTGGTTAAAGTATGATTACTAGCTGGTTTTCATACTGGGGGTGTCCATATGGAAGATCAACTTGTGGAGGGTGCCTTCTGTGACATTATGTAGGATTTTAGGATGGGTAAGGCGCCCTGGGAACACCAGAACATCACCCACCTCGGGCTTCAAACTGCACTTCTGTTTTGGGAACTCCATCTCACCACCCTATGGATAAAAAAAAGGTCTTCCATGTAGCAAGAAAATATATAAAGAGCAGGAGAACAATACTGTACATTTGTAAAAAAATTCTATTCAATGTATGTTGTCAGTTATAAACTCAGTCATGATATACTTTTTATATTTTCATAATGATAGGGCAAGGAAGAGGGAGGACAAGAGCAACAAATCATAAGAGAATGGAAAAGAGGAAGTTGAAAACCAGGGGCACACTGACATTATTGTCAAGTGTTGGCAATATCTAATATAAATTATTCTTAGTAGCATGTATAACACCATAAATATCCTTGAAAATATTTTGATTGCATTGCAATGATGCTATAATGAACCTCTTAACAGTCTGCTCACTAATATAAGAGCAGCTTTGAAATCGCATATATTTATTTGTCAGAGAAGGCTGAGATCATTGTTTGGACTTACTATAGAGCTGGCATAACAATACCTGGTAGAGATGTGAGGGTGTTAGGTAGATATGGAAGGTGACTGCCGCGGCATCGTGATGCTGGGGCAAGCCAGCAACTTCACCTGGCTGGAACCTAGCCACAAGAGAAAGAACCATCTCCTCCTGCAACACAACAGGCAACAGAGAGCAAAGAATTTATTACTACTATAATTCTGTTGGGGGACAGGTATTCTTGGGTGTATACAGTTACACTAATGTTTATGTTTTTTTTAATATCGTGCACCAATATACAGTACTGTACCTGCATTTCTGTACCTACATATTTATATATACTTTATATCACAATCTCTATAACGGCTATCATGTAACTTCATGCCAGCTATGGGTTTCAGATTTTCATAAAATATCTTAAGACATGAACTTGAGCAGTAGCAACTTTCCAAGTGGCATTATGTACAGTATCTTACTTGGAGACTAGATGGGAAAGAGAGTATATGATGGTTCTTGAAGGTGCCAGCAAAAAGCCACTCCATCAAGTGGTCCAACCCGAGCTGTGAGGTCCACTGATCCACCGTTGGGACAGCCTCGGTTCCAGTTTCCTTTCTCGGATCCTGCTCAAGGAAGGAATTGAGAGAAGGATGGTTACTCTTCAAATGTCTTAATGGAGCACTGAAATTTGGGCAGATGGCTTCACATTTTGGAAAGTTTATCTTTAAATTTTCATATTAGAAAGGAAAATATATATCTTTATACTGTAAAATGCCTCTTAAAATAAAAATGAGTTATTTTTTATTTTTTTATATATATACAAGAGTTCTTACATTCTTGTACAGCCACTAGTATGGATAGCGTTTCAGACTGAGTTAAATAATGATTAAAAAAAAAGAAATGCATGGAAAAGTGCGAGAAGAAAAGCAAGTAATGGAAGAGGACGGGGGTCACACCTGAGTGCGTGCAGGGGACCACTTGTCAGCACTGTTGGCGATGTTGATCAGGTCCTTAGCGAAGCGGAGTGTGAACGTTGGGTACTGGTACACCTCATCACACGGCTGCCAGTATGAACAAGGTCTCTTATTAGTCATCAAACGTATGTACGCAATACGTACAAAAAATAACGTAATACGACAATAAAGTCGTATTTTTGCTATTTTTCTGCCATGTTCCACCTTTTTTATTTTTATATGTTCTCAACACAATTTATACTTTAATGTCAATTAGTACTAAGTTTTAGTCTTTAGTGTTTTTCCTGCCCGAAACGCTTTGCGTCACAGTGGCTTTAGGCATTGTATGTACTAGCTCAATCTATAAATCCATCAATGTTTGTTTCACACCTTGTATGTATGTACTTTACCTGAATTTGAGTCTACAGGTTGGTGTTTAAGACATGATGTGTATAAGACATGAGCGTGTACTCACAATTCTCAGGCTACATAGACTCTCCGGCTTGGTGCCTTCTTTTGATAATTACTTGCTTCCAATATACAGGAAATTATCATACCGTATAATATCTTAAGGCCACAGATGTAGTATTACATGGTATATAAAGAAGCTTTCCTTAAAGTGTACGGAAGGTAAAAAAAAATGAACCAAATGAGGAAAGTATAGTGATGGCATCCATCACTATTAACTCCATCCACAATATTAAAAGTGTTGTAGGATGACATATCCTATCAAAATTTACATGTAGTGTCATAATTCATATTCCAAAATATGAATTATGCTGTTGATATTTGTTTTGGTGTTATATGTTTTTTTATACAGATGCTTTTAAAAAGTAAACTGTTAATCGTATATTCTTAAGTCTAATTTTGACCTTCGTTATGAACTTGTAGGATATGTAACATTAACTGGCCAGGAGTTACACAAACTTACTGTGGCGGGAGCGACATTCAAATTTGCCGCCGGCGGGAATATTTCCCCGAGGGCGAGGGCGCCTGCAGGGGCCGCCAGAGCGAGCACCCGCAACCTGCGCGGCGGACCCGGTATCTTTCACCCCGTGTACCCGGACCTTATATTACCTGTTGCCTGTACTTCCGGACCTCGTCGGTCGCCCGCTGCAGCCCCAGTCTACCTCCGGAGGCTTGGAGAGCTTCTACCCGTACATCAGAAGGCTACAGACTCAAGGTAAGCCTGTTAATTGTGTATAGTCGCCACAGGTAGTGAGATAGTATCCACAATGCTTGCTAAGCTCGACCTCTCTTCTCGTAAATAATAATATACAAGTACGTGCACACACGCACACGCACACGCACACACACACACACACTAGATATTAGAAAGAACTTTTGAGTGTCAGAGTGGTTGACAAATGGAATGCATTAGGAAGTGATGTGGTGGAGGCTGACTCCATACACAGTTTCAAGTGTAGATATGATAGAGCCCAATAGGTTCAGGAATCTGTACACCAGTTGATTGACGGTTGAGAGGCGGGACCAAAGAGCCAGAGCTCAACCCCCGCAAGCACAACTAGGTGAGTACACACATGTCTTATACCTACCCTCTTGATCTCGGAGAAGTTCCCAGTCATGATGGCGTTCCAGGTCTTGCTCAGGTACTCCAGCTGCCACAGCAGAGGATTGGACTGGAAGGCAAGAAAGTCTGGAGTATTGATGTTATGACTGGTGGTGTTGACCATGACTCCAGTGTTGGGAACAGCCGTCATTACCACCATGGGCACCCCAGCCTCCCTCAGAGTGCTGCAGAAGACCAGGTCGGGGTCAGGGTAGCTCCCAGAGCTGTGGGTATAGGCAGAGACGAGGCGCTCCAGGATGTCATGGCGGACGGCGTAGACTCCTCGGATGCAGGAGGCATGCCAGTAGCCTCTGGAAGGAGAACATTTATATCATGGCTTCATACTTTTATTTATTTATTTATTTATTTATTTATATATTTATATACAAGAAGGTACATTGGGTTAGAGAGAATACATAGCATAGTATTTGCAATCTTGTAAAACCACTAGTACGCGCAGCGTTTCAGGCAGGTCCTTAATCTAACAGATAAGTTTAAGTAGGTAAATTCTAGCAGAATTAATAAAATGATATTGCAAGAAAAAAAATGAGATGAGAGAGAATAGTAAGCCACCAAACACACAAAATACCAAACACTTTACAATTTTTTTATAGAAAATGTCATTGTAAAGGAAAAGTTTTCTACTCTATGTGATCTTGGGAAAGGCAATTTATCAATGAATTAAAATATAATTCCATAGACGATTTAATAATTGGATGTCTGTGGAATAGAAAATTAATAGTTAATTTAACGTTCAATCTTTCAATTAGCGATAGATATACAAGCTGAGAAGCAGTGCTACGAATATTATGAGGCAATACTCGAAGAGAAATTCACAACCCAAACGTTCTCGAGAACAAAAACAATAAAAGTAGCAGTAGACAAGAGAAAGTGACAATTTTGTGGCAGGAGGCTATCGTTGACTCTAGCTTAGATGTATGGTCAGGTGAACAGATCAGATGAACAGCTTTCCTTTGTATCTAACAGAGGATAAGAGTAAGACTTAGGTAGAGCGGAAAATTTAAGTATATTGTGGAAGAGGATTGCCAACAGAGTGGAAGATCCATTGACAATCAACCGGAGTTTGCTATAATAAATACAGCTGGATATCAACGGAAAGTTATTAATGCAGGCCTAATTATCGAAAACACTATTTGAAAATCTTGAACACTAACACTAAAACAAAAATATTATCAAAACATCAGAATTTGTTTCTGAAAATATGACATCAAGAAAATTAGGCTTGTTGACTTCAATAAGCATTTTCTGCAATAATTAATCACTGTATGAAGTTCTGTATATTTTTTAACTAAAATAATAATAATAATAATAATTAATAAAAATAATTAATAATAACAATTAATAATAATAATATTATTATTATACTTTTTAATAATAATTTATTTATTTTGTTTATTTATATATATACAAGAAGGTACATTGCGTTTATAAGAGTACAAAGAGTTGAAGTTTTACATTCTTGTAAAGCCACTAGCAAGCATAACGTTTCGGGCAGATCCTTAATCTAACATATAATTTTAAGAAAGTAATTTCTAGTAAAATTAATTTTTTTTACATGTACAATGTAAGAAAGTATAAAAATACATTGTAAGAAAGTATAACAGTACATTGTAAGACGATATAAAAATGCATTGTAGTATAAAAAAAATTGTATAAGAAATTTGATAAAAAAATAAAGTAGGTACATTAAAGTAAATTTAAGGGTTATCCACATGTACATTTAAGGATTATTGCAAGATGTAATGTAGCAAACTATGTCTATAACATATAAGATAACAGCAATGATTACAATGGTAAAGTTGTATGGCATAGGTATATATTTTGGGAAATTGGGTAGCACTAGATACAGTGCGAGTTTCAAGCACTAGGTAGGAAACTATGAAGATGAAATTAGGTACTTTTTGGTTTTATTTTTGAATAAGGCAAAAGTATGACAGTTTTTCAATTCGTTAGGGAGTGAGTTCCATAGACTAGGTCCCTTTATTTGCATGGAGCCTTTACGCAGATTAAGTTTGACTCTGGGGATATCAAAGAGATATTTATTTCTGGTGTGGTGTTTATGTGTTCTATTACATAGAATAATAATAATAATAAATTATTATTATTATTATTACTATTACTATTATTATATTATTTTTATTATTATTATTATATAGATACCAAATGACTAAGAACAACTGAACGGTGCTCACCATTTTATGTCAACTCACCAACTCATTGATAGATGACTTCTCACAGTAAAGGTTTTAAAGCTATTATGGTTCTCTCTTAAGATACTGTATATGTATCCGCTCTCTGGATGGGTATGGAGTTCACTACCACTCACAGGATGGGTATGGGGTTCACTACTACTCACAGGATGGGTATGGGGTTCACTATCACTCACAGGATGGGTATGGGGTTCACTACTACTCACAGGATGGGTATGGGGTTCACTACCACTCACAGGATGGGTATATGGTTCACTACCACTCATAGGATGGGTATGGGTTTTACTACCACTCAAAGGATGGGTATGGGGGTTCACTACCATTCAAAGGATGGATATGGGGTTCACACTACCACTCACAGGATGGGTATGGGGTTCACCACCATTCAGGATGGGTATGGGGTTCACACTACCACTCACAGGATGGGTATGGGGTTCACACTACCACTCACAGGATGGGTATGGGGTTCACACTACCACTCACAGGATGGGTATGGGGTTCACACTACCACTCACAGGATGGGTATGGGGTTCACCACCATTCTGGATGGGTATGGGGTTCACACTACCACTCACAGGATGGGTATGGGGTTCACCACCATTCTGGATGGGTATGGGGTTCACACTACCACTCACAGGATTGGTATGGGGTTCACACTACCACTCACAGGATGGGTATGGGGTTCACACTACCACTCACAGGATGGGTATGGGGTTCACACTACCACTCACAGGATGGGTATGGGGTTCACACTACCACTCACAGGATGGGTATGGGGTTCACCACCATTCTGGATGGGTATGGGGTTCACACTACCACTCACAGGATGGGTATGGGGTTCACACTACCACTCACAGGATGGGTATGGGGTTCACACTACCACTCACAGGATGGGTATGGGGTTCACACTACCACTCACAGGATGGGTATGGGGTTCACACTACCACTCACAGGATGGGTATGGGGTTCACACTACCACTCACAGGATGGGTATGGGTGTTGCATAATAAGTGAACCAGACTATGGACGAACCTGGCTCCTGGCTGGTCACTGAGGATGTGGGCGTGGTCCCAGGAAAGCCTGGGCTTCCCAGCCTCCATGCCACGCCAGAACGATGCTTCCGGCCCTTGCTGTATTCTGTGAAGACAATAGATATCATCTAAGAGCACAAAACCACTGAACTTCCCCAGGATGCAACCCACAAACGTTGCCAAACTCCAGGGTGCTTATTTATTGCTTGGTGAACAGACGCATTAGGTGAAAGTAAACGTGCCAAACCGTTTCTGTCCTATCTGGGGAACGAACTCTCCTCGGACTATTTCTGAACTCTCCTCGGACTGAACTATCCCGGTTGTGAGGACGTAGACTACTGTACTACAGAACCCATATATATAGCCTAATATATCTGGGTCTTGGTAGTACAGTCGGGTTCGTTCTCGAATCATAATCAGGAATTTTGGGTCCGAATCCTGGGCGGGACAGAAATGGTTAGGCGCATTTCCTATCATCTAATGCACCTGTTACCCTCGCAGTAAACAGGTACTCAGGAGTTAGTCAGTTCGTTGTGGGGTTGCCTCCTGGGGAGGGTCAATAGTCCGACCTTGGGGGTGGGGATCAAGATATAAGTTTATATATACACAGGCAACAAGTGTATATGTATATATACACTGCCTGTCCTCGACAATGAATTATCTCAAATCCTGTCTATGGAAGAGAGAAGAAAATGTACATATGCTGGTTACCATTGCAAATGCTGGTAATTTCTAGGGTAGAAAATCAACTACACAAATCAGACAGACATGGCGCGAAGCTCAATTACATATTTTTTGCCACAATAAAATTTCCGCCGTTACTGTATACTACGAGATGTCGCGCGTGGTATTTCATCATCACATCACCTTGTAACACGAGCCTATGGATCATCTAGGGAAACTAAGTCTTAAATGTTTCTACTGCCCGGCCTGAGCATAGCCTAGTGCAGTCGGCTCACACACGATTGAACCAGAGTTCGATTACTGGGCAGGGCTAAATGTCTGGGAACGTGTCCTTGCATTTGATGACTTTGTTTACCAAGTAGTAAATAGGCACCTGGGTGTTTATCGACTGTTGTGGGATGTATCCTGCAAAATGGAGAGTCGCAGGCATAGGGGGGACCTCGATAAGCCTAACAGAGTAACTGCCCCCGGCAGTGGACGCGGGAACTAAATATATATGGAAACGTTGTACGTAATATGTAAAATTGATAAGAATTCCTCGAAAATTGAGACCAACTTAGACTTCAAAAAAGAACAATAATTACCTGAGAAAATTAACTCAAAGTTCCGTTCATAGTACCAAAGTTACGGCTCAATTTTCGAGCAATTCTTACCAATAACTTGGGTGAGAAGAACACTGAACACTACATATGTATAACTCGTAGGGAAAATAATAGTATTACCTGAGAACGGGAGCCAGAACTGGGTGTTCTGTATTCATTAACATGGCGGGAATGTTAGGGTTGAGGTAGGCTGTGGAGTCCACATGCAGGTACCAGTTACATCCGAGTCGCAAACACTCCTCTCTGCCGGGGTATTATCATGTTATTATCTATAATTACATCAATAAATAAAAAAATATATAAAAAACAACACCAAATCATAATAAAAGTACAATAACTGAATCAAATATAGAAACGCACAGTTAAATATAACGAGCAACCCGTCCTCAGAGCAAGTCCATTCCATCCAGCGGTCGGCCCCAAAGACACATTCATAAATTTTAACATGCTGTTCATACAAAACAGGAATTTTCTCAAATATAAATTAAATTTATTTTATATTACCATACTGTACATATTTATGCACTGGTTAGGTTAGGTGTTTAGGTTCTGTTGGCGATTATTTGTATTTGTAGTACGTGGACAATCCGTCCTCGACTCAAGTCCATTACATCCAGCGGTCGACCCCACAGACGCATTCATAAATTTTAACATGCTGTTCATTCAAAACGTGAATTTTCTCAAAAATAAATTAATATTATAATATATTAGCATATTGTGCATATATAGGCATAGGTTAGGTTAGGTGTTTAGGTTCTGTTGGAGATTATTTGTATTTGTAGTACGTGGGTGAAGCTTTTGCAGCGTTGTGGTTCGAACAAAATTCGTTAGTGAAGCACTTGTTCCGGAAGTGCTCGAACGTCATCAGTTATGAGTCGTGTGTAAACTGCTTTTCATTCATAAACAGGGGGTTTGGCGGGTGCATGAAATGGACTTTGACCATTGTTTATAGTACGGGCTGTAACGAGGCAGACAAACGAACCACTTACAGAAGCATATATCGAACTTGAGCCTCGTCTACGACTCCCCCGTGAGGTTTGAACAGCGTCACATGCTTCACCTCTCGACGGAGGGTATCCACGAAGCCTTCTACCACGTCCTGGTACTCCTCCACCTGTGATGGGGGAATAAGCACATTATTACCTGGCTTTTGTCTCATTTTAAGTTGAATGCTAGTTCATAAGATTTTAGCATTTATTGTTCAATAAAGTGTTGTATTCCGACATTATATGGAAAAATGCTTATGAATAGGCCTACTGCCTCCCATCGTATTCTGTAAATGGGTATCATGTGCCTCTTTCTTTGCACCCCTATTCTTCTTTATATATATCCAAAACGGAACTTCTGACAAAAACATTTTGTTCGGCCTTGCTATTAAACGAGGTTGTGGGTGTGGTAGTGGGTGAGGTAGTGGTAGTGACCTCGTTGGTTGTGGTAGTGGTTATGGGTGTGGTAAGTGATCTGGTTGTGGTTGAGGTAGTGGTAGTGAACTCGTTGGTTGTGGTAGTGGTTATGGGTGTGGTAAGTGATCTGGTTGTGGTTGAGGTAGTGGTAGTGACCTCGTTGGGTGTGGTAGTGGTTATGGGTGTGGTAAGTGATCTGGTTGTGGTTGAGGTGCCTAGGTTTTTTAAATAGTACATAAGTGATTATAGATATATAGGTATATGGGAAACCCGTCCTCAGGCTATGCTTGTCCAAGCTGTGGCCGACCCCAAAGACGCATTCGTCAATTTTAACGTACTCTATATTAAAAATTTATATCTTTCAAATATAAAGAATTATCATTATATGTTAAAATTTCGTGTATGGATCGGCCGAGGTTAGGTTAGATTATGTGTTTAGATTCTGTTTTGCGATTATTTATATTTGCATTTTCGAAGTCGCAATTCGGACAGAGGTTGTCAGTGAAGCACTGTTTGAATGTCACCAATTGGGAGTCGTATGTAAACTTTTTCATTCATGGACAGGGAATTTGGCTACTGGATTAACGGCCGCTGGGCCTTTGTTAATGAGGGCGAGTTAGATGGGGAAACAACACAGTTTTCAAAGAAGCCTCAGTATGTGCAGAGCTCAGGATAAATCAGACGCTTATACATGGCTGTGGACGTAAACAGGGACCTCTAGCTATGGACATAGATCTTCCAGGCTGCTTACATAGACCTACCTGACTATGGACATAGACCTACCTGACTATGGACATAGACCTACCTGACTATGGACATAAACCTACCTGACTATGGACATAGACCTACCTGACTATGGACATAGACCTACCTGACTATGGACATAGACCTACCTGACTATGGACATAAACCTACCTGACTATGGACATAGACCTACCTGACTATGGACATAAACCTACCTGACTATGGACATAGACCTACCTGACTATGGACATAAACCTACCTGGCTCAATAGGCTGTGGCTGGCTGTGGACATAGAGAGGGACTTGACTGTGAATGTAGACCTACCTGACTGTGGACGTAGAAATGGACGTGTTTAGGGTGTATGCCGTGGAAGAGAAGGGAGCGGAGGCTGATGTTGAGGAAGGCTTGAGGTTCCCGGATCAACACACCTACCATCACCACCTCCGGCGCTACCGCTGCCCGGGTCGGTTCTCCTGTTGCAGGTAAACGTTAGATTACAGTTTATGGCCCATCAACTCCCACGATGACTGAGGCTGCACGACACCTTAGTCTATAACCTTTTACAATTCTTTAATTCTGAACAGAATTAAGGACCAAAGTTTACCCCTGTGCATTAATATTGATCCATATCTATAAAAGATAATGTCTGAGGTTGGGGGGTGACTGATCTTTGTCCGGGGAGGGTCATAGGCGGGCGGGGTCGACCCCACACGCCCACCCCTTTGCTTTAAATGGTAAATCATGATAATTTCCAGTCTCGCTAAATAAAAGAATCATTATCCATTAAGATTACAGGTTGAAAGGAAAACCGTGAAGACTAGGGAAGGTGGTGAAGGGCAGGGAAGTCGAAAGATTGGGATGGGTTTGAAAGTCGGGAAAATTGGAGGACAATGAAAGTGGTGATGGGCAGGGAAGGTGACGAAGGAGAAGGAAAATGTGAGGGTGTGTGGTGAAGATGGTTACAGTGTTGAAGATGTGGCGTCCGTCAAAATATATAATATATATATAATATAATATAATATTTTTCACTGCAAATAGCCCTATTGTCAGTGCCTGGAGGCATTACGAGTGTTATTCCTCTACAGTGACACAATTAAACACTTATTGCATTTATTTATTGTCGTCAGTCACGTATTTACATTATAAAACTTCGCTCTAGATTTCTTAACAATAATCCTAATGTGACACAGTTTTATTATATATCTTATTTCAGCCCATCCTACGAGAATGATAGAACCTATAGCCACTATGCATGGAATGTACAGAATATGTACTGTTGTACCCAGAATTGTTCATGTTTCGTATTACTCGAGTTGTAGAGGGCACAAGAAGAAATGAGGAGGGTAGAAATAGCCTAAGCTACTCTATCCCTTTGAGATGTATTTCTTTCTTGTCTCAATAAACATACTTGAACTTGAAGAAATGAAGCAGGGTAACCATAAAACAAACCTAACCTGTCCTAGGCCTAAAATGTGAAATTTTAGGTCCAATTTAGTAGATTTGAAAATTATACTAGGCCTTGGTAAAGTCAGGTTTGCTTCTAATTTTCTTTTTTGTAACCCCTCTATGCAATGAATAGTACAAAACGTAAATTTTTTGGGGTGTAATAGTCCATATTTTGTACTTCCATCCACAGTAACTACTGTACTGTAGGTACTGTCATATTTGGATGACGTGCAGTATAATTACTGTTTATAATGTTGGTACAACGACGGACTACCAACCCTCAGGGGCGCATGCGCGACACCCGCGGCCGGGAAGGTGCTCCTGCGTCAGGTAGTCGGAGAGAGACAGTAGGAGAGCACGGGCGTGGTCACTGGTGGGCGTGGCCAGGAGTACAGACGGGGCGTGGCCCTCCACCTTCAGCTCGTACCTGTCCTCCGTCACGTCGAGGTGTAGACCCTCACTCGACACGTTGTCGCCCTCATTAGACACGTTGTCACCCTCACTAGACACGTTGTCGCCCTCACTAGACACGTCACCGTCCACACTAAACACATCACTGCTCACCCTGGAGTTATCATCGAGGACATGGAACACCCTACTGTGCGTGTCTATCTGCGCGCGGTGGTTACTGCGCAGCTGGGCCGAGGAGTGGAGATGTTGCACGAGGTGCGCCAGGGAGTCGACCCCCGCGTCCTGCGCAGCCTGTTGTACCGCCCGCCGCCACCCCACCAAGGCTATGGCGGGAGAAAACACAAGGCGCAGCCTACATTATGGAAACTAAAGGAGTAAACAGATGTATACATGAATAATAACATGACGGACCAAACTCTCGTTCAGATTTATCTGGAAAATGTATTGAACAATATACTTTATACACCGTGGCACCGCCAACTCTTCATGCATGCGTCTTGGGTGCTCTTGAACGCGGATTGGATTCTACCATTCAAAAGACGTTTTCAAACAGGAGAATTTTCTAAATATTTGATGAATTTTCTTTAATTTTAAGATATTCATGAAGGCAATTGGCCTGAAAATAAAGGTGATGTATTGGGAAAGTTTATTTTCTTGTTTTTCTGTCAGATTACACAAACATTCTGGACATTTGAGTGGAGTTCCGTAAGATTCCATCTTGGGGACGATATATACTTTGATATATTGACAAAAGGACGACCTTGCAAGTAGAGCATGACAAGGCACAGCATAACTATCATAGTACTAACACTATCATGCAGCATACTGATGAAGACCTAGGAGTTGGGTTCACCATTCACTGAAAGTTATTCAACAAGTAGGAACTGCAATAAAAAAAGAGCTAACTAAACCTTTGGAATAATCAAACGAACCCTTTGACTTTAAGGAAAATAAAGTGGTTATTCAAGTGAATTTCTCACCATCAAAAGGACATAACTGCTTTGAAAAAGCTTCTGTGCAGAGTAATACAGATGGTCCCAAAACTAAGTCAACTCTCATACCAGGAACGGATGAGAGACTCAGGCGTAACAGCACTACAAACCAGACATGACGGCTGATCTCGTCGACACTTTATATACTGAACAAATTGAATGATATTAATCCAAACGATTTACTTAAATGGTCGAATGTAATACATACAAGGCGCAACAGCTTCAAACTTAACAAGCCACAAGCAAGGACAGCAAGCAGGAGATATTATTTTACCCATAGAGTAAAAAGCCATGGGATCGACTACCCGCCGAAGCAGTATATACCACAGTAATACTCCAGTTTATAGTTCATCTGGAGAAATGGAGGGACCTTTGACAAGCCACCGGGTTCACATCCATGTCAAGACCACTACATAAGTTGGCTCTCTGGTAAATTCAAGCAGATAACTAACAAACACCAAGCTGCAACTCATCTGCGGGAATAAAAACGCTACATGCGAGGTAGTGGCTTCATAAGAACTTTAAGTACACACCAACATTGTTGTATCATCCTATCGTATCATTATTGTATTAGTTTCATATGTTTACTTAAACAAGTTAACTGTAAACTGTTGACGTGGGTACTTACCGTTGATGGCTGGGTTGGGTGGGATGAAGATGGTGGCTCCAGCGTCTTGAAGGGCTCGAGCTAACCATCTAGCCTCCCTCTGTATCACTCCTTCACTCCTGGGGGCAGCGACCGCTCATTGAGTGTTCACTTCTCTGTTATTATTATTATAATCACCTCCACCTCGAGGGGTATCGGCACGAAATAAAAAGGAATCTATATGGTATTAAATGTTAGTATTAAAGTTGACTCGTCCATACTCCGTATCTTATTGCACATATTAAAGAACTACTAGCACCACCACACTCCTGCATCACGGTGAACTAGTGCCCTCACACCATAAGACCAGGGGCACGGTGCTCTCCTTAGCCTTTTATGAACAAAGAAAACTTTCCATCTTCACATACTGTGGTTACCTGCCCTCATTCCCTCTGCTGTTCACTCATTTTACGCTTCCTCAAACTCTCCCTCTATCATCGCTTCTCACACTCATCTTCGCTTCCGTACACACTCATTCCTCGCCTCCTCACACATTTGCTTATCCATCTTCTCTTTCCTTCAGATTCATACATTTATAATCTCTTCCTCAGACTATTATCATCCATTTGTTCCACCGCGACCGAACCATCTGAGCACGAGTCCCTGATGTATTCATACCTTGCTCTATCTTCATAACACCCTACACGATTCTCAGATTGCTCATTTATACTGATCTAAATCTTTCTTGAATGTGTCCATGCAACAACAGCGCCTCATGCACAACGGAGTCGACACTCTGTGCTGCATGCAGCTCCCTGGAGGCATCTCTTCCTATCCTTTATTGTGTACCCCTGAACTCATCCTGCGAGCGGTAGCGCAAAATGATTGCCAAAGGCATAAATTTATTTTTTGTTCAGATCTCACTGGGTATCTTTACAACATCATCAGTTACAACTAATATACACACACCCTATGTTATAGGAACAGCTTGTTATAAACTGCACGAGAACACCCATGTAAGCTTCATTCCTCAGCCTCACGCTGCCCTCAATTTGTGTTGATCGACCACTTCCCCATCTCGCCCTGTAATTTACCCTCTCCACCACCGCAGCCTTACTTTCATCCTTATATTTACTTTTAGCAATCAATAACATGACGATGAGGATAATGTGCGCGTCACTTGATGAATCTGATTAAGCAACGTTGCCTCTGGCATATATTGGATGGGTGACCGCGCAGACTTCGATAACCCACTGACCATTTTCTCAGGAATTTTGTTATTACTTTCACCCATTATCCTGCTTGATATTAGGTCTAAGTCTTATCAAATTTTGGTGATTTAATTAGGGCCGCGACTCTTGCCTATTGACCAACCAGCAAGTATAATAATAATAATAATAATTTTATTCATAAGAATGTGCGTACAAAAAACATAAGATGAAGAGACTTTAATCCTGAACATATAATACTATCAGCAACATAACACTTTTATCATGAACAATAAATATAACCAAAATATACGATTGCAATAGAGGACAACACGGAGGCGGTGTAGTTAACGTGTTGCTCACCTGGGCAGGTAAATTATGAGGTGGTAATCCAGGTCGAGGTTGTCACAGGCCGCCACCTCACTGCCCCCCTGCACCTGAAGGGGAAGGGCTCAATGGGCCAGTCTGTGATGGAATCATGCGACAGTCTACACACTACCATTAACACATTGTAAACACAATTGTTGAAGGCGATGAGTCACAATAACGTGGCTAAAGTATGTTGACCAGACCACACACTAGAAGGTGAAGGGACGACGACGTTTCGGTCCGTCCTGGACCATTCTCAAGTCGATTGTGAGAATGGTCCGACTCACAATCACAATCGACTTGAGAATGGTCCAGGACGGACCGAAACGTCGTCGTCCCTTCACCTTCTAGTGTGTGGTCTGGTCAACACAATTGTTGAAATTGATTTCTTGTTTTAAAAATAATTTGTAAATCACTTTCATGGACGCAGAATGTGGCAGCTGGTGTTAGTACACGCTATCCGGGTCATTGGGAGATTTAATGAATATTAAATCTAATATACCGCCTCTAGCTGAGGTCGCCGAGTGAAACTAATCTCCCACTAACTGGTATATAAGTAGAGGGGTCCAACAAGGCACAAAACTGTTGTTGCATGTTATGAGGCACTATGCAGTCCCCTGCATAAGATCCATCTCCCTAGTGTGAGGTATTTCACTAACGGACCCGTTTTGGACTGATTTAATGTCAATACAGTTTAGTAGAGCATGTATAGTTAGGTAGAATTTAGATATAGTTGTATTTATTATGTTGGCCTGGGTCTGGTTTCTACTAGTATGTCCTAGAAGGAGGAGGCACTGGTCTACTGTGATGTCACACCAGTGACATCATCTTCAACCGATGGGAAGGAGCCTGGCAAGGTCGACTTTGGGGAGTCTCTGATTGGCACAGAATCGCTTGAGTTTGACTTCTGAGGAAAGCTGGACTGCTCCACTTCTGTAGCAGTCCAATTTGACTATTTTGGTGTATTTTGTCTCAAGTAGAGAGCAGAAAGGCCCGGTAAAGAGATTGTGAGAAGAGACAAGGCAAAAATGGTGTAAGCACGATCTCCTGTACTCAGGACATCGTAACAAGTGAGTGAAAAGTGTGACAGCTGACACGATGACGTCCTGGAGCTGTTGTTATTACACAGTCATCTCGAAGAACCTTTGTAAGGACACTGCACTGACATTCACCCACCTGGATGTCGTAGCCAAAGGCTTGGGCAGAAGCAACGAGCTGGGTCTCCTCAACTCGGCCCTTTTGCCATCCGGTCTCCACACCCACCACCACACGCGCCCTCACGCCCTCCAACACCTCTTCCTCTTCTTTTTTGTCACCTTCCTCATGTTCCTCCTTGTCCTGTTTACTCTCTTCCTTCACATGATTCTTCTCCTCTTTCTTGCTCAAGCCTGAGTCATCTAAAGTATTGCCTTTGGTCTTTTCCACTTCAACTTTATTTTCATGTGATTGCCCTAAGAAAAGAATAAAAGCGATATTCATGTAACAGTTTTGTGACGACCACAATTGATTTCGTGGGACTGGCAGCGAGACGTTGCCAACACTATAATAACCACAGGACCGAGTCCTGCTGCTTTACCTAATATTAGATCAACCGCGAGAGACAAACATTAATAGAAAGAACCGCTAAGTTGATAGCGGACTTTACTGAAGATGCTGTTGAAAGGGCGTTATCAGATCTAAGACAAATCCTCAGAAGAGAGATTAATATGTCATTGTGTGTGTGTGTGTGTGTGTGTGTGTGTGTGTGTGTGTGTGTGTGTGTGTGTGTGTGTGTGTGTGTGTGTGTGTGTGTGTGTGTGTGTGTGTGTGTTTTACCTCTAATAGGCCAATTTGCCCAGCCAGCCGAATTTTTCCGAAATATTGTATTTTTCTCAATTATTTTTTGGGTAATGATTAAGCTTTCCATTACAGTATATATGATTTTTTTTAATTTGAGAGAGTGAAACATGAAGGTAGTATATAAATGTGACCGTAACATTTCTTCCCACTGTGGGAAGGGTGGAACGTTGGGTGTGCACTACCCACAGTTCCCAGAGGAGCGTGTGGGTTGGCTAGAGCATGGAATGGTACATTCTAGGTACATTAAAACTGTTTAGAGTTCTCCACAAATATATGTTGCTTAGCTACAGTACATTGCTTTGCAGTTCCTGAGCTCATTATGTGCTGTAACCTTTCCGCCACCGGTCACAGAATGTGTATGTTGGCCCCTAATAACCTAACGCTACTCACCTGCTTGAGCAAGACCGCAGAACACCACCACCACCACCAACAATACACACTTCACCATCGTTGGTCGTGTCGCACTGATCTACAGGACTCCACACGGCGCACTCACTGGCAACACCCCAGGGAACACCACGGCAGCAACACCTCAGGGAACACTCAGTAACACCGACCACTGGGCGGCCACGGCAGCACTCACTAGTCCACGTCAGAGCCAGCGGGCGGTGAACGTGCTATGGCTTGGAATTATTTGCCAAATATCCTTGTTAGTTTCAGGAAAACTTCACTGTTTATTCCATCTACGTCATCAGCTAAGACAAGGTGACCAACCTCTCCATCCTCAAGCGAAATCTTCACCAGAGCTGCTTATATGTTTGTTTTAAAATTAAATGTATCATTATGTAACTTTTTATGTTTGTGGCGTATCGGGATTTAAATACCAGCATATGAAGGCATTTCTCTAAATCATATGATTTATTCCTTTTTATGTTATTACAGGTAAGAAACTGCTAAACGCCTTCAGGGACAGAACAAAAAATGTTTGAGGTAAGTTCCCATGTCCTGTTTTCATAGCTATATCTCAGAAGCCTGGCGTACCAAGGTAAGTTGTGTTCATCAGTCTCGGGCGTGAGGTAACTTGTGGAGAATTGTTTATACAAGCAAGTTGAGCGCGCCCCGTATGGCTGTGGAACTATGTAGTTTAATTCCGTACATTCGTTACGCTTCAGGGTCAAAGCAGAATTGTCCTCATTGTTGCCATATTGAGATGTAAAGTAAGCAGCAGTACTATATATATATATATATATATATATATATATATATATATATATATATATATATATATATGTCGTACCTAATAGCCAGAACGCACTTCTCAGCCTACTATTCAAGGCCCGATTTGCCTAATAAGCCAAGTTTTCATGAATTAATGTTTTTTCGTCTACCTAACCTACCTAACCTAACCTAACCTAGCTTTTTTTGTCTACCTAACCTAACCTTACCTATAAATATAGGTTAGGTTAGGTTAGGTAGGGTTGGTTAGGTTCGGTCATATATCTACGTTAATTTTAACTCCAATAAAAAAAAATTGACCTCATACATAGAGAAAAGGGTTGCTTTATCATTTCATAAGAAAAAAATTATAGTAAATATATTAATTCAGGAAAACTTGGCTTATTAGGCAAATCGGGCCTTGAATAGTAGGCTGAGAAGTGAGTTCTGGCTACTAGGTACGACATATATATATATATATATATATATATATATATATATATATATATATATATATATATATATATATATATATATATATATTTACAGACGCGTAATAGGGGAGTACAAGGGGAAAATTCAGAAATTTCTATAACACAAAAAGGGAGGGAATTTTATTTAAATGTAAACTGGTAGAGTTGCAGCAAACTTCAGAGCATCTTGGAACTAAGTATCCATAGGGGCCGAAAGCCTAGCAAGCCGTCCACTGTTTAATACTATGTCAGAGGAGGGATTCGTCCTAAATAGCTATACTAATTTTTCTGTCCGTAAAAAAAAAGGTTTAATTCAAACACTTAAATTATTTAAATTTAAGGACAGAACCGCTTCCAAGGCAATGAACGTTGTTGTACATAAGTATCCTGTGTACACCGAATTCATCGACTTAGTCAATTTTAATTTTTTTGTTCAAGGCACTCGGAGAAATAAAATTAAATACTTTGCTTACAGTGTTCATCACTTCAAGTTCTTTATGACCAACTTTTTTTCTCAAAAAGCCTCCTTTTGTACAATACATCATGGTGGGTGTGGAGTAAGACTAATAACTGTGGAACTCACCATAAATGTAAAGTGCCTTGTATAGTGACTGTTGTGAGCCTCTTGTTGAATCACTTGTGATACAAAAAAGAAAAAAGATTATTGATTTGTATATATATTTGTGTAAATGATTGTATATATACGTACATGTATATATAACATTAATAACTGTGTAATTAGCTTCAAAAGATTGTTACTTGCTTAGCTAAATGATCTATGGGGTTCAGTTCCTGAACCGATTATGTGCATCTGAAACCCTTTCCACCACAGCCCACGGGATGAGTATGGGGTGCATAATAAAGAAAGAAATTGAATTGAACAATACAGTTAAAGCCTATCAGTGAATGTCCAACATGTTTCATCAAAACATGACTTTTTACCAAAACATTTTTCTGAAGTCTTACAAAACATTTAATTTATTTATTTACAATACCTGCTGTTTTTTTTACCAGACATACTGGGTGTACCAGCAGTTGTGATGAAAACTTAATGAAACGACAACTTGTCTATTAGATATTTCGTGAACTACAGCCTTGCATATTCCACCACATTTAATATGTTTAGGTAACGTTAAAATGTTAACCAGTTCTTTCCATATTTCATCACCCCGTAAAGACTGAGGAATAATGGCTAGCCTAGCTGATGCTGTAACATCAGTGTATTCATCTTGAGGTTATCTTGAGATGATTTCGGGGCTTAGCGTCCCCGCGGCCCGGTCCTCGACCAAGCCTCACTTTTGTTACACATCCCCAGGAAGCAGCCCGTAGCAGCTGTCTAACTCCCAGGTACCTTTTTACTGCTAGGTAACAGGGGCATCAGGGTGAAAGAAACATTTTGCCCATTTGTTTCCGCCTCCACTGGGGTTCGAACTCGGAACCTCAGGACTACGAATCCGAAGCGCTGTCCAAGCAGCTGTCAGGCGCCCTAATCGACAGGGATAAGAAATAACATCACGCAGTATCTTTGTTACTTGTTCTACTTTAAGACTCTATATGTCACCGTGTTTTTAATGTAGGAATACCATAATGCGCTGAATAAATTCTCCTTTATCTTCGTCGAAATTCGTCGAACAGGAAAGGAGGACATTCTATCAATAATTCTTTAATATTATCCCCATTATTCTCCCCATATTCTGAGTTGTTTTTTTCCACGTTGATGAATAAGTTTTGAGAATCTCAAAACCAGGAAGCTGGTTCGATTCCCAGCTCGTCCTCAGGTTTCCCTACTTCAAGAAACTGTAGTACTAAAGTGCCCTTATCCTAGGCTACCAGAGAACCCAAAACAGAAAATGGGACAGTATATAAATTTCGCGAGCTGCTTCCATTTTCTTATACGACAATTTTTGGTTTTAGAGTATAAGTCAAAATGCAACGTTCTAATAGGTGATTCCACTGTCCTGCTCCGAAAATTTTCCTAATAATTATTTATATATTTATTTTGGGTGGGGTTTAAAGAACCAATTAGCGGTACTGCATGCCTCGTGCCATTTTTTTATACAATGCCGTCATGTGCCTGCGTGCCGCCGTGGGTAAGCCATCCCTGGATTACGGAGACCTTGATAATCCAAACAGGCTTCCTGTTCTCGTCTACAAGAAACCAAATAAATCTGAAAGTCCGTCAGTCACCGTCGAATAAGTTCACCCAAACTTCCCATGGCTCCCTCCCCTCCCCATGTGACACACGGAAGGTCATAGAGTATATAAGGTTCCAGCTCCTGGACCCCCCTTTTAGCAAGGATTTATTTTTATAACAGTAACTTCGCTCGAAGCTTTTATAAGAGTCTTCCATGGCACGATTACCATATTCTGTTTTCATTAAAGAAAATCATGGGTTCTGGGGATACCTATGCAACTCCGTAGGGGGAGGGGGGGGGGGTTGAGCGATCTCCACCCATGAATTTCAGGCAGGGAGGGGAGGGAATTATCAGGGGAAAGCGCCAAGCCATTACGACTATATAGCACTGGGAAGGGATCAGAATATGGGTTTGGGATTGGACGGGGGGGGGGGGGGGGGGGTGGAATGGTGCCCAACGACTTATGGACGGTCGGGGATTGAACGTCGACCTGCATGAAGCGAGACTGTCGCTCTACCGTCCAGCCCAAGTGGTTGGACTAATGTTCCGGGACCCGGGAGAGTCAGCCAAGGCAGTAAAGACCTTGTTGGAGGTCGTGTAGCTGTGGTTTAGTTATTAATAGTGTTTTGAGCTTCGGTCAGGCTTCAGCTCCTGTGCTCCGTCTTTCCAACTATCTGTTGGAAGAGACGGGGAGCACACAGGCGTTTACTAACAATTCATTGTCTGAACGACCCCATGTGCTTGTTGATGTAAAATGAGAATTTCTCTTAAAGCTTTTTATTACAACTTCGACGTCTCCGAGCCAAGGTAAGATATAACCAAAAATAGATATTATCAGGATCACAAAGCAAGACCCGTTGGAGGAATGTAACGGCTTATCGGATATTGCAGCTAATTAATGAACGCCCAGGAATCTCCTTTGTTTCCACCTGCCTACATGTAAACACCTGGGAATTCTTCTCCTTATTAAAAAGTATTAATTTCACTTTCTATCTTTAGATAAAACACTCATAAATTCGTTTAATGTAAACTTTTTTCTACGGAAATGCTGGTAGATCATTTTAATAGGTATAAATACGACACAGTGGATAGTACGTCAGTGTATTTGTCGAATCATTTACGCAGTGGGTAAATGTCTGTCTGTCATTTGTCTGTCTTGACACCAGATATATATGTGTGTTTATATTGCAATATACCCTCTGTCGGACCTTGTGTGTGTGAGTGTATCAGCCAAGGTAGAGGGTTCTCCTTGCTCTCGGGTGATAGGGGGTCACGAGGTCTTTAGGAGTGGAGGTTTCTGGGGTGGGAGGAGGAGGAGGAGGCTGTTGGGGTGGTGGGGGAGCTATCTCCCCTGCTGCTTTGTGTGTAAAATTAAATTATTGAGGGGGTCCAGACGCCCCAAATGGCTTGCAGGAAGAACAACACTGCTTTAAAGAGGCGGCCGAACACGGGTCAAGAACCACCTAACCAACATATCCAGGCTTCGGATCTCGCTTCCTGGATGACATCAAACGGCTCATAATATCAAAGTTAAATTATAAATAGAAATGCATATAACAAATTTACAGGGTCAGTCACAGGAAGTTACGTCACAAGGAGTCAGATAATGTCAAAGTTATGTCATAAGGAGCCAGATAATGTCAAAGTTACGTCACAAGGAGCCAGATAATGTCAAAGTTACGTCACAAGGAGCCAGATAATGTCAAAGTTACGTCACAAGGAGCCAGATAATGTCAAAGTTACGTCACAAGGAGCCAGATAATGTCAAAGTTACGTCACAAGGAGCCAGATAATGTCAAAGTTACGTCACAAG